GCCAGGCGTTGTTGTTCCTCGGTTCCCGCTGTCAGCAGTGTCTTGATCACAGCGTCGCCAGACACCGCTGTGAGGCGGTGTAGCGCCTCCCAGCCGACAGGTGAGGAACGCTGGCGTGCTCCGGTGAAGTGGCAGTCGTCCAGGACGCGTCAGGCATCGACGTGTCGTTCATGTTCATCACGATCTTGGGCGTTGGACGGATTAGCTAAGTGCTACCAGGTGTAACGGGCTAACTGCAGCCCGTTACGTGCTTACACAAGCAGAGGAAGTAGTAGGCAAATTGAACTCTGATTGATTGATTGACACGGCGTAACCGCCGTGTCCACTTAAACCTATCCTGAGTGTTGATTAGCCATCGTGTGAGCACGAAGGCGACTGTGTGACGAGAGCCCGTCACCCTCGCGGTACCAATCATTTCCTAGCCTATCCGGTCCGCAAGCCTTCTCTGCTGCGCACTCCTTGATCGTTGCGGCGACAGCTTCTCAGTGATGAATGAATTATCAGCTAAGACCTCAGTATCTGCATCACCTGCTTTCTGTTCCATCCACGCTGCAACCCCCATAATATCATTTAACTCAGGGGAAGTACCATGGAAGACGGGTTCCCATGCATCGGCAAACGTTTCGGCCTTGTCATGAACATCTCGGGTAGGGCACCCCTCCGCTGCCTTCAGAGTCGGAACTATATTGTCTGCAAACTTGTATGAAACGCCTGAAGAGCTGCTTTGTGGTTTTACCTGTAAGCCAGGTATGCTCCCGAAACAACCGCAACTGGTGATACCTCGCACGTTCACGTCGGCATTCAGCGATAGCAGCTGTAACACGCTGCAGCACCATGTGAGAGGCACCCCCTGCACCTGCCTTAGCTTCAAACCGTGCCCGCGCCAAAGCTCGGACTTTTTGCTTCTGGAGTCGGCGTAGCTTCTGCCGATAGGTGTTTGCCAACCGATGCTTAGCACTGTTCCGTGCTCTTAGTATCTCAATCACTAAATCCGCTTTAAACGTATCCCACATCGTCGCAGCGATATCCGCAGTCGGAGCTTCAGCATCCAGTTGAGCGTGAAATCGCTTTATCGCTGTCTCGATACAAGTACGTACATCCTCCTCTGCATACGTCGGTGGTGAGAAAACTTTTGGTTGCTTCCACACTTTGCACGCATTATCCGGAGAGTGCAGATGTAGCAAAACGCCCTGATGATCTGCAGTGGGTATACCAGCAGGCTCAAGCACCGTTGCTTTGACCCATAAGCGGCCTCCATCGTTCACATACCATCTATCCAACCGACTAGACGCTAATCCCACTCCATCGATATGATACTGGAAGCTGTGATGGTCATTGTAAAATTAAGTAGAGCTCGAGTATCATGGAAGTCTGGCAATTGGTTACACAGAGTATCAGTCATGCCCCAGGCTTCAAGTAATTGGCGTAGCGCAGGAGAGTCATGTATATACGCCGCAGTTTGATACGACCGATCGACCCGATGGTCAAGCGTGCAGTTGAAATCTCCACCAAGAAAAACTTTTACCCCCAGGGGAAATTCAATCTGCAGCAATCGAACAAAAAAATCCTCGCGCTCTGCAGAATTTATCGGCACATAACAATTGCAGATTATCACCTCCTCACCATACAAAGTGCCACACACCGTCATGAATCTGTCACCCCAGAAATCATGCAAAGCTGGCTGCGGGTTTATAAGTTGGCTTTTCGGATGAACCAATATTGCCACTGCTGCCGATCTTCCGCTACAAGCGGACCAGAAGGATAAATTCGGCAAGTCAGCACCTGTGCGATAGCCCCATTGTCTGGCATGTAAGTTGGTCACTAACGGGATCTCGAATTCGGTGACGTGCGTCTCCTGCAACAGTACTGCATCCAGTATTCCGATCGACGTTCGCTTTCTGAATGATGCAAGCCATTCCTCCCGTGTCGTTTCGTCACTGCCTAGCCCTCGAACATTTTGCGTCAGCAAACCTGCCGTGACGTCGTTCGTATCCAACTCACAAAGCGTTGGTTGGTTAGTTGAATCATGAAGAGCGACATGCTCAGCTATTCGTTGTTGGCGGCGATGTCGCCGCCGTTGTCGACTAAATTCTCGTCGTAGCTGCAGACTGTATTGTTGCCTAGGCTGCGGCGAGAAAAAATCCTCCATCGTGGTTTGTCGATGGCCTCGAGGAGGCTCAGCAGCTATGCTGCCGTTATTGGTTATGACCGGATGGCGTATCTTCCAGGACGCCAGCAGTAGACGTCGAAAGAGTAGCCACCCGTTCAGTACTAAGAGCCAGATTGATGACCCCGCTCCAATCGCGACGGGATTCAACATCTTGACATAACTTCTTGATTTCAGAGAAGGGAGTGTACCATATAGTACGAGAGCAATCAGGAATTCTCGCTAGTGCTGTGGTTGACCAGCGTCGAACCACATAAGGAAGTACATGAGTAATGTACCAATGTCGATAAGGAACGGCGTCCGTGTACGTGTGAATAAGTGACTCATCAACGTACTGACTCAATTCGATCCACGACGGGTGCAACTTTAGCTAAAATGTTACATTTTATTGGCTCTGATGCCTAGACGCCTCGTCGCGTTCGAACCCTGATTTAGAGCGGAGGGAACAAGGTCAGCAAGCTTATATACGGGAGCATCAGAATCAGTCTCCTACAGTTTATTTTAGAAAATAAGATTTGACAGACTCTCGCTTCAAGCTCGTGCCTACCTCATTGACCTGCTCGAGTGCAGAACTAGAACCGGTAGTGAGCGGTTGCGAGAAGCGTAGCCGCAGAAAACCCGCAGGCGGCCCCAGCGACGAGCATTCCAGCGAACGGACCCGTTGCCCCAACTCGGAGTTAGTTTTCTATTGCGGGGGTCTGGAGCTCGCAATGCACTTCTTACATGGAATGGCGAGTCTTCATGCAGTTCTATGATAATAGTGTTCCTAATCGAAGATATGATGTCGAGATCGGAAGCTGCACTGATCTGCACGTGGTGGCTTCGACCCAATTAATCAACAGCTTCATTAGATCCATTGGGAGGGCGGAGACGTCGGCCTGCAGTTGAGATTCCACTGCAGGGTGTCGGCCCCCCAAGCAACTCAACGGAGCAACGCGACTGAGGTGCTCCATTACTAGTTATAGTTAAGGTTTGCTCCCGCAGGATAACCTATAGGATGGACTTTGGCAACTGACGTCATCCATTCGCTTGTTGTGTCTCAAGTATACGTGCCATCCAGGTATCTATGCATGCATGCATGCGCTTGGCGCTGTCGCTGCATATGAGCCTCAAGCTGATAGAGGAATTTCCATAAATCAGTTATTTTCACTGAGATTTGTCGAAAGGATTGTGATAATTGTTTGCTACAGCAGCAACCTCAGTGAATAGTTTCGGCTTACAAATGTCAAGTCAACACAGTAGTAATATCACACCACACCACAATACTATGTAGATCTACTTCAAAGTACTATTTAGAGTATTGATATCCTGGCGACGGGCATCAGCAGAACGTTCTCGCGCGCACGCGCACGCGTATAAACTACAACGTTAGAATGCTGCCAATACTCCGAGAATGAAGGTGTTTGTCGTTCGAATGAAGAGATCATTCTCATCCTGTCGATACGTTTGGCTAGGTACTTCCACTTCATACTGAGCTAACGCATTAAACGCGCCGTAGCGCTTCTGCTCTTACCTATCAGATGCGAAAACCCGCTAGAATGTTCGTTCTTGTCATTTTTTTTAGAATGACAAGACGAAGAGCTTACATGACTGCCCGATCGTGGAAACCCTTGATCTGTCAACATACTGTAGAGTTAGCTGTATGTGTGAATGACAGATTTTGCTCACATGTGATCGCTGAACGAGCAGCACCATTTTAACGAGCAAGAAGAGCGGGTATTACTTAGAACCTTTGATATTTGAATAATGTTTACTGCTCTGCTTGGCCAATCTCATCCTATGATGAAAAATGCAGCCTGTCATTCACTTTGTGTCAACTTTAACCGCAATATATCAAACGAATACTCCCCTGCTACTTATTCGTCTACAATATGCCACTAAAAGTGAGTTAGTGCCTACTTTTTACTAACAGCAAAACGCCCCACACTACCAGGAGCAGCAGGTTGCGCTTGGCATCGTTAATAAACGTGAAATGCATCCAACAATTCCTAGAATTTTGAGGCTTCCTCTTCAGTAAATGTTGCTGCGTAACATTAGAGCTAAATATTGTAGTAGGTCTACCCCGAAGTCCTCGCCTGGAAGTCAGACACGATTACATACAGTGAAACGCACAAACGTCTGCGATACGCAATGTAGTGTACATCACTTAAGTCAATTAGCTCTAAGAGTATCTCCAGCGGTTGGTCTCAAACACGGTTTTATCCTAAAAGTAACGCAGGCTTCCACCAGAAGGTCCTATTGCAGGTTTTAACTTCACCGGGACGTATAGATTGGCTTTCGAGTCTTAAAATAAGACCACAATCTTAATGCCACCCATACAAAACTGAAGAGTCGCCGTATTTAAAAGTTTGCACCAAGACTGAATACGATTTTCACATGCGGGAATGGACTTATAAGACTCGCTTTAGAACTCACCGCTGGAAGTAAGTCGGTCTGCGCGGGTCTCAACTGTAAAATTGTGGTCTCAATGACCCTGTTACGTCTTAGGATAAGACCCACCGCTGGAGATGCTCTTACTCCATGAACGGCACGTCAAGTGTTGAGAGCTGGAACTCCTTTGCGCTGCCTCATAGAGCAGTGTAGAGATCCCTACATAAGTGTAGTCTGCTACGGTAGTATTTTCGTTACAGTACTACAGCATTCGAAAACCTTGATAATATCATATTACTTGCTAACTGCACGTTCGAAAAGGCTAATTAATATCATAGTGCTAGAGGGCCACGTACGATGGCAATCGTGGGTATTGTGTTTGCAGCGGTGTGTCGCACGCGGGCTCGATTCTCTTGCTTTGTACTGATGATGGTCGGAGCTTTTTATAAGCTGTTTCTATAACCTACTGCGGTGCAGCGTACACAAACTCTCCCGTGACGACACTGCCGTCTTCCAGCACTAAATGGTCCGGACAGAGCAAACCCTGGGCATTAGCGCGCGTGCAGAAGTCGCTGTTGAGTCCTTGGCTATTCACTGTCAAGACGCGCACGTAGTACGGCTGCTCACTGATTAACCCCGATATAATCGCCGACGTGGTGGTGACACCCACTTCCGTAGCCAAAGAGAAGTCACTCGAGACGGCGTACTGCACGAGGTAACTCTCCAAGCTGACACCCCCGTACACCATGTCCAAGCCACCGAGAATGGGGCAGCTCTGAGGCGCTTGCATTGTTCCGGCGCACGGGATGCCATGGGCAGGGACGCGCGGTGGCTGCCACACAACTTGCAACTGGCCAGCTGTAGCAGTAGCGGCTACAGCCAGCGAGTTCGGCTTGCCAGGACGAGTTGTTGCCGGCACCATAGACGCTGGTGTCGACGTCTGTGGAGTGCCTTTGCCTCCGAGATTCTGAGCGAAGACGCGGACGTAGTAGCGCGTCCCAGGCGTCAGCAGTGTGATGGTGTACGACCGCTGCGTTGCGTCGTTAATGACCGCCGTGGTGCTGCCTGCCGTCGCTAGCGAGTTGAACGAGGCGGCCACGTCCCATTGCACCACATACCCGGATATCACGTCGCCTCCGTCGTCCGTAGGTGGCGCCCACCCGACCGTCAACATCGTCGAACTTGTGATGCCTAGCACCACTTGGGTCGGGGAACTTGGCGTCGTGTACGGCTGCTGCGAGGCTGGCGACGATACTTGGAACTGTCCGAGGCCTTGCGAGTTGCGCGCACGGACGCGGACGAAGTAGCGAGTTCCCTTCGTCAGAGCCGAGATGATTTTTTTGTATGGAGAGCTCATACCCGTGGTTAGTTGCACAGACGCAGAGCTCGGAGACGTGAAGGCGCTGTCAGTAGCCCACTGCACTTCGTAGCCCGTAACGGTGTCGCCTCCGTCATCGTCAGGAGCGTTAAACAGCACGATCAACTCCGACACTGTTAGAACGGCCAGGGTCACGCCTGTCGGAGCTCCCGGAACAACCATCGGCTTCATGGGCGCTGAAGCTAGCTGCGGATCTCCAAAGCCGATCTGGTTGTAAGCGAACACGCGCACGTAGTACAGTTGCCCTTTGTTTAGCCCACCGGAGGTCGGCATCACGTGGCTTCCGGTACAAGCCGAGGGCATGACGCCAGGCCTCACCCGCCCCACCAAAACATCGTACGTACCAGCGCAGTTCGTGCCGGTACATGCGAGGTTGTTCGCTCTCGCTGCTAGAGAGAAGTCGTTCCCTCCGTCAAGGAACGTGATGGTCCAGGTATACCCTCCGTCGGTCGCCACAGCGCTGCGCGTGACGTCCACTCCATTCGCAAGCTGAGCAAACTGTTCCAGTTTGGACTCCATCGAGCCCGACGTCTCCAATTGGCCGAACGGAGCGACGTTGCTGCTTGTGCATTGGGTACTAGCTGATGTACAGAAGACTCCCGAGCTGGAGGACGTGACGCTGCTGGCTTCATCACTCGCTTCAGCAACGGCATTCCAAGGGATCGGGTCCGACAACTCCACAATGTTGTTCCGCGTCAACTCGAGTTTGAAGAAGCCACTCGCGATAGCACTGGTCGACACTGCACTCGTTCTCGTCGTCTGGACCGTCCAGACCGCTGGCGTTGGAGCTACAGGACACCACTGATCCTGCTGGCCGCGATCCGTAAACAAAGAGGACGCGTCGTACTCCACCCGGTACATCCAAACGGGACTGCCACCGTCACTAGCGGGCGCTGCCCACGTCGCCACCAACTGCGTCGAAACTCCAGGATTCACGCCGACGCTGATGTTAACAGGAGGTCCTGGAACCTGTAGCGGTGGCGTCACTGCTGCAGGCGATGAATGTGTGCGATCTCCTAAGCCCTTCGGGTTCTTGGCTGCCACCGCTACTTGGTAGGATAGTCCTGGCGTCAGGCCTGGAATAGTGTAGGCTAATGTAGTGGCATCCGTCGTCTCATAGTAGCCGTACTCCACTGCAGCTTCACCGGGCGTAGCGAGTTGCGCTATGGTCTTGAGTGGTGCAGCCTGTTGCATCAGATTCTTCAAACCCGCAGGCCATGAGCCAGGACAACCGGTCGTTCCATCGGGTAGACAGAGCAATCCTGTCGTGCCCACCGCGTTTTCTCCATCCTTGATCAAAACATACGCTGTTGTCGGTGTGATTCTCGATGTATCCACGATAAGTGGCGCCAGGTTCCCCACATTCGACTCGAACGTGATGGTCCACACCCTGCCGATCGACCACGCCGCTCCACTCAGCAACATCGTCTCCGCGTTCACCGTCACAACGCCGATTGTCGGCAGTGCTTCCAACGCGAGCTTGAGGTTTGCAGCACTCACGGTAGCAGGCAAGAAGTTCGTCCACGCCGACCCCTTATAGCTCAGTCGGAAGTACCCACCGACTGTCGTGGTGGCATGATACGTCACCAGAACTTGCACCTCCTGCTTCCCTGGGAACACATTTCCGGCAGGTGGGGCGATACCCGACTGCACTTCAAACGTTCGGCCGACAACACCCGCTCCGCCCGTAATTGCTGTTGGGTCTTGGTAGAACTGGAGTAGCGGTTGATTCCCAGCGTTCACGTTCACGTTGTCGAATGTCACGGTCCACTGGTATCCTTGCACGATATTCACCGCAGACCGAGTCACCGTGATGTGTCCAATCGGGATGCTAGTAGCTGACGCCAGGCTCATCAGAGCGAAGCGCAGGTTCGCAGCCGAGATGTCCATCGGCAAGTCCGGCGTCGTTAACCCACCGAATGAGAGACTAAATGGAGCTGCCGTCGGCTGCGTCGTCCACTTCAACTCGACAGTTTGAATCTCTGGACGGGAATCTGAGCGCCACCACTCCACCTTGTAACCTGTGGGTGACAACCCGCTGTTGTCTGGAGGAACTTGCCACGACACCGTTGCTGAGGTGATCGGAGTTGACGAGACCGTCAACGTACTGACCTTGACGTTGACCGGGCCGCTTGGATGCTTAGTCGGGATCTGTGGTGCTGGTGCGATGGTTGCGCGACTGTACCCTATCACGTTAATTAGCTTCACCTGCGCGTAGTAGCGCGTGCCGGTTGTAAGCCCGGTCAGGTAGTAGATCCGCGACCCACCAGTGTACAGCTCCGGGATCAACGCACTAGGGCTGAGGACTTCGACAGGAGCCGTCTTCGTAGCCGAATCGAACGTCGACACAGTATCCACATCAATCCAAAAGCCGGTAATTCCGGCGCCGTTTGTCCCCTGTCCGTCGCGCGTCGACGGCTGAATCTGCAGCTCGAGTATCGTAGCGGAATACGGATTCAGGTAGACGGTCAGCGGCGGATCAGGGACCCGATCCGCAGTAGTCGCCGACAGATAATAACTCCATTGGCGGTTGTCCGGGGGCTCCCCACTCAACGCAACCTGCTGCACTGGAACAGAATTGACCGCCGCCACTCTCACGTAGTACGTCTTGGCAGCTGTAAGACCGGAAATGACGTAGCGGAACGGCGGTGAGCCCTGGATGGACGAGCCGGAGAGGATCGCTGGCGGGTACGTGTAGTAGTACAGTGAGTACGTTTGACCGTTGAAGTTGGCGCAGCCATGGTTGGGGAACACTTGAACCGTGGTCGGGCTTCGAGTATCTACGGTCAGCACGCAAGTACCGTCAGCGACAGTGAACTTGGTGTTCTGCATCACCAAGTTCATAAGCGAAGTCGACACCAGCAGCGTGTTGCCGTTGAGGCTCGTGGCACAGTTGGCGCAAATCTGACGCCCGTGTTTGAACGTATTGATGACGTCCCACTGCATGATGTAAGACGAGATGTCGTTGTTGAAATTCGGACTCACGTTCGTGGTGGCCAGAGGCGGCGGAGAGAAGAACACCTCGATCTCCTGGCCGGAGACAACAGCCAGGTTCACGTTCGACGGTGCAGCAGGCACTTTACTCGGTGTTGCGGTGATTGACCCGCCCACCGGGACGTCTCCCTTGCCATTATCATTGTAAGCGTAATCTTCGATGTAGTATTTCTGCCCCATCGTGAGTTTCTTGGATGTCTGTGTCGGCAAATAGTAACATTTATCGCATCTACTTCCAGATATTTCCACACTTGCATCCTCTGGGACCAATCTTGGTGCCTTGGCACGGATGTAGCCGAGTGGAGACGCCACGCTCAACATGTCCACAGTCCACACGTACCCCTTCGACCACTCGTGCACCGTCACTCCTGTCTGCGTCAAGCCTAGATACCCAACTTCACGGCCATTCAAGTCACCCAGATACAACCGCGTACTCGACAGCCCAGGAGACACCACGTCCGTGCGAACCGTGTACCAGTCACCGCCGATCCGAATCGAATACCCGGGCAGTCCGTACGCAGCAGAGTAGAAGCCGCACGCCTCGCCTGCAGAACACGTGACGAAAATCTCGCCCTCCGTCACGTCCACCTTGCCTGGCAGCGGCTGGTACGATAGCTGCCTTGATACGCCAACCGTCTGGATCGAGTCGAGGTCCTCCAGTGCGTACCGGAGCTGGTCCGCACTCGACTCGGCGTTCAGTGGACGCGTGTACTGGCCCTGGTAGCCCACCTGGAACGTGCCGCTCATGGTGAGAGCGGGGTTGTCGTTGTAGACGCCGTCGATGGACGCGTCGGTGTTGCGCGTGATGACGGCGTCGGCTCCCGCTGCAACTTTCTTCGCGATAGTGAGGCTGATGTCGCCGTACACGCGGTCGAAGACGATCGTGACGTCTTTCGGGTTCGCTGCGCTGCACAAGAGCGTTTGCGCCGGATCGCTCGACACGCTGAGGCTCTCCGCTTCGACACCGAAGAGCGTCTGCAGACTCATCTCGACGTCGGCCAACGCCGCGTTGAAGTCCACGTCGGCGTTCACCCCGTTGTACGTGAACCGGACCTGCCCCGCTGTTGCCTGGCACGAGAACACCACCACCTCCTTGCGGAAGTTGGTCGTCCCTGCTTGCGTCTCCACGACCGACGCGACGGTCAGATGGGACGGCGCTAGTAGGGGCAGCGCGCCAGGCTGCGCCGTGAACGTGATGAGGAACTCGGCGTTCACCGCCAACGCAGTCGCAGCCGACGAAATGTCGACAGAGCCGACGCTGGCGAGCGCCTCAAGGGCTGCCTCGAGGCTGGCTATCGACGTGATGCCCACCGTTTGGGCCGTGGCTCCAGCTGTGAGCGTCGCGGTTGCTACACCGCGGAAGGTCAGCGTGAACGTCCCCGCCGTAATGATCTTCAGCGTCTGGATCTCGGGGACTGTGGGCTGGATCATGTTGTTGGACCACGCCAGACTGGGAGCGCCTGTCGTGATACGCTGCGTCCGGTACAGCACGTCGGCATCCGTGATGAAGACGTCCGCCGGGTTGGCTGTGAACTTGGCCGACGTATCCCAGCGGACCTGGTACTTGGTGATGGGACTGCCGTTGTCGGTCGCCGGTGGATCAAAGGACAACCACAGCTGATCTCCCACCGCATTGGACCCTTTGGTCACCTCTCGGGTGAACACGACCGCACCTTCGCCCGTCAAAGAGCTAGCGTTGCCCTGTAGCAGTGGCAGGTCTCCAGAGTTCAAAACGTTGTCCAGGAACGTCACCACCCAGCTGTACCCTCCTTCCTTGTCGGGTCCTGAGCGCTGAACGCTGACTCGTCCAACAACGTCCAGCGCCTCCAGCTTCTCTTGCAACGACGATCCGTCCGGGTTTACCGTCGCAGCCATCGCGGACGCATCATAGGCGATCAGATCTGTCACGGAGCTGGCATACGCGAGCGTGAAGGTACCACGTAAAGCGTTGCCTTTCCGGACCTCCTTCACGGATATTTGACTGCCTGTTCCAACGAGAGAGCTGGTGACTCGCAACGTGGGGGCATCTCCTTCATAGTTCTGGAATGTGATCGCCCACGTATATCCAAGCTGCGGGGTTGGACCCGATCGCTTCACCTGTACAGTTCCGACCCAAGCCATCGCTTTCAACGTCGATTTTATCGTCGCTGCATCGGCGTTGAATGGGATCGGAGACGAGGATTCAATGAGGAAGCTGCCACTTAGAACGTTGCCATCCGTCAGAGTGTCCGTCGTACAGGCTGCATTCGTTACCGCTGCAAACGTTGAGTCCACAGCACAGATAAACTGCGGTAAATTCCCCTCCGAGTCGTCGAACGCCACCGTCCAGATGTATCCGCCCTGTTCGTCCGCCAGCGACTGAGACACGAGGACATTCCCGAATACAGGAAGACGATTCAGGTCTGCAGTGAGCTCGTCGGCCGTGGCAGCGGCAGCATCGACGAAGGTGTTATCTCCATTATATCCGCCATAATCCAGCATGGAGATCGCCACTTGGCCGTTCACACCGACGGCAGTAAGCACGTTCTTCTCCTGCGTCTGGAATGCGGTACACACGGTGTTCTTCCACTCGAGCAAGGGGGTGTCGCCATAAACTCCATTACCGTGGAAGAAGATCTTGTACAGGAACCCCTTGGTCGTATCATCCGCATAGTCCTCACGAGTAACAAACACGCTGTCAATATTCGACATAGCTTCAAGCGCAGCGTCCATAGCGTCCGCCGATGCATCGAATGGGATGCAGTCAGATATTTTCTCTGCTCCGGCATACGTAAAGTGCAGCGTGTACGACCCCACCGCCAAGGGTTTGCTCGCCTTCACAACCACTTGCTGAACCGCAGTATCCGTCCCCATTGCTGTGTCTGTGTTCATACTCACATCGCAGTGTCCGACAACGCCTACAGTTCCTGCCATCGAGTTGTCTCCACACACAATCGGTAACGTCTCACCAGCAACGTTGTTCCCGACAAATGTAATCCGAAAGGTGAAGCCATACTGGTAGTCCACTGTGCCGTCGCCATCTCGGGTTACAATGATGTCGGCTGTGGTCACCGCTGGGTTAGCTACAGACGTCAACGCGGTCGTAACCGCAGCCGCGTCAGAGTTGTAAGGAATAGCAGCCGTCTTGGTCCCCAAGAGCGTGAAGGTACCAGCTCCACTAGCCACATTCCTCTGGAAAAACAACGTGTAGCTTCCTTGAGTGATCGGTGCGGTGGCCCAAATACGCACAGTCTGCACTGTAGGGACACGGAAAGCCAGGCTTCCTCTGATGCACGATCCACCAGGACAAGAAGCTGGTAACACGGAAGTCTGCAGTGTTTGGACCTCCGGAATACTCGACGCTTGAGTGGTGATCTCCTGGATCTCAGTAACGTGAGTAGCTGCCAGCCTCACCTCTTGAACTTCTCGTTGATACAATGCGTAACCTGACGCGAGGTTCTGCACGCCGGTGGCTGCACTGCTTGGTATAGCAGAGGATGAAGGCGTGGACGCGCCAACGCCAATGTCGGTCCACGCAGCAACGCGCGCGTAGTAGTTAATCCCAGCGAGGAGGTTGGTGATGACGTACGAGTTGGATGCCGATCCCTGAACAAAGTCGTCTAGGATGGTCATCGTTCCTCCGGATAATGCCGAGGTTTGTTTGCCAAGTCTTGGAATATTTCCTAGTGATGACTTGAATTTGATCGTCCAAAGGAACCCGTTCACCTTGTACACATCCAACTGCTGCTGCCCAGCGCTTGAAAGATAGGGCGAAGCTGTGGTAGAATCACCAGGTAGAGCGAGTGGAATCGAGCTCGCAGTTAACGCCGAGATTCCTCCCACGCCATTGCGAATCCTTGAGATCAGAACATTCGTAGCGCCAATGTCCGGCGCCGTTGCCGTAACCACAGGTATGGTTCCGACGCTGCCAGCTACCGTTGAGCCGCTGAAGTAAATCATGTAGACGAAACCATGCGGAGCCGTGTCTGCGTTGGTTCTTCTGGTCACGATAATGTCACTAGCGCCCACGTTCACAGTGATGCCCAACGCGGCTTGCACGGTCCTGATCAGTTCCGTCTGGAGAGCGCTTTCGCTGGCGTCCCACGGAATCGGATTCGTGTCTGTCCCCAGCAACGTCAGCTTATACTTTGCATTGGACGCGATGTTATTATTTGGGTTGGAGATGATGAGTTGCTGGATCTCGAACTGCTCGTCCATGACGCTGAACTGTTGCGAGACGCCGTACGCAACGTGCGGCGTGTTCGGATTCTCCCCGTCGTACACACTCGTAAGCGCGAAGTCTCCAGTCAAAGCACCTCCGTCGGCAACACCACTGACTACGAGGTTACTCGTCGCAACTGCATTGGCACACGCTGTATCGCTTGACTGTACAACGCCGATTAATGGGAGGTTTCCCGTCACGAGATCTCCAACAAACGTGATGCGGTAGATGTATCCCTTCGGATATTGCAGAAAATCGGAGTCACCTGAAACCAACACATCACCCGTTGTACCAGACGTGAGCGCTATCAGGGCAGCAGCGACTTGAGTCGGCGTTGCGGTGAAGCGAAGGCAGCTTGATGATTGACCGCCGCACGTTATCTTGTACGCTCCGGTGACTGTAGTGTCGACGATTGTAAGAGTTTGAACTTCACTGCTGCCTCCAATCTCCACCAACTCTGCTGAAACCTTCCGGGCGCTGCCTCCGCTTGTCGCCCACCCACAGACGTTGTCGATGTCTCCGTTCTTAAGAGTCACCAGGGTCACAACTGGCGTCGTTTTGTAGCCCAGGAAGAAAATATCGTACGTATATCCTGAGTAGCCCTGCCGAACCGTCTCCACCATCATCGCCGGGTAAATGCCAGTAACCGCTCCAGACGCACACGCTCCTGTGCCAACGTTGCCGATCTGCAGTTGCGGTACATCGCCGAGGACAACGCTAAAGCCGCCACTGATGGGTCCTTGGAAATTGATTAGATACTCGTATCCATAGCCCAAAGCCTCTTGGCCGTCACCTGTCCGAGTGACGTTGATGTGGTCGACGTTGTTCGCGACGCCTACATTAGTCAGTCCATTGAGAGCAGCCTCGAGATCCTCCGCCAATATGCCGTAGGGTAAGCAACTGGTTGCAAACGTCTGCCCATTCAGCGTCAATTGAACCTGAAACACCCCATTCGTTCCTGTAAACTCGGTATTCGCAGTCATTCGAATCCGCTGTACCTCGGTTTGCGAGGTTCCGTTGCCACTTCTCGTCACTATCACGTTCCCCGTATTTAGCGTGTTCTCCAGCGCTGATTCCACGTCGCTCGCAGGAGCTCCCCATTTGATACAGCCAGAGTCCACGTTGTTGAACGTGATCGTGAAGTAGCCCGTCGAATCCTGCACGTCTTCATAGTCTGTCGCGAGCATAATCCGCTGGTGCGGTAACTTACCACCGTGCGTCACGACGCCAACCGAAACTGCAGCGCCCGTAAAACCCGTACAGCCCGTAGTTTTCGTTTGGAGCTTCGCAACGTCCCCTGTCACGGAGTCGCCGTTGAAATAGACCGAGTACATGTATCCTTTCGTAGTGCCATCACTAACCGGACCCGATCGAGACACCAACACGTCTGGCGCTTGGGTTTGCAGCATCAATTGGATCTTTGCTTGTAGTGTGGCGGCCGGTGTGTTGACCGCAAAGCAAATGGACGGGCCATAGGTTGTCCCCGCTCGGGTGAATTTCAGGGCGTAGTAGTCGACGTCTTGACTAGCCAGCCACGAACCCACAGGTACTGATGTGGTGATGGTTTGGACTTCGTGGCCTGTTCGCTGGACCTTGTACACCAAGCCATCAATGCGTAGCTGCTGGCCAGGGAACAACATGCTCGTCGACGGAGGGTTCGCTGCTGTCACTATCGGAGACTGCGGCGCAACGTTCACTTTTGAGGTCTCGGTTACCCCCGTAAACGGCGCGTCCCCGTTCGTACCAAGAAGGTTATTCGCCGACGAAGACCCAAATCGGATGATGTCAGTGGGCGCAATAAATTGTCGAATGTCGTCGATACCAGTAATCGTTGCCGTGACCCCATCTTGATCCAGCGTCGCGGTGGCGCCAGGTATCTTCTGCGTGACCAAGTAGCCTTGAGTGACGTCGACGTCACCAAACAAGTCCATCGCTTCGATTCCAAGTTGTATGGCTTCCGCTGACGCTGAATACGGTAGAGCCGGCGTTTGGTTTTCGGTAGTGTTGAGCGAAAACGTCCCCGTTGTCGGTGATGAACCGGGAACGTTGGTATACACGTCAACGGATACCCCAGTCCCTAGCAGCGTGGACGACCGAGACACCGATAACGACGCTACGTTCCCACTACCAGGAGGGAAAGTGTACCCGTTGTAGTCGCCTGTAGCCTGCATGAACCGGATCCTCCACCGATACCCTCCCCGTGTCCCCTGGTTTTGAACAGGCTGATCGTCCCAACCACCCGAGCACGTTGCATCATCACACCCCGTAGTGGTAGACGGGTACTTGAACCGCTTCACCGTCACGTGCCCGATCGTGTCCATCTCGTTGAGCTTGCGTTGCAAGCGGTCGGGGTCTTCATCAAACGAAATCTCACGAGGCCCGAACGAAGACGACTTGAAGTCAAGCAAGAAGGAGCCGCTGAGTCCATCGGAGCCAGGAGTCACTTGCGTCACAGTCACGTCGTAATTACTCGAGCCAGCTTCAGCGGCAAATGCAGTCGTGATGCCCGGTAATTTACCAGCTCCAAGCGGAGTAAATCCCGGGTTAGAAATGAAGCGAACGTGCCACGACATCTCGCCATACTTCCCGTGCACCGTGCGATCAACGCGCACCTTGCGTCCGGTATCGCTGGTCGCCGCTTCCAGCACACGCTCGACGAGGTTTTCGTCCGCGTTCCACGGCAGCAGCATAGAGATCCCCAGATGCGTATTCGCGCCGGTATTCATCCCAACGCAGGTAGTGGACGCGACGTTGATCGTCTGTGCTACAACGCTCGCCACCTGGAAGATACAGTTCGTGAACGTTCCCACCGTGAAGCGATCCTGCGGTAGTAGCTCGAGGTTGCCTCCAGCCTCGAGCGTAAGCGATGTCACTGTACACGGTCCTGTGTTGGGGCAGGTGACCGTAACTGTGTTCGTCTGCGCTACGCCATCGTCGCCTTCAACTCGGAAATCTGTAAAGTCTCCGCGCAGGATGGTACCGTCCCGGACAGTCGTCACTGCAGCCGCTGAGGTTGATCCAGTTAGCAGCGTACCAACGGTGCCCATTTGAGGGACATTCCCCGGGGCGTTGCACAGTTGAGAGCCTGCCGATTCCTCGAGCTGTTCACATGGATGAGTAGCATCGCTCGCATCTCTCAGAAACGTCACTGTCCACTCGTAGCATCCGTTCGTCGTGTCCACATTTCCCCTCGAAACTGCGACATCCCCGACATTTGCCATGCTTTCCAGTATCTCTTCGACGGACGTTCCTGTATTGCCACTCTCCTCCTTCGTAGCCCACGCGTTATGAGCGATAGCTCCACTAGGGACAGCGGAGTTCACCGCCATATGAACAGCGGAAGCTACGGTCGTATCCAAGGACACAGCAAACGATCCACGAATCGGCCCGACGCCCTTAGTCGCCTCATTCGCCACGCAGCTTTGACTCCCGTCGCTGGCGCTAGTTGTGAGTCCATCCGTGATGCAGGTTATAAGCGGTGGGCGCCCAACATGACGTCCCCAAGCTTTCGAGTAGCCCGACTCCCACACGTCCCCCCACTTCGCGGGCGATGAACTCTTCCAATTACCCGTGATACCTTTGGAGTGATCGCTAGTAGGGTCGGCCCACACGGAGGAATGGAACGTGATGTACCACGTATATCCCATCACTTGGTCCGAAGTCGGGGGTCCTCGAGACACGATCACACTGCTGGGCTGGATCGTCCCCAATTTGTTCAACTCCGTCTCCATGTCTGAGGCATCAGCGGCAAACGGGATCGGCGCGGTAGTTTCCCCGTTGAAGCTCAGCTGGAAGGTGCCGCCTAGCTGGTTGCCCTTCGTAGTCTCGTAGACACCTGTCCTCACATTCTGACCGGTTAGCGTCGACGATACGATCTGCAGTAAGCCCACGTCGCCTGCAGTTGTCGGGTCGGAGAAGGTAATCGTCCATGTAAACCCTCTCGCCTGAGTCGCAGCGGACCGCATGATTTGAATACTTGGGATCTTGAGGTTCGTCCGGATAAACGACTCCAGCACGGCGTCTTGTACCTGGGCATCCAACGTTGCGAGCGAGGTCTGCACTCCAACTTGACAGGGGAGAGAAGACGCTACATCCTTGAACTTCAGCATCATAGTCCCCATGACTTGGTTCCCGTCCCGACTGTTAGCAAAGGGGTTGAGCGGGTGCGTCGCGTCTTCAATGTCCGCCGATGGGAAGTCAACCGTTGGGTTATGGGTACTCTTGAGCGTCTTGACGTTAGTCGTCGGATTCGCAGTTCTCGACACCATCATGGGGACGTTCCAACCTCGGCTGGTGAACGTGATCTGCCACGTGAAACCTCCCGACCACTTGTTGCCCGTCGGAGCGTACACCGTCCGCTTTACACTCACCGTCCCGAAAACCTGCTTCAAGCTCGGCGTCACAACAGCCTCCAGCGAGCTCTTCATCAGCGCCTCCGACGCGTCCCACGGGATGTCACCTGTGTACTGTGGGGTAGGAGACACCGAAGTTTCATCCGCTTGGCTTATGAGCCCGATCTGAAAGGTGCCAGTGATCATACTCCCCACGACCGTCCTCGCGACCGTGCAGGCGGCTGGCGTTGTGGCTACACACTTCAACAGCGGCACTGTGCCAGACCGCTTCCGGATCGTGACAGTGTACAGTGATCCAACGAAAGTTGCCGTAACCAACTCGCTGCGCGCCACAGTCACCGAGTCAATCGCGCCAGTCAAGAGTCCTTCCACCACACTCCCCGTGGATATCGTCGTGGCTGTCGTCTTGAATGGAATATCCCTGGCGATCTGCGGTGCTTTGTAGAGCGCGAGCGTTTGACCCGAGAACTTGCTGCAGTACGAGCCCACATCGTTCGCAGCCACGGTGATTGTCGTCGAAACACCAGTGGTTGGAGTCACCGTCCCCGCTTCAAAGGAGCACACGCCTGCGATGAGCTTGGCCCCAGTGGCAACATACGCCACAGCACCCAAATCTTGGGAAATCGTGAACGTCGTCCCGTCAAAACCCGTAACACAAGTCGCACAGATAACAGCATTGGCGGCGGGGGTGCACGCTGTACTGAAAGTCGTGATCGCATTCGGGTCCGAGTAGGACTCGCAGGTGTAAGTGACCGTGAACAAGGCCGCAGCGGAGTAAGCCAGTTCACTGCCAACGGTTAATTGGGTGGCTAGAGTTGGGAGTCCAGAGACGCTGACTCCGCTAACAGTGACAGCGGCATCGATGCCGAGAGATGGCACGTTCCCTGCCACATACAGCCCGGTAAACGTGATGGAGTAGACGTACGTGAGGTCCGGTCCGACGGTATTCTGCGTCCTGGTGACTGTCACAGCATCGATATTTGCAAGGCCTTTCAATGCCGTCTCTACTATCGACTCCCCGCCTGGAGTAGTTTGAAGCGATGTGATGAGGTTGCCAGTGCGCTGGTACATCTTCTTGACACAGTGCGTGCAAATACTGCTGTCGAACGAGAAGAAGATGGTGCCTGCGATGGTGTGTAAAGGGTCCGCAAAGGCCCCCGGGAGAGTGAGCGATATCGTTTGGACTTCATTTACGCGGGTGACTCCGACCTGCAGCGTCTGAACTTCGAGCGCTTCGGGGACTGTCGTCCGAATCGCCTGAATCTCGTCGACGTCATCTCCATCCAGTCGCAGCTCCTGAACTTCATTGCGATCGGTAGCCGATGTTTTCACGAACTGCACCTCATCCACCACGGCTAGGTTGGTCGTTTTGATTACCTGCACCTCGTCAACTCCATTGAACGTGGTTCGTACTACTTGCTCTTCATTCGTAACCTTCACCGTAGCATCCACAAACTGCTCTTCATTGACAACGTCGTTCTGCAGCGTGATCGACTGCATTTCCCGAATAATCGGGATCGTCGCGCTGGAGCTTTGTTCGCTGGAAAAATCCTCCTGATCGTCCCACTCGATTTGGTAGGACTTGAGGCTGGACCCACCGTCGTACAGCGGGTTCGTCCAGTCCGCTTTCAGTGAATCTGCCGAAATTACCGATAGTTTCAAGTTCTGCGGCGCGCTTGGTGGTTGATCCGCCACAGTGACGGACGCGGGAGTGGTTGGTTGAGGGGCGCCAGCACCCTTCGCGTTGAATGCAGTGACGCGAATGCTGTAAGTCAACCCAGCAATCAGCATATCCGACCGGACTCCAGTAAACGCGTCATCGCCGCCGATAATATACGATCGCTTTGTGCCGTCAACAAGTCCGAACGCTGGAGGGGAATCAAACGCTGCTGAGCGGTCCCACTCGATCATGTACTGAGTGATCGGAAGCCCACCGTCTCCTCCGAAGTAACTTTTCTCGGTCGAAGACACTTTCCACTCCACCAAAATCGCGTAGCTCGACAGAACCGTCGCCGTCGCTGCCTCTGGTCGTCCGGGTGTTCGATCCGAGGGGGTGATACTGCTGGGACTTGGTACTCCGAAATCCCCAGCTCCTTGTTCGTTCACAGCAAACACTCGGACGAAGTATTTCGTCGCACTTGTGACTGGGATATTGAAGTAAAACGGAGCCACGTCGGTCGGCGCTACCTGTAGGTCTCCTCTGGCGGGGTTAGTGAAGTCAGCAGACGTATCCCATTGAACACCGTACGAGGTGATGACTGTTCCACCGTTGCTAGCAGGATTTCTCCACCGCACTTTCAATAGTCGACTCGAAAGTGCGAGCAGCTCCACGCCTGAAGGAGCAGAGGGCGTCGATCTGGGGATTTGAAACGTCGGGCTGATGCTGGCAGCGTAGCCATAGCCTTCTTTGTTGTGTGCTCGCACCCGGATGCCATACTTCTGGCCTGTCTTCAAGCCTGGAATAACGTAACGCAGCTGACTGGGGACTCCGACCTCGGCAGCTACTCCTACAATCTCGTTCCGTTCACAGTAGAACGGTGGCTGAACTCCAGCGAGTGTTGGCGCGGCAAGGATTCGCGCGCCTGGGCCTTGCAACTCTGTTCCATCGACGCTCAAAAGCGAAATATCATTCTTAAACTCCGACAGGAACGTGACAACCCAGTTGAATCCGTATCCGTTGGTTGATCTGCTGACGCCGACAGCCCCAATTGTGACCAGACTTTCGAGTGCTGTCTGTAAATCAGCTGCTGAAACATTGTGAGCCAAAGATGGTGTAGTGTCCGATAGGCCTCCACTTGCAAAGGTGACTCGAAACGCCCCGCTGATCGGTTGGAGGCCCTTCTGAATGAATTCGACGAGAATACCAGGGTTCGTACCGGCCCAACTGTCACTTGGAAACACTTGCATCAGTTCCTGAGGCCCGACGTGGCCTGCCAAGAACGTGATCTTCCACTCGTAACCGAACGCGCTCTTGAAAACTGGTATCGGAACCGTGACGTCGAGAGCTGTGTCGATAGTGAAAGTGGTTGCAGTTGGAACGGTGCGAATCGATCGCTGGTTTCCGGCAATCCAGATTTTATCGTTCGGTGCTAATAGGTTGCCATAAGCAACGGAGGTTGTGACGGTCGTCCCTGCAGATGTCACGAGAAACCCGCTGACGACTCGGGTCGACTCTTGCTTTGAAACATCCACTGTGCCAATCGTCGATAAACGTTCCAACCGTTCCTTCACCGAGTTCACACCGGTTGCTGGTGCATCCCAGCGGATGTTCTCCGTCACTTCGCCTCTGAATGATAACTTAAAGTATCCGCCTAATGACTGTGAGTCAGCGAAGTTCACCAGCCGCTGGATCTCCGGTAGTCCCTTTCCAGCAGATGTCGTGATCGTTTGTTGCTCCTGAGTTCCTTCAGCGCGATACCACTCAACCTTGTACTTGTCCACACTGCAAGATTCACCATTCATTGCACTCGCACTCCAGTCAACTTGCAGCGTGGTTCCATCCACGACGCTGGCGGTGACGGACTGGGGGGCAGGTGGCTGAGTGCAGGTCATAGCACTTGCGAGTGGCGACGTCGCGGACCCGAACCCATCTTCATTGTACGCCATCACGTGCGCGTAGTACTTCACGCCTGGTCGAAGGCCCGTGAGCGAGAACCGAAAAGGGTCGGACCCTGTGATCTTGTTAGCGACGCGAACCACGGCGTTCGTCCCCGTCAGCTGCGGGTTTGTCACCGTCATGGTGAATATGTTGCCAGCACCAACCATCTCCTCGCCTCGGAGATACGCGAACGTAACAGACCAAATGGCGGTGTTGATCGCCGCGTTGCGTATCGCCTTTGTGACCTTGATGGAGTACGTCGTGGTCGTCGCTTGCAGCGCCGCCTGCATCTCCAGAGTCGACGCGCCTACTAGGATCGTCCTCGTCGTCTTGCCGTTGAATGTCAGTGCAAATGACCCGTCCACCTCTGACACGCCATCCGTGAAAACCTCCTGGACTTCGTGCGTAAAATCCCCAATATCCAGATCATTGAAGCCCTGGATAAGCTCAGTAACCTGGATTTGAGGGAAGTCGCCCGTCAGCTGCCTCCCGTCGGCAACAAGCGGGGCCAAGTCGCCTGGGTTGTGAAGGAAGGTGATCTTCCAGGATATTTTCAACGCGTCCACCAAGGACACTTGTGATCGCGTAACTTTCACCGGGTCGACAGCAACGTCGGTAGTGTCCGTGATGATCGCCAGGGCGTCGGTCATATCCGCCTCAGAGCAGTCGAATGGCAAGGGGGTAGTCTTCCGTCCGCCCCAAGCTAGGGTAAACGTGCCTCCAGCACCAATAGCTTTACGATACGTCGTCGTCACCTGTTGTACTTCAAACACCCTCTGGATACTTGCCACACCGTAGTCAGCGCTTGAGCTGTCGAAGTTAGGCGACGAATCCCATTCTACTCGATACATCGTCACGTCCGCTCCTCCCGAATAAAGCGGGGCCCAATAGTTCAGCGATAGCCACGTGGATCCATGAAACTCTCCGAGCGCTACACCGGTCGGTGGGGTCGGAACAACGGAGCTTGCCGATGTCTGAGCTTCAAAAATTGACACCGAGTCACTAATACCCCTTGAATTCTCAGCAAAGACGCGGAAGGCGTAGTTCTGACTGCTTTCGAGGATCAAGTTGTCTTGCTTGGTCACAGCAACTGCGTCATTGTCACGAACGTACGCCTTTAAGTTTCCAGAGAGGTCGGGCGTGACTACGAGCAGCGGCAATTTCTTCATCGGGTACGTTCCCCAGAATGAAACAGTGTGGACGACAGTACCGCCGTTCACCATGGATGTGACGGTGACGCCGTCCACACTATCAAGGGTCTCAAGTAGAGTCTTCAGGTCGTCGTTGATGGTTGCCCACGGGATGTTAGTCGGGCTAGTGGTCCCTGCGTCCACGACTGTCTCGTCCGCGAAGCTTAGAGTGTACGGTGTAGCAATCCCGGTATTGGCGACTACCAGAAGAATGGTCTGCACAGCAGCGGGGTTCCCCACATTAATCACATTGGGAGACACGGCTTTCGGGCTGCGCGTACCGATGCGGGCGTCAGTCCCGCGCCAGTCGTGGCCTGGAATGGCATCAACAGTGTCGAGGCTTCCATCGTAAGACCGGAAGACGAGGTTCCACTTCCGTCCATAAGATACATGGTAGGCTTGCAACCTCGTAATGGGCGTCGAGATAGTCCCTGTCACCTGCAGATATCTCTGCGTTACCGCGTCAACTCTGTACTTGGTCATGTCTGCCGATACAGAGGGGAGCCACAGGTCTTCACCAGCAGCTATTAAGTTCCTCAGGTCCTCCGTCGTCTGCAGTCTGTTGTCGAAAAGATACACTGCTGGGCTGCCACTAACGACAGTCTCACCTGGGTATGCCAAGTCGGTGGTGACGACACTCGCTCCAGACAACCCTGTGACTGTGAACATTGTTCCAGCAATGAAGAATGGGTTACCCACGATAAATCCATGGTCTGCAGGCAGCTGAAACGTGTTCAGACCGTTCGTCGCCGCAACAACTCGCATGAGAGGCGAGATGCCGACGAACCCAGGCAACGGCTTCGTCTGTTTCGTGATCAAGCCGGCGGACACGTCGTAGTTCTGAATCGGTGTCGTGCCAGGGAATGGGTCAGTCAGGGTGATATCCACGGGCGTCATGGACTGAATGGTGTTCGCGGGGTTCGCGCCGATCACTAGCGTCTCGCCAATAGCTAGAAATCGGGTGGGGTCGATGGACATCCCACCAACTTTGAGCTTAATGTTGGACAGCGTTCGGCTGCCTCCCGTAGCGTCAGCAGTGAGAAGTAGCGAGTAAACCCCAATGTCTCCTGCACTCGCGTCACCAAGCGCCACCACCGAGTCCACGACACTGAGCTTCTGCAGCTCCTGGGTGACCTTCATGTGCGTTGCCGAGAACCCAATCGGCTCGGTCACTTCACCGTTAAACGTTATCCAGAACGAGCCGCTGATGTCGTTCTGATTGGCGTCTGTAAACACTGTGACAGTGGGGTAGACGCTGATCAGCGCGCTCTGGCCGGTCAGACGCGAGTGCTGGATGAAGATGGCGTCTTGCTCTTCGTCTTGCGACTGCACGAACGTCACGTGCCACGCCTTCCCGTAGGTGCCATACCGACTCACGCTCACGTTGACGGTCCCCGGCGCAGTGATGGAGTCGATCGCATCGCGCATCTCAGCCGCTCCTGTTGTTTGGAACGGCAGCGATGGCGTCACTTCTCCCATGTACGACAGTGTGAATGTCCCGCCGATGGCACTCGAGGCGTCTGCGAGGATCGTCTGAATCCCATCTTGGCCTTTCGAGCACGCGCCCTCATACTTGACAGTATGGACTTGGCCGTACACCGGTTGATTTGGCACAGTCGGTGCCCACGCCGCACAACCGCCGGCGCCGGTTCCGAATGTTGCCGAGTCAAACTGCAGCGTCGGCCACTCGCTGGTCGGATAGTGCCCCCAGAAGCGCACCTCGTAGTCGTAAAAGTCCAAGATCTTCAAACTCCGGGCCTCGCCTGTAAAGCTGGTACAGGTCCCAGACCCAGAGGGGGTAACGGAGATGGTTTTAGCTCCGATGGCCGGGGTCGTGTTGATAACAAACCTGCACGAGTGCCGTGAAAAGTCGTTGGGGTTCCGGCTCACTTGGATGACGGTGTTTCGGAGCAGAACAGCGACTTGGCCACCAGTAAGACCTCCATTTGGTGTTACTGTAGTATCTGTACTAACAACAGTAATCGTGGTGAGCGTACTGTCGTAGGCGGTAACTTTGGACGTGGAGGTCCCAGTCAATACGGACACCTTGAATGCTAGCACCTCCTCCACCGTCACTTTGGACACGAAGTCGAGAGCTTCCAGCATCGCCTTCATATTAGTCGGCGTGCCTTGCTTGCCCAAGGTAACGCAGCCAGTTGTCTCACTCCCCAGTTTGATCTTGAAACTACCGGCCGTAGCGGTTGTAGGGCCAAAGAGCTGTAATACTTGAACTGACGAAGGTGCTCCGACAACGTACGTATCGCACACGCGCTCGTCGTTGTTGATCTCGAAGTAGCCGTAGTGGGTAGCGGGGACAGCAGCTGGGCCAGCAGTGATCCCAGTCGTTAGTGCTGAGCCTGTTTTGACCGAAGAAAGCGAAGAAAGCAGCTGCAGACCGGGGTATTTGCTGTCCACAACGTCGCCAACAACATTGTCGAACGAAATTGTCCACACGTACCCATACGAACCATGCGCACTACCCGAATCGTCCAACCTGAGTGCAGCCTTCGGCTGGATAGCTGCGTTGAAGCTCGGTACTGTGCTTCCAGGCTCCACGTTGACACTTGTGCTGCCTGCTGTTGGCTGCGTTCGAACTGTAAATCGAGCCCCTTCAACATCAATGGCTGCCCCTTTAACCAACAATTTGCTCTGAGTGTCTGTCAAGACCGTCGTAGTGAGAACGTTGGCGTTGGGATCAAACGAGATCACGCCATTAGTCACCCCTCCTGTAAGCACATACACCGCGCGCGTGACTGAAACTGGCCGCAGGCATGGGAGGCTATTCAAGGCAGTCTCCAGAGCGCTAGCTGTCGTGTCCACTGATAACATTGACGTAACATCGTCGCCATACTGCAACCGAAAAGTCCCAGCAGCGTCGTCTTCGCGAGAATTAAACACATAAACCTTCTTGGTCGCTGGAGTTCCAAACGTGTCACCGACCGCGTACTCAAACAAATACTTCGACACGGGATCGCCATGATCCACTGGGCTGGAGAGACGAAGCTCCATCTGCGAGCCTGACAACGGCCATATTCCATTCACGCCCGGTGCATCCGGAGAGGTTGCCACGGAAGTGAGGAGCGGCAAGGCGCCTCGCCCGCTCTGCTGCAAGTCCGTTGTGCTCGCGCCGTATCCGTTCTCGTTGCGGGCGTATGCGCGCACATAGTAATCTTCACCTGGAACCAGTCCATCAATTATCGTTTCCAGAGACACATCCACGCCTTTCACGACCTCCTGCACCACGACATCCGCCCCTGTGCCTTTCAGCAGCTGCGTGTTGCCCACAACGAACAGAGGCAAGTCCCCCATATTCGACAGAAAGGTGACAGTCCACGTCACGCCGAAGTTTGAATTGTCCGCCCTGGTCACGTTCAGCCGCCCAACCGTAGGCAGACTCTGGAGCTTGGCCCGGACGTCGGCTGCGGTGTCGTCAAAGTTGATCACTGCGCCGCTAGCTCCTTGGAAACTGAGTGGGAACGAGCCGCTGATGTCATCGGCACTTGCTGTCGTGGAGATCGACTGCACTTCAGGCACCGCTCCGCCAACTTCTTGTGAGGCGACGATCGCACTGTCCGCGTAGTCCCCGTCGATCGCTCGTAAGGTAGTGACCCGCGTATCATCTTTCACGATCGACGCTGTCACTGAGCACGTAGCGCAGGTGTCGCCATACACGTCCACAAAGTTTGTAGTACCCGTCTTCATATCGACACGAAGGCATGGTGACGTCGGGCAGGTGCTGTCCAGCGACTGGAACGTGACGTGCCATCGATATCCATTCGAAAGTGAGGGCCCAACACGCGAGACGTCGATGGCCCCAACTCCAGGCAACGCGCTCAACGCGCGCTTCATCTCTGCGGCCTCCGCGCTCACACTCAACGTCGCCTTCTTGCGTACATACGCCGTCACGTGCAAATTGGACGCGTCAGGCCACGCGCTCGACAGCGTTATTGTGCCAGCTACAACGATCGCGACCGCAACGTCCCTGTCGCCTATTCGAATCTGCTCTCCACCCGCAATTCGACTGCTGAAGTCGCCAGAGGTGATCACGGACCTTGATCCCCCCGTGACCTGAACGTTGCCCAGCGCCGTGTCCATGACCTGAATCGGAGCTCCACTGGCGCCGCGCACGTGGTACGAATCCAGCGGCAGCGTGGTGTCTGTGAAGGGCGCGGTGGCGTGCACCCTGAACTCCTCTCCGCCGATGCGCACGCGGTCTCCTCGATTCACGCGCCCGAGCATCGACGCGCTCGTCGTCGCCGTTCTCGAGCCTGCGGTCACCGTGGCCGTCACCGCGGGGGTGGCCGCCACCCAGACGCCTTCGAAGCCCACCGACAAGTCGAACGTGCCCCCCAGCACCTGCGCGTTGGCCGCGTCGGTCGACACGATCTCCCACACCTCCGGGTAGAATCCGGAGACGCCCGGCGTGACGCGCGCGCCCTCGAACGACAGCGCGCGGTTGGGCGGCTGCACGTCCTGGCACGCGCTCGCGTCCCCCACGAGCGTGTTGGCCTGCTGCCCGCTCACGAGGTACGCGCCGTCGAACGTGACGGTGTAGACGAAGCCGTTCTTGGCCGCGCTGTAGGGCGAGCGCGAGACGCCGACGCTGTCCACGTTGGGCAGCTGCTCCAGCGCCATCTCGAGCTCCACGGCGCTGGCGTTCCACGCCACGCACGACGTCACCTCCGTGCCCAGCGCGTTGGTGAAGGACACGCGGTAGCCGCCGGCCAGCACGGCCCCGTCCGCGGGCCACCGTGAACGTCTGCACCTCGTCCACGCGGCGCGCCACCTCCACCTTGTAGCCCAGCACGGGCGCGCCGTTCACGCCCTCGGGCTTGACGAGCAGCGGCGGCAGGAACTGCACGCGCACCGACGAGTCGCTCGCGGGCGACACCAGGATCTTCTCGGGCGGCCCGGGAACGTCCCCGGGCGTGAAGAAGTCGGCGCGCACCGCCACGAACAGCAGCAGCAGCAGCAGCCCAATCGACAGCATCCCGAGATTTATTGCGCGCGGCCAGCTGCGCTGTGGCCTACGTCGAGCCATGCTGCTACGAGCTGCCAGCGCCTAGGATATCTCGACGCGACTTGTGTGCGAAGGATCGCCGAATCATAGGTATGAAACGGCGGCCAGTTGCCGCACAGTGAGTGAGTGAGGGTTGTTGGCACCAAACATTCTGTGCCAGTCTGTCAAAAAAAAGTGTAGTACCGGTACCACCCAAAACATGGACAGGACCACCCATACAAAAAAAGGTGCGACCACCAATCTTAAAGTGTACGACCACCAAGAGAACTGGTATGACCACCGAAATAGATATTTAACTTCAACGTGCTGGCTTCTCAGTTCAAAAGTGAAGTAGAAGGAAGATGAATAGAGGCGACAACGCCTCCACCGACAATTCCGATGACCGCCTGCAGCTGGATGAGTGGGATTTCGGCCTGGACGACGACGCAGAGCCAAGTCAGAGAGTCCATGGAATCAGATATGGCGTTCAACGGAGCCGGACACACTGGAGGTGTACCGCGACGAGCTACCGACGCATGCAGTAGATAAAAGCAATCAAGTCAACTGTACTATCAACCATTTAAGTGATCGTGACTAGTCTACATCGGCGGGATCATCCAATGCGGTCTTAATTGGTACCGTGTCGCTCGAAGCGCTGCAAGGCAGAACAAAAACGTGTGCATGGTGACAGCGCAGGACGTCCACCTCCCTGTCCGTGTCGATACAAGTTCAAGCTCTGCCTCGCTTCAAGTACATGCGAGGTGTTTCAGCAAGACAACCACGTCATGAACATAAACGACCCTCCAACCCCTGTGGAGCGCAAGTTGACCAAGCAAATGAAGGACTATATTGTAGAGTGTTTGGGGTCTGGAGAAAAAACTACGGCGGCAAGGCTCTACACACTTATTGCCATGCTCGTGGATGATGGGGAAATAGCAGGTCCAGCCCCCCAAAAGACCCAAGTTACCGACTTTGTGAAGAATTGGCGGCGCAAAACCCCCAAGAACAGCTTGGCACCACTCATTTCGCTATGTGATGGCCACCTCTACGACCAACACAATTTGGAGGAGCTACCGGACACCGAAATGGTGATTCTGTGCGATTCTCAGCAGGCCTCCACACCCGGGGAAACTGGTGTGGTCTCCCAACTTGGCGATGGCTCCAAATCGTATCCGCTAAGAGTCGGAATGACCTGCCTACGCCTTGTTAAAGAGTACATCGCTGTTCAAAATCGTGGCGACTGCACGACGATCTTTCACATCGACAGTACGCACAGTATGACCATCAACGGCTACGTGGTTTTCGCGTTCGGATATTCGGATCAAGCTGGCCACGTTTTCCCCATTGTGTACTTTTGCACATCGCAAAAACGTGCAATTGATATCGGGTGGTGTATCCGATTTGTAAAGTGCGTGTGCTTGGAGGTGTGTGACGTCCGATTCGATCCTGGCTTTGTCATGATGGATGCGGACAAAGCTCAGTTCAACGCTTGTATCACGGAATTACCGCACACAACTGTGCTCATGTGCTGGTTTCACGTGACGCAAAATGTATGGAAATATGCTAAAGAGAAGCGTGTGAGTGCCGAAGACACTAGGTCTGTATTTGGGGACTTGTATGACATGCACTACGCAAATGAGGAAGACTTTCCTGTAGTCAAAGAACGCGTTCTCACGAAATGGAGGGGCTGCGAACGTGGATCAGCTGTGCACAAACTTACGGGCCATGTAAAAAAAATGTGGATAAACTCGCATCGCTTTTCCCGTTGGCAAGCTTTCTACACACCTAGTGGCTACGCCGCTACGAATTACCCTTTGGAGCAATATCACAGAACCGTGAAGTTGCAGTGTCCTCCTGGGGAGGCAACCCCTAGCGAGCTACTCAAGAATTTGAATGGCGCTCGACTCGCCTTTCTCAACAGCGACGCCACATTCTCCACTGCGGCCACCGCATCCGAACGTTTGATAGCTATGTACCGACTCATACACAGACGGGGATGCCTTTCGGTGCATCGGATCCCACCTGTTGGAATTGTTGCCGCTGATCTTTACAGGGTGAAACAGAAGCCGCTACGTCTAACAGCTGCGGAGAAAAAGTTGGTAGCGAACTCTATCCGATATGTGAACTCACGGCGGATGCAAACGGAAAATATGCCGTCTGGTGGCTGGATTGTAGACACACGAAGCAAGTCTTGCTCATGCGCCTATAGTCGGAAGCACGGGCTGTGCTGCCATTGTAACGGGGTTACACGCACAAGTGGCTACAGTCACTTGTAACTCTAGAGGTTCGAAAGACTTTCTCGTCCTTGGTGTAGACACACCAAAGGCTACATACATTTAGGATCACCACGACGGGTGGTCCATAGAGACTTAGGATTCCTATTGGTTGAGAGCAGCATCTTTTAGCCAATGAGTGACTTGCATGTTAGCAGAATCCTGCCAACCAGCCGTTGGCAGATTCCTAGTTTAGAATATTACATTTAGAGGAAGTCAGAAGATAAAACAAAAATAGCAGTTCTCATCTTTTACCAAAACCCGCTACTTGGAGTCTTTATCTTGTTTAAAGTATACTCGTGGATCTCGAGTATACTTAACTCAAGTAAAAAAAACCTACGCTTCCTCATACACGTGCGCATACGTGTAAGCCGTAGTAGTGAGCCAAGGTAGGCCCATTACACCTGGTACAGAACTACCGAACGCCTGATATATATAAGGGCTCTAGGTTTATAAAGTGATCTCAGCGTTACCATAGAAAAGGCTGTACTGAATTAGTTTATCTTAGACGGGATTTGACGCTTGCTTAGTTAATCAAACCCGAGTAAAGCAGTGCTGAGTTGTTTCAGCGCTGACCTTCGACCAAGCGTGTTCGCACCACATCAGTGCGGTCAGTAGCTCTACTTTGTACTACTCGTAGAGGGCTTAGCGGGTAGAGAGCGAATGTGAAAGTGGAATCGTAAATACAGAGAAGATCGCACATACAATCAAAAGGGCGCCAATTTTCAAACTGCATAGCTCAGTACTTTTAGCCAAACAAAGGTATCCTGGATTTTTACATCAGTACCTTTGCCCATCTCCGTTCGTCCTGTTGTTGGACCTTGAAGTATTATTTATATGAGGTTATGTATTGTATACCCGTTCGGTATTGAGGCAGATTTCTGTAGCACTTTGTAGTCCGTCCAACGAACGTTGTACGGAGCTGTACGAACGAGGAGCCGAGAACCTTTTCATGAGCGCGGAGGTGCCCATGGAAAGCTCCACTTCGCCTGCAACTCATGTTGCACGCGCTGACTGCCTCCACCTGTCGGATCCAGAGTGGGAGGCACTCCAACGACTGTCAACAGTCATTGGGGAGGCGGCAGTAGCTGCGATGCTGCGTACGCAATCACCGACAGAGCAACATGGTGTTGCTCTGGGGTTCATCATGAAGGAGCAGCGTGATGCTACTTCCTCTACCACGGTGGCGTCGGAGACGACACCGCGTGGACAATCGTTGAAGCTAAACGTGAGCAACTATGTCGGAAGAGAGGGCGAGCCTCTCCTCCGTTGGCTTGTCGAACTCGACACTGCCATCGCGGCTCGACGTATCGTCGACCCGTTGTCCAAGGTTGCGTTCGCCATGTCATGCCTTGGTGGACGAGCGAGAAGTTGGGCGTATGGGCGCTGACTCTCTGATCCTACGTGCTTCAGCACGTACGAGGGTTTCAAGGAGGAGCTCAGGCAAGCGTTTGAGCCCCCGCAAAATGAGTTTCGGTCGAGGGCAGAGTTCCTCGACCTACAGCAGGGTAAGCATGATGTTCATGCTTACGCGCAGAGAGCACGGTATTTGGTCTCGAACATTGTGACCAATCCAATAGACGAGGCGACCAAGGTCGTCACGTTCATGAAAGGACTTAGAGATGGGCCTGTGAAGATCTATCTCTTCCGTGAGTACCCGAGTACTCTCGAAGCTGCAATTACTCTTGCAATGCATGAGGAGTTTAGCCTGCGACAGGCTAAGCTGCATGCGAATGCGCCGAGGCTGCGACCACCTCCGGTTGCGATAGCGGGAGGTCCGGAACCAATGGACCTCTCGAATGCAACGGCTGCTGATTATCAACAGCAACAAGGAAGTACTGTACGATGCTTCCGTTGCGGAAGGATCGGTCACTATGCCCGAGAGTGCACGGCACCCGTGCACCGAGATGGTGCTCGACGCGGCGATGCCGGGCATCGCCACGGACAAACAAACAACGCTGGAACCCAGTAGGCGCGGGGCGCCCAACTGGTGAAGCAGTCACGCGTGTCCAACTCGGACATGCGACACTGAGGACTGCAGTGAGGACCCTTCTCACTGCAAAATGCATGATGACAAACCGAACCTTGTCATCTTGGACGTAGAGAGAGCAACTCTCTTCGTGCTTTGGTTGATTCGGGCGCGTCGAACAACTTTGTTCGACTGCGAAGTCTATCAAGGCTTGACTTCGAGGAGGTAATTATACCTCGAAGTATGTTGGAAGTTCGATTGGCAACGGGTGCCATCGTTAAAACCGAGAAGCGCATGGTACGCGTGCGCTTCACGTATAAAGATCAAGTTTGTCGAGACGTTTATCGTCCTGGATCTGGACGATAAGATTGACATTGTATTGGGCATGCCGTGGCTTGCACGGCATGATCCGGTCATCGATTGGGAGAAGCGCACTCTCGTGCGCTTCGGTCGCGACAGCGGAACAGAGAGCGATGGCCCTGTTGCCGCTACGCACGCACCGACAGGTGCGCGCGACTCCCCACTCGAGACAGCGCCTAATGCCGCTGTCCCGGAGCGCCCTGGGCGCGCGCGAGCACGCGCAGCAAGCGTCGGCGTCGCCGCCGACGGCTGAAGGAGAAAATGTGTTGATCTCGGAGACCGACACCCGCTTTTCAGCGAATCAGGAAGAATCTCCGAGCTCAAGGGGGCACGGATGACGCAGGCGAGTCACACGCCTCAGCCGTGGAGGCTGACGCGAATCTGATTGGATCAGTTTTGGCCAATAATAAGAGCCAAGGTGACGCAGCGCCGTCGACTCCGGGAGTCGATGGATTGGGTAAATTGATTCGTCGGCTCGGGGAGCCGACGCACCCTCCGTAATGGAGGGCTCCGCCAATAACAGGCGTCGAGGTGAAGATGGCGTGTCGGCTTCGGGAGCCGACGCTGCAGGCGGTGCGGACGGTTGCAAACGTCCCGCACCTGAAAAACTTGCATGCTGTCGTGCAGCCGGGCTGCACGACGAAGCGCCGGGCGACCAAGCCGGGCTTGAAGTCGCTCGCCCGCGGGATGTACCCGCCGGCGGTATACAAGAAGAACAACCGTCCACGGCTGGGCCTGTACGAGGTCAGGAGTCATGCGGAGCCGGGCTCCGCAGGACAAGAAGACGGCGCATGCGAAGGTCGTTGCGCAAGTCTCGGCTTGGGGCCGAGACGCTACAAGAAATGTCTCCCGGGCGGACGGAGGCAGAGAAGCCGGACGTCGAGACGTTGAACGTCTTGACGCGTACCTGTACCAGGTTCCGGTACAGAGAGATGACTCTCGCTAACCCTCCGACGCAAGCGTCGGTGTTGACTTCACTTCCAGTCATGAGCTGGAAGCGCTTCGCGCGCGACTTGCACGATGGACGCATCGAGCAAATATGCATTCTCTCGGACGCCGAGAGAACGAAGAGCGAGAATGAAGAACTGAGGCAGTTCTTCATGGAGAGCACCACTGAGAGCGAGGACACTCTCAGTGCGAAAACTAAGAAGAAGCGCTTTGAGGAGCAGAGCTGGGACTCGCAGAAGACGAGTCCCTTCTACGAGATTCTACGGGGGCACGCGGACGTGCTTCCGGAAGAGATCCCTGCGGAGCTTCCGCAGGACAAGGGCATCCAGCACGAGATTGACCTCGAGCCGGGGACGAAGTACTGTGTCCCGCGGCAGTGGCCACTGCCGCGAGAACAGGTCAAGGCGATCGACGACTTCTTCGAGAGTCGTCGCAAAGCTGGACAAGTGCGGGAATCGAAGTCCCCGCACAGTGCTCCGACGTTCTGTGTCAAGAAGCCACAGGGCGGCTGGCGCATCGTTCATGCATACAACAAGCTGAACGATGCGACGATACCAGCGCAGACACCGATACCGCAAAAAGATGTCATCATCGATTGGATGGCCAGGAGCACTATCTACAGTGCTCTTGATCTGCGCGATGGGCTCTATCAGATCATCATGCGTGAGAGCGATATCCCTCTCACGGCTGTGAGCACGCCGAGCGGCATGCTCTGGGAGTGGCTGGTGATGCCGCAAGGGCTGAAGAACGCCCCTGCGACCTTCAACAGGTGCGTGACGCACTTGTTGTGCTCGGTGCGCGACTTCGCACCGAGCTACTTCGACGATGTGTTCGTCCACAGCCGGGCTGCGGACGGGATGAGCGATGTTGAGATGCACAAGGTGCATCTCCGGAAGCTGCTTGCGCATGAGCGCAAGCACAAGCTCTATGCGAACCTGAAGAAGTGCATCTTCGGGGCGAGCGAGATACCCGTGCTCGGGTGTCTCGTTGGGAAGAACGGTGTCCGCCCTGACCCTGGGAAGGTCAGAGTGATCAGTGAGTGGCCGACGCCGTCGAACGTCAAGGAACTGCGGCAGTTCCTTGGCTTGGCCACGTACTTGTGTAAGTACGTAAAGGACTACGCGGGCATGATACGCCCGCTGTCCCAGCTCCTGAAGAAGGACGCCGAGTGGGTTTGGACTGCTGAGTGTCAGCAGGCCTTCGATGCAGTCAAGCGGGGCTTGACCGAGGCGCCGATCTTGGCGGTGGCCGACCAAGATCGCCCATTCCACGTTGTGGTCGACGCATCCGACTTCGGAATCGGATGTGCGTTGATGCAGCACGATCACGAGGGCCGTGATCGTGTCGTCTACTACCAATCGCGTCAGCTGAAGCCAGCTGAGCGCAACTACCCGGTACATGACAAGGAGCTCCTTGCCATGAAGTACGCACTCGCGAAGTTCCGAGTGTATCTACTCGGAAGCAAACCGTTCGTGGTCTATACGGACCACGCGTCACTGCGGACGGCAGTGAAGTCGTCGCACATCTCGCAACGGATGGCGAGATGGCTCTCATTCTTCGCGGAGTATAACTTCCGGGTTGAGTACAAACCCGGAAGACTCAATGTGGTGGCCGACGCGCTCTCGCGTCGACCTGACTACGCCACGACTGATGCCGACGTCAATGCCATTGACGCCATGCGATCGATCCCCCGACGTCGTCACTGTTGGACGACGTGAAGATCGCGTACGCGCACGACGCGGACGCGAAGCTCTTGCTGGACTACGGCTCAGCGCCTTCTGACAAAGCTCGTCAGAAGCTGCCGAAGCATCTTCGTGCTCGTGCACACCGTTATCGGGTGCACGACGGGTTACTACTCTACAGTGCAGTCGACGACAACGCGGTCCGCGTTGTCGTGCCCAATGACCATGACCTGCAACTCAGTATCATGTACGAGTATCACGATGCCCCGACTGCGGGGCATCCGGGCTGTGAGAAGACATACCTTCTTCTGACGCGAGACTTCTACTGGGCCCACCAGTATAAATGGGTGCGCAAGAACGTCCGCGCTTGGGAGGTTTGTCAACGTGTGAAGCCTGCGCCTTTCGCGCAGGATCCCTTGCAGTCACTGCCGACTCCGTCGGAGTGTTGACAGTCCATGTCTTTGGACTTCGTGTTCGGTCTTCCCCCGGACAGCCAGGGGAACACGGGCATTGTGGTCTTTGCTGACCGCTTCAGCAAGATGGTACATCTTGCTGCGGTACCCGCTGAAATGACTGCGAAGCAGACGGCGCATCTGTTCGTTGACATGGTGTTCAAACATCATGGCATGCCGATCGACATAGTGTCGGATCGAGACCCGCGCTTCACTGCGCATCTCTGGGAAGAAGCTCGATGTCGACTGCGGACCATCCGCATACGGACGGGCAGACCGAGCGCGTGAACCGCGTGCTCGTTGACGTGCTTAAGAGCTACGCTCACTCGTTCCAACACTGGAGCGAGTGTCTGCTGATGGCGGAGTTCGCCATCAACAACTCGGTGCGTGCCTTGACTGGACATACACCGTTCTACGTGAATGCCATGAGGATATACGCCTCCCGAGTCTACTCGGGATGGTGGCTCCTTCCTTAAGTGGGGGAGGATCTCCGACTGCAACGCGGCAGCCGCAGAATGCCGCTGACACTTGCACAGTGTCAGCCGCAACGACACGAAGTAAAGCCGAGAACCGCGCGTCTGTGCAGGGCACAGACGCCGGCAAGCGCACGAAGAACGTGTCTGTGCGAGGCACAGACACCGCGAAGACGAACGCAGAGGCCGGGCCTACTGCTGGAAACGAGCTGAACTCGTTCAGCTCGGACGCAATCACTTATTGCAGCGCAGACAAGCCGTCATTCGGTTTGTCCAAGACGCTATTGCAGCTTCTGTTGATCGACAGAAGCTGAACGCAGACAACGTTGGCAGGGGCAACACAAATGAATTCAAGAAGGGTTCATTGGTTTTGTTAGCTACTCAAAACCTGCCTAAACATGCCGTTTCCGACTTCGGGGCGAGCAAGCTCGCTCCGCGCTTCATCGGGCCGTTCACTGTGCTGGCACGGCACGGCAACGCCTACACACTGGACATACCGTCTAGTATGCGCCTCCATCCGACGTTCTACGTCGGACGGCTGAAGCCATACCTGCAGTACGAGCTACCTAACTCGGCTGAACCGAAGTAGAAGACTCGGCGGAAGCCGTCATCCTCACCAGCGCGAAGTCGCGCTGGAGCAGCGGGTCGAGCCAATGGTCCAGCTCGGCCGGAACGATCGAGGCGGCCTGGGAGGCCGCCGCAACCTGAGGATACTCCAGAGCGCCGAACCCAGCGCTCTGGAACTACTCCACGACCGGAACTCGGTCGTGGGGAGACGCGAGATCAGAGTCAACACCAAGTTGACCACACACGAGGCGTGTTTCCACCACCACCGCCGCCAATTCGTGACGCACACGGCTCAACTCGATGGATAGTTGAGCGGATTGTTGGTCACAGTATCCCGAGAACGAACAGGCAACCGGTTCGTTTTCGTATTCGTTGGAGAGGATTCCCTCCCAACCAAGATACATGGGAGTCGCGGAACGTCTTGCTCGAAGACGTCCCGGACATGGTGAGGGCGTACGAAGCCCACCATGCACTACACACTGGAAAGTAATACGAGCGCTGTTGTTAACAACAGCGCCCGAAGGCACTTCAAGGGCAGGCTGTGGGTCCTGCCCCCGCGGCAGCGACGCGCTTCGCACGTTGCCGCGCATGCTACTCAGCAGCAGAGAGGTTCTCCGCTGCTGCGCCAGCGGTCTTCAACTTCGACGCGCTCGTTCCATTACGAGCGCGCTATCTTCAACGTCACGCATTGGCCAAGCGGTCAATGGTAGTTGACGTGCCGGGACCGGCACGTCTAACCTTGATGGGGGGATGGTGTAACGGGGTTACACGCACAAGTGGCTACAGTCACTTGTAACTCTAACAGACACGACGTCTGGTAGAGGTTCGAAAGACTTTCTCGTCCTTGGTGTAGACACACCAAAGGCTACATACATTTAGGATCACCACGACGGGTGGTCCATAGAGACTTAGGATTCCTATTGGTTGAGAGCAGCATCTTTTAGCCAATGAGTGACTTGCATGTTAGCAGAATCCTGCCAACCAGCCGTTGGCAGATTCCTAGTTTAGAATATTACATTTAGAGGAAGTCAGAAGATAAAACAAAAATAGCAGTTCTCATCTTTTACCAAAACCCGCTACTTGGAGTCTTTATCTTGTTTAAAGTATACTCGTGGATCTCGAGTATACTTAACTCAAGTAAAAAAAACCTACGCTTCCTCATACACGTGCGCATACGTGTAAGCCGTAGTAGTGAGCCAAGGTAGGCCCATTACAGCATTGTTGTTGCATCTTGTGTTCGCGCCGGAGTATCCTGTCCGGGTGTGAGTATGCATACCCGACAACTCGTTCGCCCAAACTACACTCACGATGATTCCTCTGTCGCATCATCGGATACGTCAGATGGACCACCGTATGACGATGACCTTGTGGATTCGGTGCAAAGGACCAGTTAAAATCCAGTGATGAGCAGAGAGCCAGCTATCCCTAGTTCCACCCAGCAAGCCCGACAGAGAGCATTGCCTCCACAGTCAGTTTTGCTTCGACCTTGCTTCTCGACGACGAAGGCGAACTCCCGCCGACACAGCGTACGGAACCCCGGCCCACAGATAGCCAAGAGAATGTAGCGGCCACGGAGAATGTAGCGACCACAGCGGAGCGTACGGTGTCCCAGTACTCGGAACCCCAAGAGAACGTAGCAGCGGCGGTGCGACCGTCGCAGCGCACGGAACCCCGGCAGCACGCAGCAACAATGCCCCGGGAGCACGCAGCAACAGTGTCGTCTGGAACCCAAGCCGCGCCTACTCGGCGCTCATCGCGAACCAGAAAGCCGACTTAGCGTGCGATCGAGTCGCGACAGCAATACCAGAAGCGCAGTAGACGTTAAGTCTAGATGGTAGGTATCCTTTTAACCTTAGCTTCGATCGCCTTGTATTAATCAATTCATTAAGTTTTCATTGCCTGCAGAGACTCATTTAAACATCCTTCGCAATGACGCTTGGCGGCGGTGTCGGCGGCGAGTCGGGAGTCTCTTCACTGGGAACTGCCGGCGAGGGAGTCTCGATCGCCCCAGCAGCAGACTCAGGACTACTTGAAGGAGTCGGGGGAGGGTCGACCGAGGTCCCGGAGGCGGCAGGAATGAGCGTAGGGTCACCTGCAGGCGCGGCCGGGGCTGGGGGCACAGCACCAGCGGCGATAGGGGCGGGGGCACCCGCCGAACGAGCCTGGCGTGCCGGACGACGACCCGAAGTGTCGGTGGCGACATCAACAGCTCCCTGAGATGATCAAGAAAGAGATGGAGTCAACCACGAGGATTCGAATGACAGTGAGGAGCAGCGGGAGCGACGAACGTACCGGTCCGGAGCACTGGAGAGCCCGAAGAGCAGCGGCAGCCGCGTCGGCGAATGCACGCGACGGTGGAGCCATGGAGTCGAAGAACTGAGGACGCCTAGACGCTCACCAGCATGGGAGGCTCGCGTCGCGGCGGGGGCAGTTGCGGTATTGGAAAGTGGTAGTTTCCAACGCTGTTGACCCGCCAGCCCGACAATCAAGTTCAATCAAGGGGCGATCAAGGCGAGGTCAAGCGAGAGACGGAGATGGCTGCTTCTGATTGGATGATGAGATTATCCTCGGTAGAGTGACAGGCAGTGGCCGAAGCCTCGTCGGGTCCTAATAGAACCCCGAACGAGGCTTCATGGTACCCACTTTTAGGTACAGATGCATTTTTGTTACGTACTTCGGCCGCACTTATTAGTGTAGCCTCGGTCGTCATTTGATGTGTCCGGAATCGCCTTATTGCGATCGTTCACACTAGATATTTGTATAGGGACATAGGACTCATCATAGGATGGCCAGAACGAGGCCCCCAGGGCCTCAGAAAACTCAGTAATAAAAAGACAGTCTTCCCCCAAAGCCAACAAGGGTCAAGTCCGACTTCGGTAAGTGTAGCTAGCTTATCGTAGTGCCTGTACACGCTCGGCTGCGTGTGGATGCCTGTCGGCGAGCTTATCGTGCATTGACCGAGAGTTTCCTTGGCAGCGCCAAGAGTTGGCGTGGCCGGAGAGGCAGGAACGGTATTAGAGTATCGTTCAGTATATATTTGTGGGATTAGAGTGTCCCTGAGTGTATTAGTCTACCTACCCAGGTTTTACCTTGGTCCCCCTGTATAAGGCCTAACACACCGGTACCCTTCCTTTCTGAGGGACTGAAGTGGGGTTGCGCGAAAGCGCTACATAGTACCCTAGCCTTAGCTCGTGGCTAGCGGTACAGGTTTTTGGGTTGACCGAAGACAACCTAAGGTGGACAGAGGCGCTTGCAACCGACCCGGTGTAAGGGATCGTTCCTGGTCATCAGGTTTTGATCCAATATGCGCTTACCTTTGCGGGTTAGCGCAACGCCACCGTAGAGTGTCTAGCCGAGTTGTAGGAATAGACAGCAAACTTGACCCATACATTCCAATCTGTCTGCCTCATGAACGTTGCCACGCAATCTTTCCACGAGCGGTGAAAACGCTCCACAAGTCCAACGAGTTGAGGTCGGTACGGTACGGGATTGATCTGATGAGCTTGCAGGAGCTGCACTAACTCCTCAATCACTTTGCCAGCCAGCTCTGGAGCTCCGTCCGTCAGCAGTTCACGGAATACCCCAAAGCGTAACACCACCTCCTGCATAATGAACGTCGCCACCGTCTCAGCCGTATGTTCCGTCACGCAGCTCGCAACAGCATACCTCGTTACGTATTCGACGGCGGCGATACCTGTCACCTCCGTCGGCTACCGGGAAGGGTCCAGCAACATCGAGCGCTCACCGGTCTCCTACCCCACCACCGCGTAAACTTCGTAGCGGCGGTACCGCTTCACGCGGTTTCGCCATCCGAGACCCGCACTCAGGGCATCCACGCACTCATCGTCTCACTTCTCGGTACAATCCCGGCTACCAGTACAGCTGGGCTACGCGACCATACGTGTGAGGACCTAGCAGGTGTCCGTTCCACATGCTGCCGTGCATTTCTTTGAAGACAGCCGCCCAAAGTGTCGGTGGCAGCACCACTCTCCGTCCGTTCGGCGTATCGACCGTCACCAGGCCGTACTCGTTCGTCACCGTCATGTTGCCGTACTTACCGTCCGCTACCAGCCGCTTTACAATCTTACTGCGCTGCTGCGCCGTCACCAATTCGTCATCGCTCAGCTGGATCGTCTAATCGTCAACAGGGTCACTCCGTTCGTCATCGTCCATGCTGCCCGCGCCGTTCGCCATCATCATCGTGCCGTTCGTCATCGGCACCGTGCTGTTCGTCACGTCCTTGGCCGCTGGGGTGTTCGTCTTCGTCGCCGACGTCTCGTTCGTCGTCTTTGCGCTGCCGGAGCCCTTCGTCGTGGGCTTCGTCTTCGTCACTGGCGTCGTCATCGCCTTCGGTGCTGCTGGTACCGTCGTGGGTGCCATCGTTCGCGTCCGTGCACTCTTCGTCGCTGGTGAAGCGTCACCTCGTGCCGCTGTCGTCGTCTGTTTCGTCCGCGTTGGGCTCGAGACGCCGCAGTCGTCATCTCCGAACGCGTGGGACTCGCAGTCCGTGCGCGTATCGTACTCGTCGCCATTGTTCGTGTCGGGGTGACCACCGCGTGGTGTCCACCGTCTCGTTCTGCATCACCATGTGGCACAGCTGCTCCTGGTCACGTGGGGCAGTTGATGCTGACGTCGGCGTCGATCTCGGTGCCGTCCGAGGCTCCGTAGCCGACTCCGCATTCGCAGCCACCGTCGTCGTAGTTGCCACCGTCCCCGTAGTCTCCGTAGCTTCCGTTCGGCCAGCACTCAGCGCCGTACTGGTCGCGTCGCCGTTGTTCGTCACCGTCGTGGCCCAGTCCACACGTCGCTGGTCTCGTTCGCGAAGACGCTCACTGCGTCTCGTTGCAGCAGTCACCGTCTGCATCGCGCGTCTTCGGCCGTTCGTGGTCGTCACCGCTGAGCCGGTCATCATGGTCGTGGACGCTCCGCTGTCCTCGTCATGCGCTGGCGTTCCGGCGGTGTTGTCCTCCGTCACCGTCTAGGTCGTCGACCTCGTCATGCCGTCCGCCGTACTCGGTGCCGTCACGGATCGCCTCGGAGCCGTCGTTGGTGTCGCCGCCGTGACTATTGGCGCCACCGCAGTCTCCGTCGACACCGCTTCGTCCGTCAGCTGGTTCGTCGTCTGGTCCGTCGTTCTTCCCGTCGTCTCGCCCGTCGCCTCGCGTGTCTCATCCACAGCTGCCGCTGAGTTCATGCTGTCCGTCACCTGCATCGTCGCGTCCGTCGCCGTGTTGCCAGTCGTCACTCTGGCCATCATGTCCGTGGCCGTCATCTCGTTCACCATGCTGCTCGGTGGCATTGCCGCCGCCGTGCCCATCGCCGCCTCGTCATTCTTCCCGCCGTCCGTCGTCAGGACCGTCGCCGTGGCGTCCGCCACTGTCGTCTCCGCCGCTGGAGCACGTGTCGGCGGAGCAGCTGCCGTCACTTCGTCCGTAGGCGTCGTACTGCTCGCGTCTGTCGTCCTTGGCGTCGTCTGGCGCCGTCGCTGCCGTCCTACCGCTGCTCTGACTGCTGCCGAGGCCCGGGATAAGGCATCGGCTACTACGTTCGTCGATCCCGGCCGGTATTCGACCTGAAACTCGTATTCTTGTAGTACTAGCGACCAACGATGCAATCGCCCAGCCCGATTCGGCCGAGTCATCAACCATTTCAGCGCCGCGTGGTTCGTGGTGATCGTGAAGGCTCTGCCGTACAGGTAGGGTCGGAACATCTTCACGGACCAGACCACAGCGAGACATTCGATCTCAGTGATGGAGTAGTTCGACTCCGCCTTACTGTTCACCTTACTGCCGTAGGCAATCGGCTGCCAGCCGCGTCCGTGGTCCTGCATGAGGTAGGCCCCAAGCCAACCTTACTAGCATCCGTCACCAGGCGGAATGGTAGTTCAAAATTAGGATAGAGTAGCAAAGGTCGCGTGGTGAGCAACATCTTCACGCGTTCAAACGCGAACTCCTGCGCCTCACGCCATTCCCACTGCACGTCCTTCTTCAACAAGCGAGTCATCGGCTCCACGATCGAGCCGAAGGCTGCAATAAACTTACGGTAGTAACCAGCGAGGTGTACAACCCGTTTGACCTCCGTTGCGTCCACAGGTCGCGGGAAATCGCGTACAGATCGCACCAACCGTTCAGTGGGCTGCACGCCCTGGACACTCAGATGGTGGCCAAGATACTCCATTGAAGTAGTGGCAAATGTACATTTTTTTCAGCTTGATACTTAGGCCAGCAGACCGTAATCTCTCTAATACACTAGCCAGTTCAACCACATGCCGTGCAATTCCGCCCTTCGTGAAGCTGATAATGTCGTCTATGTACACCAAACAGGTCAGCCACGTCAAACCGCGAAGCACTCCATTCATCAGCCGTTGAAAAGTAGCAGGAGCGTTGGTAAGGCCGAAAGGCATTCGTCGAAATCGGTACAACCCTCTCTTCGTCATGAAGGCCGTCTTATCGCGGTCCTCTTACGCCACACGAATCTGCCAATACCCGGATCGTAGGTCAAGGGTCGTGAACAGCTGTGTTCCGCCCAAAGACTCCAGCGTTTCATCTATTCGCGGCAACGGGTAGACATCCTTACGCGTGACGCTGTGCAGGGATCGGTAGTCCACACAGAACCGTACAGAGCCATCTTTCTTGCGCACGAGCACGGCAGGGTAGCCCCAGGCTCCTTCTCCATGCTCAATCACCCCCGCCGATAACATAGAGTCTACGTTACTGTCCACAATAGCGTCCTCCGTCTGTGCCTGCCGTCGTCGTCTCATCATGATGGGAGCGGCGTCCCCAGTGTCGATGTGATGCTCGACGTTGAGTGTAGTAGCAGGAGGACACTCGTGCTGTACATTCGCTAGATCGCGATAGGCTCGTAGTAATCGTAGGATAAGGTCACGGGCATCTGGTTCCTCGGCGCCAATGTCCACGTCCTTCTCGTCGTCTAAGGGCGTACCGGTGTCGCCCAACTCGTCCAACCAGGTCTGCACGCGTTCTGGCTGCAACTCGCCACGCATCGTCAAGAGCTCAACGTCTCCATTAATAAGTATCCACACACCTAACTCCTTTCTGCTAGGTAGCTTGATGCGGCCACCGTACGTGTTGATAGCAGGGATCAGGGCCTTGCCGTTTGTCACCCTCGTCACTGCTGACGCGAGCAGCACTACACCGTTGTTCACCGTAGGTAGAAACACACCTTCTTCGCCATCTGGCGCTGCGATCGCCACCTCCACCGTCTGCACGGCACGTCTCTGCAGGTTCGTCACGCTGACTAACCTCACGGCCGCCACCGCTGAGTCGTCCCTTCAGTCCGTCGTCCGGAACGGAATAATCACGTCACGGCCGCGCTCAGCGTACCGCACTTCATCACGATCAAAGTCCATCGTCGTTCGATGACCCTCGAGGAAGTCCACGCCCACGAGGAACTCGCTGGTGCACCCCTCGACGATACACGCGTCGATGGTCACCATCTGCCCGTACACGTTCGCCATGCTGAACGTCCACACGCCCAACACGTCCAGCAAGAAGCCGCCAATCCCCTCCACGTACTTCATAGGGGCGTCCACCTGCTTCCGTTCACCATGCGCCATCCATTCCGTGCCCGCCACGGAGTAGCGCGCACCACTGTCGATCTTGACGTGCTGCTGCACGCCGTCCACCATGCTGGCCGCCTCCCTCACGCCGTCATCATCATCATCATTCCCGGCCGCCACGGTGCCACCGTATTGCACCAAGTTCACACGGGCTCGCTCCCCCACCGCCGGCAACTCGTTGCTGCCGTCGTACTTCCAGCGCGCTGCGCGCTTCTTCAGCTTGCCGCCGTCGTCGCTCTTCACGCTCAGCGACGGCACGCGCGACTTCGCCATCGTCACACATGTTCTTGGCCGCCATCTCGCGTGCACGCTGCACACGCTGCCGCTTCGCCTCACGTTACGACCGCTTGACGGCCATGCGCACCCTCGCTACGCTGCCGAGCTTCGTCATCGCCTCGTCCGTGAGCTCCGTGCCGAGCTCGACTGCCGCCATCTCGCCCTTCTCCGTCGTCCCAGCGACGGACTCGTCGCCATCCTCAGCCTCAGACACGTCGTCCGGCTGTTCGTCGTTTGTCACCGGCGTCGCGTTCGTCCGCGCGGCGCCTTTCTCAGCTGACGGTACACCGTCTGCCGCTTCGCCGCCTTCCTCAGAGGCTGACTCCGCCTCGGAGTAAACAGGGGCCGCCCTCGTCGCCTGGGCCATCGCAGCTGTCACCGCTGCGCACTTCGCCGTGGCGCCGTTGCCCTTGCCGCCTTCGTCACTTTCATCCGTCGTGTGCACGTACCGCAGGGCTGCCATCGCCGGCCGCACCGTGCATACATACCGCTCCGCTCGCTCTTCGTCACGAGCTGCAAGCTCTTCGTCCAATTGAGCTGTAACAGCTCGTCTCACCACTGCCACACTCCCGTCGTTCCGCACGTTCATGCCGTTCACCATGTTGCCCTTACCGTCCGTCGCCGTCACCAGCACCGTCGGCGCGTCCGTCGTGCACGCCGTATCGCCGTCCATTGCCACCATCACCGGTAGCTGGGGAGTCCGTCGTATCGCCGAGCGCCGTGATCCCCCTACGTTGCCCGATTCTCGTTTTCCTGTTGCTTTCTCTCCTGCTCACGTCGAGCGAGATACTCGTCGTTGCGGGCGCGCGCTTCAGCATCTGGACAATCGCGAGCGAAGTGCCCCAGCTGATTACAGGCATAACACTTGAGTTCGCCGAACCGTCCTGGTGCCGGAGCCGCCTCGGCCGTCTTCCTTGGTGCCTCCGTTGCCTTGACTTCGCGAGTCGCAGCCTTCGTCCGTCTAGCCGCCATCTTCACCTTCTTAGGAGGCGGCGGTGCACGTGGAGCGTCTGCTTCCTCATCGTAGTCGCTCTCTACGTCGTAGTCCGCGCCAGCCGCCACTGCCATGTTCACCTTCGCCCTGTGAGCGATCTTGGCCGTCGCGATGCGCTTCGCCGTCGTCGGTGCAGCTGCCGGTGCCGTGAGTTTCCGTGGCACGGGCACCCACATGTGTCCGTCCTTTCGGCGCCTCCCACAGGCCGAGGTACTTGTTCGTGAAGCAGGCCAGCTTCTCTTCCCCCGCCACGTCCGTACTGTCAACGCCCGGAATCAGCGGCATGTGCCCGGCCGTTCCATTCGCCGGCACCACGTACGTGTCAGGTGCGGTGACGAACGCTTGGCCGATGTATTCCATGCCTTGCGCCACATTGTCAATTGGGTCGTTAATTTCCGTTGCTTTGTCAACAGCTTCCTCCAGCGTCTCAGGCTTCGGTCGCTGCTTCACGAGGAGCCGCGTCGTCCGATCCAAGCTGCGGTAGAACTGGGCGAGCAGCACACGTTCTCGGATGCGGTTGTTCCCACACAGGTCGCGGAGAGCAGCAGCGAAGTCCGCGTACGTCTCACCGGGCATCATTCGTCGTTGGCCGACACGCCACTCGGCCATCGCCGTAGCGCGCAGCAGTGAGGACTTCAACTTCGTCCACGTTCGCTCACGGTCGCGTAGTTTACGTTCCAGCTGGACCCACCAGCGGCGGCGCTGTCTTGTAGCTTGTTGCCTAAGATGTAATAGAGTTCTTGATCCGTCCATTCACCTCGTCCTGACAGCCGTGCACCTTCAAGTGCCAGGTCCACGCGCGCGATCCAGGTCGTCACCGTCTGCGTGTCGGTGTCTGCGGGTGCAGGGGATGGCGCGGGGTTGGGCGCCGTGGTGCTCAGCTGGTCCAGCCTCGCGTCGATCCTCGCCATCGTGGTTGCCATCTGCTGCAGGGCAGCGGTCAGCGCTGCTACTGGAGCCATCGCTGCGCCGTCACCGTTGCCGCTGGCTACTGCTTCGTTGGGTGGCGCGTCCTGCGCGTCGACCACGCCGTGATCGTCTCGTTCGTCGCTTGGGTTGTCGGCGTCGTCCGGTTCGTTCTCCTTCGTCTCTTCGTCCTCGGCCTCTTCCTGACCTTCTTGTCGCGCCAGATCCGATCCTCCAGTAGGTACGGGAACGGACGCCTGAGTCTGAGTCGCTGGCTGATTCCTCGTCGCACGGGTCGTGGGTTGCATGGCGACCTTCGTCCGAGCCATCCGAGCGTCTTCAGGTGTCTTCGTAAGTCGAGGGCTGCGTCGAATACGTACACTAGGCCCCTGTATGACCACCATGCAACGTGTTGTGTGCCCCACACGCTTGGGGTTTGGTCGCGACTGTGCTGATGCAGTCAGAAGTCCGTCTGGTCGTCAGTGACCAAGCGTAAGACACTGCGCCGGTGCGTGCCCGACTGACAGCACACCTATTTTATTTAGATGAACTAGTACGATGTAAGCCACCGACTAACTTCAATTCACGCTACTTTACGTGTACAACTTGAGTGCCGCTCGTACGCCTGCTCTAGCTACTCGGGTGTACGCCCACACGCGCCTGGAAGCCACGTGCCTCCTAGCCCGTCACTCCGTTTCCGTACACGCCGCTGTAGCCGTCCACCGAGGTCGCCGTTAGCGTCCACCGCCGTTCGTCCACCTTCCGTCCGTCCGTCCGTTCGTCGCTTGAGTGCTCGCTGCCGAGCACGTGTTCGTTCGGCCTGTTCGCCATCCATCCAAACCAAAAGTGAGCTCTGTCGTGGGGCTCGCAGAGCCCGGAGGTCTCGAGGTCTTCGTGGATCCCGTGCAGCAGATCCTGTCGACCACACGGCCGACCGGATTCTCGTTCCACACTGGCGCTGACTTCAACGCCGTCAGCTGCCGACGTCACGTCTGCCGCCTCACACTCCGCCGAGACGCCTGCCTCCTTACACCACGTTGGGTATGTGTAGCAGTGACTACAGTACAGCGTCAACAAAGCAGAGTCGTTATGCAGAGTTCCACGTTGATCGAGCTGCCCACGTTGGAACTGTAAAACAAGTTGTATTTTTCCTAATTGTTATCGGAAATTATTTCAGATTCAGAGTTAAGGAGCGATTGGAATCCCTGGTGTAGATAAGTGCATTCCTGACCAAGTCGATCTCGACAAATGAGGGGTTGGTGTGAATTGGAAGGGGCCGCCACAACAAGCCAAGAGAAGAAAGCGCTGCGGCTGACTGCGACGCCCCCACGAAGTCCCAAAACCGGCTCATGAAGTAGAAGCTGGCCGAGCAAAGCGACCAAGAAGGCCGCGGGTGGCCCCTCAAAGACCAGCGGCAAGCAGAAAAATGTCAAGCCCTCGGAGAGAGTGAAACCTGCTAAGAGCACGGCCGTCCTGTCGAATTCTGACCTGAGGCCGAGTTACAGCACCAGGCGCTGAGCTCTGGCGTGGCTGCCGGCGCGCAGGACATCCTGTTACGGACTTGCATTCGCTCTGGATGTGCTGTTTTAACGCTACTAACATGTTAGCTCAAAATACTAGACACTAACAAACAGTTAGCTAACACGTATAGCAACTAACATGCCAGCGTTAGGGAGTGCACTAGCCCTTCAGCATCGCGCTTATCAATGCTAGGGGTTTCCAAGTGGGAAAAAGTATTGATTAGCTCAAATGTTTTTTAAGTTGTTTGTATTTGGAGGTACGCTCTGCTACACTTGTGATTTCACGTCTCTTGAGTGCCCCGCCTAGTCGATGGGCTGAAGGTTGGTCCAAATCACGCCCACCGCGTCGGGCCCAACGCCCGCGTAACCAATGAAGCCACCCAGCTCGAACCCGTCTGGAGCACAAATGGTTGCGGTCTTGGTCGTGGTGGTGCCGCCAGAGATAGACTTGCCTGTATCGGTGGTGAGCTTGATGTACCTGATGCGGGTTTTGCCGTTGCTGTCACCCCAGTGGGCCTCCATGCACTTGACGAACTCATTGCCCCCCTAAGGAGAGCGTCTTCAGATCTCCATCATTTCCGCCGTGGAAAACGTTGGCCTTCTTGCCCCAGTAGTCAGTGAGGTTGATTCCGACGCCATTGACGCCCTGGCCGGTGCGGATCGAGATGGAATGCACGGTTTCACCAGCCGACACGATGCCCGAGTCCGTGGACAAGGTATCTTGGTTTTGACCGCCGAAGACTTCGCTAAATATGGCGCCAATTGGTGAATCGTCTTGCGCAGCAACGCCGAGAGCGACTGCGGTTAGGACCGGAGAGAAGAACCTCATCGTTCGGCTTGAGCTTGTTACTGGTAGGACGCGAAATCAAAAATGACGAGCTGGAGCTTCTCACTCTTGTCAACTTACAGTTCGGTCCGAATGTTTTTTGTTGCTGAGACAGCCGCAATCAAAACTACTTCATTCGATGTACTAATCAATCCGAAGTACGAATGCGTTAACGCGAGACCTTGGGAATGTTGCAAACTGTACCAACGTCCAAATGGAAAATAAATCGTTTGGAAACGTGTGGCTGAAGTATTTTCTCGATTCCTCGTATGATGCGGCGTACTTAAGCCAAGAATCCCCGATTTAGTGTACTGTAGTCAGACTTCAGCCTGGGACATACATCGAGCGGATGATGCGGCAAGCAGGACTATTAAGCTAGGATAGAAGATTGGATCGGCCGATTGGAAGTCTTCAAATGATTACTCAGGTACAGTTATCTAAACAAACACATATCTTCCACGTTACCACCTGGCAGCTTTAGATTGGGTATACTGTACCATGGTACCGTACAACCCTGTTGTCGTCGTCGGCGTTGTTGTTGTGGCAACAATTCGTCCCTACTGCTATGTATAGTAAGTGTTTGGATACATTAGAGTCTCTTAAAGTCCAGAATTTGGTGCTAGTTAAAGGAAAGAGCGTTTGGTCACCACGCTTAAAACCTCGTTAATACCGTCTACAAAGTTAGAAGTTACGATCGGCAATGCCACATTGTAAATCACGCCGATAGCCGGTTGATGGAGCGGTGAATCGTGCAATACGCCTATTTCAGCCCTACATGGTGCGTTTCTTGGACTCGCGTTACAGCACCTTTAATACGACAGCACAACATCTGCCTAAAGCGCCTTTAAGCCCTACGGCGCCTTTAAGCTAAAAAGAGGGGGTGAATCTGCGGTGCTGCAGTGTACTGGAGCAGACCCCCGCAAAAACGAAAACTAACACCGAGTAGCGGCACCGGGTCCATCCGCTGGAATGCCTGGCGGTGGGCTTGCCTCCGCAAATACTGCGTAGACCTGCATTACGGGCACTCCGCGCAGGTTTGCTTGCCGTGGCAACGTGTCCTAACCAGATGAGCCCATGACACCCGTCCCGCTGCTATCCGTCAATACAAATCCCTTATTATTCTGATCTGTGTAACGCTTTGCTTCGGTACACAGACTTTGCACAGATTGCTAGGGCGCCCTTAACTTTACGGCGCCATTAAAGTGTAGGAGGGATGACCTCCAAGCCTGATGGCACCATTAACGGTGCTGTTGTGCTGTCGCATTAAAGGCGCTCTAACCACCTCACGTTTCTTTGCTTTGATGTTCTCAATAAAGACGCTGTGAACCTATGGCGTCAGCTGATCACCCAATCCTTCGTGTTATCCTGATGCTAACGAGGTACAGTACTTAATACTGTACTCAATAATGCAAGGCACTTGTTGCTGCACCCGACTGGGAATCATGCGATGAGGCAGCTGCACCCGACTGGGGTGCAATGACACCCGACTAGACCGACCCAACCCGACTGAAAATAGAGCCGGGTTTAGAGCCGAGTTCTGGCTATACATTGGCTTGTGTATAGCTGGACAGCAAAAGTTGTGTAAACCACCTTACAAAAGACCGACGTCGGGTACTCGACTCAGTCGGGCCGCCTCAGTCGGGTACTGGGCTCAGTCGGCCTCAGTGACTCAGTCGGGCTGCCTCAGTCAGTGTGTGAACGCAGCATGCGATCATAACTTGTGAGCCAAAGGATCACTGCGCTACATGTAGCAACGTGTGCGTTGCCGCCAAGTGTGTCTCTAGAGTCGAAAACACAATAGAACAACAACGCGCATCATGCTGCAACGTGTTTGGTGCCCCACACGCTTGGGGTTTGGTCGCGACCGTGCTGATGCGGTCTAAAGTCCGGATGGCCGACAGTGTCCAAGCGTAAGACACTGCGCCGGTGCGTGCCCGACTGGCAGCAACACCTACTTTATTCAGATGAACTAGCGCGGTGTCAACCACCGACTAACTACAAATACACGTCTACGTCGAACGCGCACGACTCAGTTCCGTAGTCGCTCCTCTAGCCACTCGGGCGTACGCCCACACGCGCCTGCCCTACTCGTCGCAGCCGTCGAAGAACTCGGAAGCTACGTGTTTCCTGTTCGTCACTCTGTTGTCGTCCACGCCGCAGCCGTCCACCGAGGTCGTCGTTAGCGTCCACCGCCCTTCGTCCACCTGTCGTTCGTCCGTTCACCGCTTGTTGCGCTTGCTGCCAAACGTGCGTTCCTCGGGCCTGCTCGCTGGCCGTCAAAACTCAAAGTGAGCTCTGCCGTGGGGTTCGCGGAGTCTAGCGGGCCCGAAGATCCAGTAGATCCCTCGGTACCGTGCAGCAGATCCTGCCGACCACAATGCCAGCCGGATTCACGTCCCACGCCGCCGTCTACTTCAACGCCGTCGCACGGCGTGGTTGCTGCACCCACCGTCTCGTCCTTCGCCGTGTCGTCGGCCTCCTTACGCGTCTTCCTCATACCCAGGGTCTTCCACGACCCGGTCGTCCATGTTGAGTCGTTCGTATTGAGCCACCGGCGTCCTCCGTGCTCGTGAGCGTCCATCTGCGTCGAGCCATAACTCACCGTCGCCCGTCGTTCATCGTCGTGGGCCACTGCACGGACACAGCTCGTACTCGAGCACGTGCGGCCCGGCTCCGTTGCGCCGTCGCCGTCTCCGTCGCTCCACCACGAGTCCACTCGTGACGTCGCGCACACCAGTGTCGTCCACTGCTGCTCGCGTTCGTTTCGAGTTTCCAGCTCTCGTCGTTCGCCCAGCTGGCGCCTTCGCTGACCGTACAGCCGCTGCTGTCTCCGGTTCATCCCGCGTTGACCGCTGTTCTTCATCGTTGAGCTGCTCGTCAATGTCGCGCGCAATCTGCGCAAGTAGTGCTTCAGGATAATGATAACTAATGAGGAAAGACACGTGAGCGATCAACGTCTCCGCCTTCCCTGTCTTATCCTCACGCGTCAGCACGAATTGTCGTACCCAGCAGGTTCCACGATCCGTAGTGGTCCCATCCACTGGTGCACGAACTTCGTGGCGTTCTTGCCACGGGGCGGGTTGTGCATCCAGACAAAATCGCCGGCCTGAAACTGCCGCCTGTTCCGAGTCTTCCGATTATAGTACCGAGCCTACCGTTCTTGTTCGCGTCGTCGCGCATGCTCTGCACACTCATGGCTTCGTTCCATTGCTTTCACCAGGTTCGCGTGGTAAGCCGGCAACTCACCCGCTTCCGTCACCTCCGTCCGTCTCAGCAGTTCGTTGGGAGCTCTCAGCCGTCGTCCCATCATAAGCTCGTTCAGGCTCAGTGCCACAGTAGAATGCTTTGCCGAGTTGTAAGAATAAACAGTGAATTTCACCCAAAGATTCCAATCGACTTGTCGTTCGTCTTGCATGAACGTCGCCACGCAGTCCTTCCATGAGCGATGAAAGCGCTCCACAAGTCCAACGAGTTGAGGTCGGTACGGTACGGGATTGATCTGATGAGCTTGCAGGAGCTGCACTAACTCCTCAATCACTTTGCCAGCCAGCTCTGGAGCTCCGTCCGTCAGCAGTTCACGGAATACCCCAAAGCGTAACACCACCTCCTGCATAATGAACGTCGCCACCGTCTCAGCCGTATGTTCCGTCACGCAGCTCGCAACAGCATACCTCGTTACGTATTCGACGGCGGCGATACCTGTCACCTCCGTCGGCTACCGGGAAGGGTCCAGCAACATCGAGCGCTCACCGGTCTCCTACCCCACCACCGCGTAAACTTCGTAGCGGCGGTACCGCTTCACGCGGTTTCGCCATCCGAGACCCGCACTCAGGGCATCCACGCACTCATCGTCTCACTTCTCGGTACAATCCCGGCCACCAGTATAGCTGGGCTACGCGGCCATACGTGTGAGGACCGTGCAGGTGTCCGCTCCACACACTGCCGTACATTTCCTTGAAGACAGCTGCCCAAAGTGTCGGTGGCAGCACCACTCTCCATCCGTTCGGCGTGTCGACCGTCACCAGGCCGTACTCGTTCGCGACCGTCATACTGCCGTACTTGCCGTCCGCTACCAGACGCTTCACGAACTTGCTGCGCCGCTGCGCCGTCACCAGTTCGTCATCACTCAGCTGGAGCGTGTAGTCGTCCACAGGGGCGCTCTCCTCGTCGCCGCCCATGCCGTCCGCGCCGCTCGTCACCGTCATCACATCGTTCGTCATCGTGACGGCGCCGTTCGTCGTGCTCTTGGCCGCCGTCGAGTTCATCGTCGTCACCGACATCTTGCCCGCCATCTTCGGGTTGGCGGCACCCTTGGTCGAGGGCTTCCGCTTCGTCACCGCCGTCGGTGTCGCTCTCACCGGCGTTGGCGTCACCGCGGGTGCCTTCGCTCTCGTCTCCGCAGTACCTCAGCAGGTGTCGTCCTCTGTGTACGTGGCGTACTCATCGCCGGAGTCCATGTCGGAGTGGCTGCCGCATGGCGTCCATCGTCTCGCACTGTACGAGCACCTGGTACGGCTGCATCCTGGTCACGTGGGGCAGTTGTCGTCGTCGGAAGCGTGGCTCCTGGTGTCGTCCGGGGCGCCGTAGCCACCGTAGTCGTCGTCGTTCCCGTAGTTTCCGTGGGTGCATCTCGCTCAGCACATTGCGCTGGGCTGGTCGCGTCGTCCGCGTTCGTCACCGTCGTGGCCCAATGCACGTGCCGCTGATCGCGTTCGCGGAGGCGCTCACTGCGTCTCGTTGCAGGTTTCGCCGCCTTCTTCACGCGCTTCCGGCCGGTCGTGGCAGTCACCGTGGTGCCAGCCGTCGTTATCGTAGCTGTCCTGCTGTCTTCGCCAGGTGCTGCCGCTCCGTCGTCATCGCCCGTCGCCGTCATCTCGATCGTCGTCATCCGGGCGCCATCCGTCGTGCTCGGTGCCGCGTTGGGCCGGCTCGGAGCCGTCGTTGGTGTCGCTGCCGTGACGTTTGGCGCTGCTGTAGTATCCGTCGGCGTCGCTTCATCCATCGATGGCCGCGCTACCTCCGCCGCTGCCGTCGTCCTGGCATCTGCTTCGGCCGCGGTGACGGCATGCACCATGTCGCCACCCGCCGTCATCTCATCCGTCAGCTGGTCTGTCGTCGCTCCCGGCGCCTTGTCCGTCGTCTCGCTCGTCGTCTCATGTGTCTGATCCACAGCTGCTGCTGGATCCATATTGCCGTCCGTCAGCATCGTGGTGTCCGGCGTCTTGTCGGTCATCTGGGGCGCCATCCCGCCCGTCGTCCCGTTCGTGGTGGCTGTCCGGCTTGCCGCACCGCTCGGTGGCGTCGCCGCCGCGGCGACTGCCATCATCTCATCGTTCGTCATCATCGGGCCGTCCGTCACTGGGGCCGTCATCGTGGCGTTAGCTGCCGTGGTCTCGGCCACTGCAGTGCTTGTCGGCGGAGCTGTCGCCGTTACCTCGCCCGCAGTCGTCGTATTACTCGCATCCGTCGTCCTTGGCGTCGTCGGGCGCCGTCGCTGCCGTCCTACCGCTGCTCTGACGGCTGCAGGTGCCCGGGACAAGGCATCTGCTACCACGTTCGTCGCACCAGGCCGGTACTCGACCTGAAACTCATATTCTTGTAGTACTAGTGACCACCGATGCAATCTTCCGGCCAAGTTCGGCCGAGTCATGAGCCACTTGAGTGCGTCATGGTCCGTGATGATCGTGAAGGCTCTGCCGTACAGGTAGGGTCGGAACATCTTCACGGACCAGACCACAGCGAGACATTCGATCTCAGTGATGGAGTAGTTCGACTCCGCCTTACTGTTCACCTTACTGCCGTAGGCAATCGGCTGCCAGCCGCGTCCGTGGTCCTGCATGAGGTAGGCCCCAAGCCAACCTTACTAGCATCCGTCACCAGGCGGAATGGTAGTTCAAAATTAGGATAGAGTAGCAAAGGTCGCGTGGTGAGCAACATCTTCACGCGTTCAAACGCGAACTCCTGCGCCTCACGCCATTCCCACTGCACGTCCTTCTTCAACAAGCGAGTCATCGGCTCCACGATCGAGCCGAAGGCTGCAATAAACTTACGGTAGTAGCCAGCGAGGTGGACAAACCTCTTTATTCAGTAGCGTCCGTAGGTCGTGGGAATTCCCGCACAGATCTCACCAGCCGCTCAGCGGGCTGCACGCCCTTGTCACTCAGATGGTGGCCCAGGTACTCCACTGAAAAGGAAGAGCACTTGAGCAGTAGTTGGCAAAATGCAAAGTGATTCGATTGAGGTCCTTAGTTCGCAACCGCGTGCTACCTCTAAGCCTGCTACTGGATACACCCTACTGGATTCTCTACTGGATACACAGTTACCTTATCCAATCAGAGAACGCCACGTCGATGCCCATCTTGTACCCACAATCCTGTACCCACAATCATGGCGTAATCACCGTGACGTAATCATCGTCCCGTAATCACCTGAATGATTGCGGTACAACACAGTGAAGGTCACGCCAACCTCACTGATGACGCGTTCGCGTCACACGGTCGCTTGGCGAGGCGTCGTCACATCAGTCTTGACAACACACTGAAGTCGTAGCAAAGGTACACTTCTTCAGCTTGAGACTTAGGCCAGCCGCCCTTAATCTCTCGAATACACCCGCTAGTTCAATCACATGCCGTTCGATACCTCCCTTCGTGAAGATAATGATGTCGTCTATGTACACCAAACAGGCCAGCCACGTCAAACCGCGAAGCACTCCATTCATCAGCCGTTAAAAAATAGCAGGAGCGTTGGTAAGGCCGAAAGGCATTCGTCGAAATCGGTACAACCCTCTCTTCGTCATGAAGGCCGTCTTATCGCGGTCCTCTTCCGCCACACGAATCTGCCAATACCCGGATCGTTGGTCAAGGGTCGTGAACAGCCGTGCTCCGCCCAAAGACTCTAGCGTTTCATCTATTCGCGGCAACGGGTAGACATCCTTGCGCGTGACGCTGTACAGGGCTCTGTAGTCCACGCAGAACCGCACAGAACCGTCCTTCTTCCTTACGAGTACTACGGGAAAACCCCATGCGCCCTCACCATGCTCGATTACACCTGCCGACAGCATAGAGTCGGCATTACTGTCTACAATAGCGTCTTCCGTCTGTGCTTGGCGTCGTCGGCGCATCATAATGGGAGCAACGTTCCCAGTATCAATGTGGTGCTCCACGTTGAGCGTCGTTGCAGGCGGACACACGTCTTGTGCGTTTGCCAGGTCTCGATAGGCACGCAATAGTTTTAGGATGAGCGCACTCGCGCCCGGCTCCTCCATACCGATGTCCACGTCGTGTTCGTCATCCAAGGGCGAGTCAGCGTCCCCCAGCTCGTCCAACCACGTGTTCACACGCTCCGAGTCCAACTCACCATGCATCGTCAAGAGCTCAATGTATTCATACACCTAGCTCCTTTCTGCTCGGCAACTTGATGCGTCCACCGTATGTGTTAATCGCAGGTATCATCGCCTTCCCGTTCGTCACCTTGGTCACTGCTGACGCGAGCAGCACCGCTCCGTTGTTCACTGTCGGCAGGAACACTCCTTCCTCGCCATCCGGCGCTGCAATCGCTACCTCCACTATCTGCACGGCACGTCGGTGTAGGTTCGGGGCACGGGCCAGCCTCACAGCTGCTGTCGCCGAGTCACTCGTTTCCGCCGTCGTCATGAACGGGATGATCACCATGCCGCCGCGCTCATCGTAGCGCACTTCGCCACGGTCGAAGTCCATTGTCGCCCGATGACCCTCGAGGAAGTCCACGCCTACGAGGAACTCGCTGGTGCACCCTTCGACGATACACGCGTCGATGGTCACCATCTGCCCGTACACGTTCGTCATACTGAACGTCCACACGCCCAGCACGTCCAGCAAGAAGCCGCCAATACCTTCCACGTACATCACAGGGGCGTCCACCTGCTTCCTCTCACCGCGTGTCATCCATTCCGTGCCTGCCACGGAGTAGCGCGCGCCACTGTCGACCTTGACGTGCTGCTGCACGCCGTCCACCGTCATCACCGCCGTTGGCAGGCCGCCACTCTCACACCACCGTCGTCATCGTTGTCCTCGGCAGCCACGGTGCGACCGTGCTGCACTAAGTTCACACAGGCTCGCTCACCCGTCTCATCATTACCATTGGCAGCTCGTTGCTGCCTCCGCACTTCCAGCGCACTCCGCGCTTCGTCAGCATGCCGCTGTCGTCGTACGTCACGCTGCGCTTCGAGTTTTGCCACTACACGCGCGACTTCGTCATCGCCACGCATGTTCTTGGCCGCCTGCTCACGCGCACGCTGCACACGCCGCTTCTTCTCTTCGCGCTTCGATCGCTTGACGGCCATGCGCACCTTCGCCACGGTGCCGAGCTCCATCACCGTCTCGTCCGTGAGCTCCACGCCGAGCTCGAGCGCCAAGGACTCTCCGTCTTCCATCTCGCCCTTCCTCGTCGTCTCCATGGCCGACACGTCGCCTTCCTCAGCTTCGACCACGTCGTCGGGCAGCTGGTCGCCCGACATAGGCGTCACGCTCGTCACCGTCGTCACTGCGGTGCCTTCCTCAGCCAGCAGCACGCCGTATGCCGCTTTGCCGCCTTCCTCAGAGGCTGCCACCTCCTCGGAACGAGCAGGGGCTGTCGCCGTTGTGTCCGTCACGACCGCCGTCGCCGTTGGCGTCGAGTCCTTCACCGTTGCGACGCCGCCGCCTTCTCCATCCGTCTTGTGCACGTAACGCAGCGCTGCCATTGCTGGTCGCGCTGTGCACACGTACCGCTCTGCTCGCCCCTCATCTCGAGCCGAGAGCTCTTCGTCCAATTGAGCCGCGACAGCCCGTCTCACCACTGCCACGCTCCCGTCGTCTGGCACGTCCATGCTGTTCACCATCTTGCACTCGCCGTCGGTCACCGTCGCCAGCACTGTCGGTGCGTTCGTGTCGCACGCCGTATCACCGTCCACCGTCACGGGTCGCTGGGGAGTCCGTCGTATTGCCGAGCGCCGGGATCCCCCTACGTCGCTCGATCCTCGTTTTCCTGCCGCTTTCTTTCTTGCTCACGCCGAGCGAGATACTCGTCGTTGCGGGCGCGCGCCTCATCGTCCGGACACTCGCGGGCAAGATGCCCCATCTGGTTGCACGCGTAGCATTCAGTTCGCCGAATCGTCGTGGTGCCAGAGCCGTCTCAGGCTTCGTTCTCGGAGCTTCCGGCGCCTTCACTTGGCGCGTCGCAGCCTTGGTACGTCGGGCCGAGAGCTTCGGCTTCTTAGGAGGTGGAAGTGCGCGTGGCGCATCTGTCTCCTCGTCGTCGGCGCTCTCTTCCTCGTAGTCAGCGCGACCGCCACGTTCACCTTTGCCTTCTGCGCAGCCTTCGCCATCGCCATGCGCTTGGTCGTCGTTGGTGCGGCTGGTGGAGCCGTACGTTTCCGCGGTAAGGGTGCCCACATGTGCCCGTTCCAGACACGTCCCTTCGGTGCCTCCCACAGCCCGAGGTACTTGTTGTACACGCCGCGCGAGTTCGTGAAGCACGCCAACTTCTCTTCTTCTGCCACGTTGGTGCTCCCGACGCCAGGGATCAGCGCCATCTGCCCAGTTGTCCCATTCACCGGCACGACGTGCGGTGACGAACGCTTGCCCGATGTTTTCCATGCCTTGCGCCACGTTATCGATTGGGTCGCTAATTTCCGTCGCTTTGTCCACAGCATCTTCCAGCGTCGTCGGCTTCGGGCGCTGCTTCACGAGAACTCTCGTCGTGCGATCCAGACTGCGGTAGGACTGTGCGAGCAGCACACGTTCCCGGATGCGGTTTTTGCCACACAGGTCGCGAAGGGCAGCGGCAAAGTCCGCGTACGTCTCTCCAGGCATCATCCTACGTTGACCGACACGCCACTCGGCCATTGCTTTATCCGGGCGCTCACCATATCGTCGCAGCAGTGACGACTTCAACTTCGTCCACGTTCGCTCACGGTCGCGTAGTTTACGATCCAGCTGGACCCACCAGCGGGCAGCACTGTCCTGTAGCTTATTGCCTAAGATGTAATACAATTCTTGATCAGTCCATTCGCCCCGTCCTGATAGTCGTGCTCCTTCGAGTGCCAGGTCAACGCGCGCGATCCACGTCGTCACAGATGTCAGTGGTGTCGGTAAGAAGGTTGGCAAGTCCAGGTCTCGAATAGCTCGCCGTCTGTTGCGGTGAAAGTCTCGATCACCGGGCCTCGTAACGGGTTGGCGTCTTTCGCGGCGTCCTCCACCGTCGTGGCCGTCGTCAGATTCGTCGTCGTCGTCGGAGCTGCTCGAAGACCCGTCGTCGTCGTGATCATCGCTGTCGTCTCCGTCGTCGTTGCCGTCACGTGGCTGGTAGGCCACCTGCCGAGCTGTAGCCGCTGGCGGAGGGTCCCTTGGTGCAGCGGGTGGCGGTGCCTGCTGTGTCGGCGGATTCGTCGTGCCCACCGTCTGCGTATCAGCGTCCGCGGGCGCAGGGGACGGCGCGGGGTTGGCCACCGTGGTGCTCAGCTGGTCCAGCCTCGCGTCGATCCTTGCCATCGTCGTTGCCATCTGCTGCAGTGCAGCGGTCAGCGCCGCTACAGGAGCCATCGCTGCGCCGTCGTCGTTGCCACTGGTTGCTGCTTCGTCGGGTGGCGCGTCCTGCGTGTCGTCAGCGCCGTGATCGACTCGTTCGTCGCTTGGGTTGTCGGCGTCGTCCGGTTCGTTCTCCTTCGTCTCTTCGTCCTCGGCCTCTTCCTGACCTTCTTGTCGCGCCAGATCCGATCCTCCAGTAGGTACGGGAACGGACGCCTGAGTCTGAGTCGCTGGCTGATTCCTCGTCGCACGGGTCGTGGGTTGCATGGCGACCTTCGTCCGAGCCATCCGAGCGTCTTCAGGTGTCTTCGTAAGTCGAGGGCTGCGTCGAATACGTACACTAGGCCCCTGTATGACCACCATGCAACGTGTTGTGTGCCCCACACGCTTGGGGTTTGGTCGCGACTGTGCTGATGCAGTCCGAAGTCCGTCTGGTCGTCAGTGACCAAGCGTAAGACACTGCGCCGGTGCGTGCCCGACTGGCAGCAACACCTACTTTATTTAGATGAACTAGCGCGGTGTCAACCACCGACTAACTACAAATACACGTCTACGTCGAACGCGCACGACTCAGTTCCGTAGTCGCTCCTCTAGCCACTCGGGCGTACGCCCACACGCGCCTGCCCTACTCGTCGCAGCCGTCGAAGAACTCGGAAGCTACGTGTTTCCTGTTCGTCACTCTGTTGTCGTCCACGCCGCAGCCGTCCACCGAGGTCGTCGTTAGCGTCCACCGCCCTTCGTCCACCTGTCGTTCGTCCGTTCACCGCTTGTTGCGCTTGCTGCCAAACGTGCGTTCCTCGGGCCTGCTCGCTGGCCGTCAAAACTCAAAGTGAGCTCCGCCGTGGGGTTCGCGGAGTCCAGCGGGCCCGAAGATCCAGTAGATCCCTCGGTACCGTGCAGCAGATCCTGCCGGCCACAATGCCAGCCGAATTCACGTCCCACGCCGCCGTCTACTTCAACGCCGTCGCACGGCGTGGTTGCTGCACCCACCGTCTCGTCCTTCGCCGTGTCGTCGGCCTCCTTACAATGCTACCCTATTATTGATACTTAGTAGGCTATTAAGCAAGCGCCCCACCCACGTGGGCACTGCAGCACTCCTATCAACGCCGGTTTATACAACGCTTTTCTCCAACAGTTTTTTTTTCATTCACCCCTTTGTACGTGGTAACTAAACTGTAAGATCTAGTTTTTTTTAACCGCCGAAAGGGAGTCCAGGTCCTGGCCACCAGGACAAATTGTACAGGAATCTCGGGGAAATAATCCGCCGACGCGGACACTTTCTACACCAACTATTGTGCGTTTCATGCATTTTGGCGGAGACGACTTATTGTGCTTTGCACGAACTTTGGCATGCGATTAAGGGCTCTAAACCAACGAGCAAATCCTTGAAAGGTTCATTATTACTATCAAACATGAACCGCTAAGCACTATAAAGAAGAAGAAAAAAGCACACACACCACGCTCAGTCGGGTTTCGTCAGTCGGAACCCACTTACACACGTCCAGCCTGAGCGCAGCGGCGTCCTTGAGGTAAGCGTGTCTTGTGACACCTCTGCCAGCCGCACAGCGAGCATGTCTTATTTATCAGCACAGCGCGGTGCAGCCGTCCGCGTAGCAATCCCCACAGGCGCTGCTGTCCGCAAGGCTCTCGACGACGTATCCTCCCTGGTGGTGCCTCTTCGCGCGGCGAAGAGAGGCGCGGTGTGAAGTTCGCACTCCGACGTTCTGACATCCCTAATAACACCCGGTTAGTTCGCATTACCTTCAGCGCTGCTTCGCCCAACGCTTATATCGACGCGACAGGGCCTTATGCTCGAGCTGTCGAAATCTTGAATGGCGACTGAAATGGGTGGTGACGTGGTATGTATACCTGTGCGGATGAAGGCAATACAACAACACGAAAATGATTGAAAGGGTGGGATGTGCCAGTCGGGTGCAGCAAACACTCTCATAATACAAAGTGCATCATGGGGGTCTTCTTGCAGGTTGAAGCAGGTCCGTTGCAGTACTGCATGCTCTGTCCGCAATTTTTTTAATACTTACGTACTCCACTGCTCCGTATTTTCTCTTGATAAAAGGACATTGTAGCCTGTAGCTTAACCCATGGATCTTCGTGTCTATATATTCACCATTCGGGATTACAGTACAATTACTTTCTTCATCATAAACCCGAGTTGGTTCTCTCTTCGTGCCTCCAAACATGGCACAGTACATTAGTGGGGTCCGCTTCAAATCCCATGAAGATCTCAGCAAAGCATTGGTAATACTTCGTTAGCAGCAGAATAACATGAGGATCCGGGATTACTGTACACAGTACCTGTATGCGTTCGTACAGGTACGTAGCTCTGGTTGTTAGTGTTTCGAGCGTTGGGGAGCGGGTCAAAGATAGCTGCATAGGGTGGGATGCCATAATATCCGGTTGTACATCCCATTTACTGTAGCCGCATATCCAAGTGGACGACACTAACCTTGGCGTTTGCCGTCGACCGATCCTACCTTTTAACCCGAGTAGAATGCTGCATCCTCTTCGGATCGACGCTCGATGGTATAGTCAAGACTCTAGGCGAATACGTCGTTGAGAGAGCTGTGAGCAAGAATCATCAGCTTATTCTCAATTTCGCGGCCTACCACCAACAAGCTCAAGCTACAACGATGAAGCTCTTCTCCCAAGTCCCGGCGACGGTCGCGCTAGTGGCAAGTTGCGTCGTTGCGCAGGGAGACGGCGTCCAGCTAAGCGAGGTCTTCGGCGGACCGCACGGCGACAAGTACTCGGATATGGATCTCATTGCGCCTGGACAAGAAGTACGATCCATCACGATCCGCACGTGTGAGCGCGTGAACGGCGTCGGTCTCGACATTAAACAGTACCCTGGCAAGGAATGGACTACTTTGTACCACGGAGGCGGCGGCGGTGACGGGAACACACTCACTCTGATCACGGATCCGACCGGATACGAGTACGCCCAGTGCATGGAGGCCCAATGGGGTGAGTATCATAGCCACACCCGCATCCGGTACATCAAGTTTACCACCAACCGGAACTCCACTATCGAAGGAGATTGGTAAGGACTGCGCCCCCGAGGGCTATCAGCTGGGCGGCTTCATTGGCTACTCAGGCAAGGAGCTCGACTCGGTGGGTGCTATCTGGACCAGTATTAACCCCGTGGTCGGAAGGCCGGTGGGAGAACGTTCTTAAGCAGAGTCACGCGAAGAAAGCGTGAATACAGACGGCCAGCGTAGCGGGATGATCCCTGGGCCTAGCAAGGGACATAGGCATAACCAGCTAGCCAACAGTGTTGATCCAACACTGTCCCTTTCGATAGCACAAGCAAAGCAGTGCAAAGAATAACAACGGGTTTACAAAATACCACGTAGTAAATCCGAGTCACCAACCAAACTTAGTTCGTTCTGTTACTTTTGGTGCATATCCTATTGTCGCGTCGACGATAAATACAGACATATACAAGCATCACCTCGCATACATTATGCCAACAATTGCTCCAAACGCGCGCGAGCTGACAACTCAATCTATTCGCAATGCTTAATTTTTTAGTTGTCGATGGTGGCCATGTGCAGCACCAGGTCCACGAGGCGGTTCGAGTAGCCCCACTCGTTGTCGTACCACGACGAACGTGTCGTTCAGCGCAATACACGCGTCCGCGTCGAACGTGCTCGAGTGCTTGTCGTGCAGGAAGTCGTTCGACACCACCTGGTCCTCCGTGTAGCCGAGGATGCCGGCCAGCTCGCCCTCGGACGCGGTCTTCACTGCGGCCTTGATCGCGTCCATGGACGCAGGCTTCTCCAGACGGCACGTCAGGTCCACCACCGACACGTCGGGCGTCGGCACGCGGAACGCCATGCCCGTCAGCTTGCCGTTCAGCACCGGCAGCACCTTGCCCACGGCCTTGGCGGCGCCCGTCGACGACGGGATGATGTTCTGGCCGCAGCCACGGCCGCCGCGCCAGTCCTTGCCGCCCTTGGCCGGGCCGTCCACCGGCAGCTGCGTCGCCGTCGTGGCATGCACCGTCGTCATCAGACCCTCAACGATGCCGAACTGGTCGTTGATCACCTTGGCCAGCGGCGCCAGGCAGTTGGTCGTGCACGACGCGTTCGACACCACGGGCGCCGAGCCGTCGTACTCCTTGTGGTTCACGCCCATCACGTACATGGGCGTGGCGTCCTTGGGCGGCGCCGAGATCACCACCTTCTTGCAGCCACCGTCGATGTGGGCCTTGGCCTTCTCCGTCGTCGTGAACACGCCCGTCGATTCGCACACGTACGTGGCGCCGGCCTTGCCCCACGGGATCTCCGACGGGTTGCGCGCCGCGAACACGTGGATCACCTCGCCGTTCACCACCAGGTTGCCGTCCTTGGTCGCCACCGAGCCGTCGAACTTGCCGTGCGTCGAGTCGTACTTGAACAGGTACGTCATGTACTCGAGGTCCATGAACGGGTCGATGATGGCCACGACCTTGGTCTTGGGGTTCTCGATGGCGGCGCGGCACACGAGGCGGCCGATGCGGCCGAAGCCGTTGATGCCGATGGCGACTTGCTCAGGCATGGTTGGAAGTAGTTGAGTTGGGTTGGTGTGGATGCGGTGCTCGGAAGCGTGCAAATGAAAGAATGAGCTTTGCCGTCGAGCTGGCAGGTCGGCCGTCGTGCACGACCAACTGCCTGGCGCCGCTGGCCAAGGTGATCAACGACCAGTTCGGCATCGTTGAGGGTCTGATGACGACGGTGCATGCCACGACGGCGACGCAGCTGCCGGTGGACGGCCCGGCCAAGGGCGGCAAGGACTGGCGCGGCGGCCGTGGCTGCGGCCAGAACATCATCCCGTCGTCGACGGGCGCCGCCAAGGCCGTGGGCAAGGTGCTGCCGGTGCTGAACGGCAAGCTGACGGGCATGGCGTTCCGCGTGCCGACGCCCGACGTGTCGGTGGTGGACCTGACGTGCCGTCTGGAGAAGCCTGCGTCCATGGACGCGATCAAGGCCGCAGTGAAGACCGCGTCCGAGGGCGAGCTGGCCGGCATCCTCGGCTACACGGAGGACCAGGTGGTGTCGAACGACTTCCTGCACGACAAGCACTCGAGCACGTTCGACGCGGACGCGTGTATTGCGCTGAACGACACGTTCGTCGTGGTACGACAACGAGTGGGGCTACTCGAACCGCCTCGTGGACCTGGTGCTGCACATGGCCACCATCGACAACTAAGTGTAGGGGATAAATCGTGGTGTTCTCCAGCGCGCGCGCACTGCCGTTTTGTTTGTAGTGGCGGGCAACATGTTTTTAACATATAGCTCACATTGAGAATACAACTATTATACATTATACATAGTTGTTGATGTTGTATTTTTGTGATGGGTTGCTGGATTGACTTCAATTTGTTCAGGGTAATAGTTCTGCGATTATTTAATAAATGCTGACGATAGATTTACTACGTTGTTCCACTGGACAATTTTAGGCTGTTACTGTACTAGTAGTTTGCAGCTTATCGATAAGTTGCTTCATACAAGAACAACAACACTTACTGTACACACTCAACCACGTCATCTTTGATGTAGAAGTATCGTCCATTGTTTAGGCTTCACGGAAAAATACTAAACAGCGCGACTAGCGTTGAAGCGGTCGCGGTGAATGTCGCTTTGCACGAAGCGTGATAGGCTGCCGTTCAGTGACCATCGATTTATTATTTTCCGATAGGGCCATCGCTGAGAGCTGGTACCGGCGGTATCGTGACGACTACTTGCTGTAAGTGGCCGTGCATACCGTTTAACTGTCTTCAGCCCGCATGACTACGGGCAGCAGTCTCCGATTTTCACTCTTCCTCGCAAGAAGCCAACCAACTCGTTCCATCGCCCTGAAACTCGACTCGACGCTTCGACGCCATGGCATTCATCACGATGGAGGACGCCAAGGCGTCCTTCAATCTCTTTTGCTGCGTCTACGGCATTGGCACGCTGAGCATGCCCGGCAACTTTTCTCGCGCTGGCCCCGCTCTCGGAATCGTTAGTATGGTCTTCATGGCCTTCGCCAACGTCTACGGGGCTACGGTCATCTGCCGCGTGATGTTGCTCGCGCCTACATCGGTCAAGACGTACGGCGACCTGGGCGAGTGGGTCCTGGGCACACGCGGCCGCTACCTCACCGTCGTCGTCCAAATGGCCAGCTGCCTGATCGTGCCGTGCGTGTTCCTGGTGCTCGGCGGGACGCTGCTGGACGGCCTCTTCCCGAATGCCTTCAGCTCGACAACATGGTCCGTTCTGATGGCCGTCACCGTCATGCCAGTATGCCTCGTCCCCACTCTCAAGGAAGGCGCCGGCGTTGCATTCGCGGGTGTATGGGCACATTGGTCGCAGACGTCATCGGCATCGCAGTTGTGGTGCACGGCATGTGTGGCCATCCGAGTGCTCCAGCCCCGGAACTTCATCTCCAGCAAGTGATTCGAGCATTTGGAAGTCTGGCGCTCGCGAACGGGTCGGGCGTTGTGATCCCTTCGATCCACCGTCAACACAGCGACCCGAAACGCATGCCCCGCGTCGTGGGGGTCACTATCGGCACGATCTCCGTCCTGTTCCTCGTCCTAGCCAGCACCGCGTACTCGGCCGTGGGCTGCCAGATCTCCGGATACATCCTGTGGACGATCTACCCGAGCTCGGCGACCGGCCTCACCTCGCTGGGCTTCTCGCCCAATTGGGGCGCTGTCGTGCTGGCCTACCTGGCCATGCAAGTCCACATCACGGTGGCGTTCTCCGTGATCCTCAACCCGGTGTTCTACCTCACGGAGCGCCTCGTGCTGGGCATGCACAAACGTCCCGTTGCCGACGTCGAGAACAACCTTCTCAGCTACGCGGAAGTGTCCACGCCGGCCGAGAAGCCGTCACCTCGATCCTTCTCCTCTGTCGCTGATACTGAGAAAGTTCAAGTCGGCAACGCTGAGGCGGAAGCTGCCGAATACCACGGCGCCAACGCCATCAAGTACGTGGTTCTGCGTCTGGCCATGATCGCGCCTTGGTCATCCTCTCGGTCGTGTTCAAGGGCCACTTCTCGGCCCTTTCCGACTTCGTCGGCGCGTCCTGTATCACGCTCAACTCCACCATCCTGCCGATCGTGTTCCTGCTCAAGAAGAAGTGGGGGATCCTCCCCATGTGGGAGAAGGTGGCGGCCCTGGCCGTGGTCGTCGTGTGCTTCTGCTTGGGCTGCTACGTGACGGTCCTCACAGGCGAAGAGCTCTTCACGCCCGTCGACGACGACACCGAGTTCCCCTACTGCGCACCGGAATACGAGAACGTAGTGTACTACAACTATACAGCTGCCCACGAGGGGTAGATATCGTTAGTTTTCATAATGCACTTCGCATTTCATGAAACCATCGAAAAGGAAAAAAAAATAGAAAAAATGCTTAACTTCCTGATTCCCCATATAGGGGCGAGCCAATTCACAGCTCGACTCGACCAGCATGGAGAACTACCACATCTTGGAGCGCATCGGCGAGGGGTCCTTCGGGAAGGTCTACCGGGGCCGCCGCAAGTACTCGGGGCAGATCGTGGCGCTCAAGTTCGTGACGAAACAGGGCAAAAGCGCCCGGGATCTCGAGAATCTCCGCCAAGAAGTATGATAGGGGGCTCCATACTAAAAACACATTAAGTAGATGTGTACTCTAACCGAGTTGTGTGCATTCTGCCCAATGCAGATCAACATCCTTCGCCGCCTGAACCACTGCAACATCATTGCCATACTGGACTCGTTCGAGACGGACGGTGAGTTCTGCATGGTGACGGAGTACGCCCAGGGGGAGCTGTTCCAAGTGCTGGAGGACGAGCACAGTCTGCCGGAAGAGGAGATCAGGAAGATCGCCATCCAGCTCATCCAGGCGCTGCACGTGCTGCACTCGAACCGCATCATCCACCGAGACATGAAGCCGCAGAACATCCTCATCGGCTCCAAGCAGCAGATCAAGCTGGCGGACTTTGGCTTCGCGCGCGCGATCGCGCACGACTCGAGTCTGCTGAGGTCCATCAAGGGCACGCCGCTGTACATGGCGCCCGAGCTGGTGCAGGAGAAGCCGTACAACTACACGGTGGACCTCTGGTCGCTGGGCGTCATTCTGTACGAGCTCGCGGTGGGGAAACCCCCGTTCTACACGGACCGGATCGTGTCGCTCATCCAGATGATCGTGCGCGACGCTGTGCAGTACCCGCCGACGATGTCGGAGGACTTCCAGAGCTTCCTCAAGGGATTATTGAACAAGGACCCCGCTCAGAGACTCAAGTGGCCGGACATTCTGCAGCATCCGTTCGTACAGGAGACGCCCGAGCAGCTCGAGGCGAGACTGCAGCTCGAGCGGCAAGTGCGCGCCTTACCCCGCTTCTTCAAGGAGAACGAGCTGCACCACTCCCCGGAGGAAGACAGCGAGGAGAAGGCCAAGCCGAGTGTCGAGCGCTTGAGGTCTTGTGACGAGTGGAAGATCTGCGACCCGGAAACGGGGCGACAACTAGCCAAGCCCAAGCCTGAGTCTGAACAACCCAATCTAGATGAACCAAAAGCGCCACCTGCCAGCGAGAACAACAATCGCAGCCCCTCTCCTCCACCAGAAGCTGCTCGTCCAGCCCGCTCTGTGGTGTTGGAAAGTTTTCTGAGCGTGTGGGAGCGCATCAGTCGAGAAATTGACATGAAGCACGTGGATGCAGGGCTCGCAAAATCTCCATTGTTCGCCAACGCCGTCGGCCTGCTGCCTTCGATCCCAGTTCACGAGCTGTCCAGCGACGTCTTGACGAGTATTGCCTCATTGCTCCATCTTCAGTACCGGTTCTTCGTGCTGCTTCTGAAAAGGGCCGAAGAGGTGACTGAACTCGACGGTTTACTCCACGCGAAGGACCACATTCACCGATTTCTGAGTCGCTTAGTGGAGGCTGGTGGAGTGCTAAAGGCCAGCCACGAGCAAGCCACTGACGTGGTCTACAAGTGCGTGCGCTGCTGTATGATCTGCACGACGATCGTCAACTCCATCGAGGCTGACAACGCAATGGAAGGCAAATTGGACTACCGCCAGTTCTGCAAAAGTGACGTGGACGCCATCTCCCTCATGCTGAATTGCAAGGACGAAGTCGTTGCGGCATCGCACTCCAAGGCGCTGAAGTGGCTCGGATCAATGATCGATCGATCCCAGAATCTCACAACACTGCTGGAGGTCGTTTACCCGTCGGGAGTGGTTCACACACTTTGCGAAATCCTGCACGCATCGGGAATTTCGCGCTCTCCAGGGGGTCGAATCTCCAAGAGCGGTCGAGACTTGGGCCTATACGCAGTCTTCGCGCTAGCTGCTTTCGTTCAGCCCGATGCGAAGTGCTGGAGGCCTCTGCAGCCTTTTCCTGTGCTAACCTTGGTTCAAGACGATGCTGCTCCGATGGATAACTCTAGTTTACGAGATGTCAAGCACCTGTACAAGCTTCGCGTTAAAGTTGACTCGGAAGTCGGGTCTCAGCTACTCAGCAGCGGTGTTAGTGAGCTGATCGCACTGCTTGGCGATGAAATAAACGAGCGTGTGAGACAGAAGCGCGCTGAAGGCGGTGATACGGACGGAGAGGACGATCTGGGCGAAGAAGACGCGGACCAGTCTACAATTTGCTGTATTCTGAAGATCCTGATGCACGCGTGTCGATCCTCGGCGCCTCTTTCCAAGAAGCTCACAGTGACGAAGATTGTCTTTCAGAAGCACCGAGACACCGACATCTTCACTATCTTGCTCTGGGGGTTCTCATCGGGCGGTTTGCACCAGATTGAGCAGTACTTCGCCACCGAGTTGCTCTCAGTGATTCTTCGTCGCGGGGTTCTTCCAAAGCGGCAGATCTGGCGTTGCGCGCAGACCATATTCCCCATACTGCAGGACGCAAGCGACACCGCACTGTTGAGTGCTCTCAGTACGTTTTTTGCCGAGGTTATCGAGACCTGCAACATCGACGAGTCTGCGCTGGGGACCGATGGCATTCCTGACCACTTGGAGCCGCAGGACCTGGAGCTGTGGAACCTCGTCGTCCATGGAGCGCTTACACGCCGCTGTTCCGCCGCGATTTTCCGTCTCTTTAGCAACACAACCGCTGACGAGGACGATAACCCAAGCAGTAAGGCTCAGATGCTCACCAGCTACAACATCCGCGCCCAAGGTCTTCTGGACTCGGGCATTGTGTTCCTGTTGCGCGTGGCGTCCAAAGCTGCATCACAACCAAGGCAATCCACAGCAACGGAAGGTACGAATCGATCCGAGGAGATGAACATGTTCATGACCGTGTTCGAGAGCGACACAGTGTGGCAAGTTTTCGACGGCATGATGGCCACCGGCGGTGGAGATCTGTTGTCGCCTTGGGGATTGTTCTGCTTCTTGAAGCTGCTTCGGATCGTCCGCGAGATGCAGTGCAACGAGACGCAGATGGAAGTCGCTGTGAACGAGCACCTCCTGCTTCACTTGGTGAACCTGCTCGAGTTGAGGCACATCGAGTACCTTTTCCACTGGCCCGAGGTGGTGGGAGGAGGCAGCAACGCCGTCAAGGCGCTGGTTCACGCCACGGTCAAGGTGCTAGGCATCCCATTCGCCCACAGTGTGTCGGAGGAGCTGCTCGTGGATACGCAGGAGATCCTGTACGATGCTAAGTGCGTGCAGAAATTACTCGGAGTGCTTCGGTTCGTCTTCTCAACGAAAGAGCTCCACCTGGAGGCGTCCGTACTGGAATTGCCCATCAGCTTCTTGTCTCGGCTGGTGACCAGCTCCACTCACTTCGGCTCGCAGTTCGTGGAGGCTGACGGGATGTCGGTCATCAAGGAGTGCGGGATGCTGAGCAGCAACTGCTCGCCGTCCTTGATCATCGACACGCTCTTGATCGTGAGCCAGTTGGCGCGCAGCTCGCAGACCAACTACGACTGCATTCTACGAGCGGATCTCCTCCCCGAGTTCTACCAGCTGATGCAGCATCCAGAGGCGATGGTCCGGGCCAAGGCGCTCAACTGCATCGGGAATTTGTGTCGCCACTCGACGCTCTTCTACCGGCATTTCATCGCTCCAATAGGCGGAGATTCGTCGCGTACGGTGCTAAACGAGATGATCCGAGGGCTCTCGCACCCGGACAGCTACGTCCGGCGGTTCGCGTGCTTTGCCATTGGCAACGCGGCCTTCCACAATGGGGACTTGTACCATGCGCTGCGTCCAGCGATCCCCCTCCTGGTGCAGAATCTCCACAACGACGAGGATAAAACGCGCTCAAACGCTGGGGGAGCGCTCGGGAACCTCGTGCGCAACTCGGACGAGCTCTGCAGCGACCTCTGCGCCCACGAAGCGCCGTGGGAGCTGTTCGAGCTGGCCATGACGGAGACCAGCACGGCCTCGCGCCGCATTGTGCTCTTCTCGCTGGGCAACTTCTGCGTCTACCCCGAGTGCTTCAACTTCCTCGTCCAAGCGGACCCAGGGTTTGTGGAGGAACTGGAGCACCTGTACGACGAGGTGGTGGCCGACGAGGTGTCGCGACGAAACATCCGCCGCATCCTGGCCAAGATCGAGGCGCTGGAGAGCGAAGACGGAGACGACTTTGCGCATGCCGAGTGACGCAGCGGCAGGCAACAGCGAGGATGAGTATAAAACATAGTTGCATCTTGTGTCTAAAGCAGATGCGGCGATGCTGTCACGAATGCCGTGATACTTGTCAGCTCATCACCAGAACGTCGAGCGGACTCCAAGCACTGGAGCACTGCCCGTTCAGGCTCGAGATGCAGTTTAGTGCAAGTATGGTCGTTATCGATGAGCTGCAAAAACATCACCACCACCACCGACATCGAACCTCCTCTGCGGTTATGATAATCGACCACTAACTGTCCTACGACGAGCGCTGCTACAGGTCTCACACTACGAAATAGTGACGAGGATGCGTTGCGATTCTTCACCTTCGCATGGAACGATGAACGCTAGCGTCGAAAGGAACACCTTCACGTGGATGCCCAACATGGAGCCATGAGAAGACTCCGCAGCTGTTTGTTGTGCCGGGCAGTCCTTTGGCGAAGTGTGTGAGGCAGCCGCCTACATCCTCCTCACACGATGGAAATCCACTGAAAGATTCACGCACAGTGTGTGTGCATCCACACAAACCGAGATCCGTCGGTGAATATGTAGCCATGAGCCGTTCGTAACCTAGTTTTCTTCAGAAACAAACTTGTCTGAACTTTTGAAAGCCTTTGTACAGCCCACAGAGCTGTCGTCGCAGCTGCGGCCGCCGGTAGCGATGATCGCCGCAAAATAATTGCCGCCTGTTGCCATGTGGCGCTGGACCAGGCGGTTTCCCCTGGTTGGTCCCAGCGCCTCGGTCACTATCGCATGCGAAGTTGTTTTGCCTCCTGTCCGCTTGGCCACCTTCGGTGTTGACGAGCTGTACTATTCGTATTATTCGGCCGCCATGGAGCGCTCCACGACTGGGTGCGTCGGAGTCCAACGACGGGAAGTTACTGCCGCAAAACGCTGCAAACGACGTGTGAGGGCCTAAGACGAGCTACGGGTCGCCGACTTCGGTCGAGCGGATCTCACTCCTGTGATACGAGTCGAGTATCAGGCCGCAACGGATAGCAAAGCTGCTGGCATTTGCAGTTGTTGTAGGTGTCGTCGATGACGGCCATTTCGTCGGCATTTTTGTCTGAAGAATTGCACGGGATTCGATTGGGCGAATATTTTGTTTTTCTGCTCGCGGTACTCGGCGCAGCTGTACCAGTATAGTGGTACTCCTGAGAGTTTTGCTTCAACTCAAACCTGGGCGCAATTTGACTTGAGTAGACTATACCGCCCAAAGCATCAATATGGGTACTACTACCCATTTTTAGTGAAAATTGGAAACTAAATTGGACTGAAAATTTATGGAATGGGCACTACCGTCAAGAAAGAGAAAGAGAAGAAGACACGGAATCATTCCAGCACTATCCAATGACTTCAGGTTTCAGCCTGCGGAAACGACATCTTTGTAAATGGAAGGAGGTATCTTCGCTTTGACTTTTGACGCACCATGCTAGGTCGTCGCCCAAACGTGGGCTGCTTTGTGGTGAGCCGTTTATTGGCATCACTTTGCCTTAGATAGCGACAGTGGCGGCGCTATTAGTGCTGACCGCCGTGTTAGGGCAGAAAGCGTCGCGAAGAGCGACTCAAGCAGGCCATCGCAAGCGTATCTTGGTCGTATTTCCCTCTCCACACTGTGTCATCGTAGAAGTTCCCACACCCAACTTGAAGAGGGAGAATACGATGAAACTTACTTTCAGCCACGTTGATTTTGTGCTTGTCATGGTTTGGTGCGTTCTAAACAGCAAATTGCATTCTCCTCTGAGGGCATGAGCTTTCCTAGCCGTGTCTGGCGCATTCATTTCGTTCGCCAGATCAATCTTAGTGAAACAAATGAAAAATGGGTCACCATGGCCCGTCCGTGTACCGTCAGTGCCCAATTTTGCGGTATACAAATCTCGAGTGTATCCGTCTCACCGTTCTCTTTGCGTTCAGACTCTGCCGTCCGCTCGAAGTTCACAAGTCAAGCAGAGGCCCAGGCAGCAAGGCGGTCGTTTCGAGCCAAAACCAACCCGTGGCGCCACCTCCACCTCCACCTTCACCTGCACCTGCACCAGCGCCGCGCACCTACACTTCGCTTCATTTCCCCTTTCTCCCGTCTTACGCGCCGTCATGCCCTCCGCCGAAGTAGACATCGACGACCTCCGCGCCGACTACGAGGACCCCAAGTACGCGCACAGCAGCACCAACAGCCGCAGCACCAGCAGCGCCGCCTACTCCATGGGCGACGAGGACGACGTGGACGACCCGCGCGCGCCGCCGGCCTCGGCCCCGGACGCGCTCGACTACCGCCGCGTGCAGCAGGCCAGCAGCTTCGACGTGCAGGAGATGATCAACATGCGCGAGAGCACGTTCCGCGACAGCCTCATGCCGGGCAACGGCTACGGCGAGCGCGGCTCGACCCACGACTCGGGCTCCAACAGCGGCGGCCGCCAGACAGAGATGGGCAACGCGCTCATGCGCATGGACGAGAGCTACCGCCGCGCGTACAACAGCAACAACAGCATCAACCACAGATCCTCCATGGGCACGACGCCCGACGGGCTGACGCCGCTGCTGCAGGCGGCCCGGGCGGGCGACATCGTGCTGGTCAACGCGCTCGTGATCCAGGCCGGCACGGACATCCTGCGGCGCGACCCCATGTTCGGCCAGACCGCGCTGCACTTCGCCATCCGAGGCGGCCACCTGAACGTGGTGCAGGCGCTGCTCATGCCGCAGCTGCGCGGCTCCATCGTGAACGTGGCCGACAACCGGCGCAACACGGCGCTGCACCTGGCCGCGGCCAAGTCGCGCCGCATGACCAAGATCCTGCTCGAGTGCGGCGCGGACGTTAACTTCCTCAACATGCGCAACCAGACCCCGCTGGGCGTGCACATCCTGACGGTCACGAGGGACGACCCGACCATGACGGAGATCTTGCTGCAGCACCGCGCGAACGCCAACGCGCCCGTGGACAAGTCGACGATTCTGCACGTCGCGCTGGACAAGGGCCTGATCCAGATCGCCACGCGGCTCGTGCGCCACGGCGCAAGACTGGACCTCAAGGACGAGTCGGGCAAGACGGTCTTCGACAAGGTGGACAAGGCGCAACTGAAGATGCTCATGGCCAAAGTGGCCCACCCACCCGTGTGGGTACCTGACAGCGAGCGGCCGGAGTGCATGGAGTGCAACAAGAAGATCGGCAGCCTGGGCGCGCGCCGACACCACTGCCGCATGTGCGGCCGCGTGCTGTGCTCCGCCTGCTCGGCGTGCCACGTGCGCGCCAAGAAGCTGCCGTTCCCGGCGCGCCGCCGCGGCAAGAAAAACAAGGCCGAGAAGGGATCGGCCAACACTCGTGTGTGCAACATGTGCTACGAGATCTGCACGGAGGGCGACCTGCTGTCCAACGACAACAACGCCGGGTCCCGAGCACACAGCGAGACGGCATAACCTGGGACGTCCCTCGCAGGCGTGAGCTTCGTTGTTGTTTCCTTGTGCCCTCTCGCTCTCTGCTTTTTTTCCGCCTACTTACGCTTTTGGTCCGGACGGTGGCCCTGTTATTATAGAGGTAGGCACTCGACACCTCCGAGAAGCTCTTCCAGACGAATGGAACACGCATCTACAGGTATTTTTTCTCTTCCATGTACGAAGTAGTACATGCTTGGCGTACGCGGCGGATAAGACCAGTATACGCAAAGAAACATTTCAGTATTTTACCATCACGAGCGTTGCCATCGACGGTTGACAGTGTAGAATTTCTCCGCCCAATGGTCGAGGTGAGCCGGCCGCGGGCGAGATTCCTGCGGCCGCTGGATACTATCCAGTGGATAGTAGGTATCGCAAGGTCCAAGTTGTTTGTTGTCGCTGCGCGCCACGTCACAACGCCATCATCACATCCAAACTTGCCGAAATGGTGTCCGATTTGTACAATGAAAAGCAGTGAAAGGCGAAGTACCAGTAGGATATCACACTTGCCTCGGTCGCGAGGCGCTGGGTTCAAAGGATTCGCTCAAGTTTTGGTCGAGTCTCCTCTGGCGGAGACATGTCCGTCCCTGACGCTAGCAAATGAGCCCAGCCATCTCGTCGGATAAGCACTATCACCAGGGCGTGATAGTAGCGGTAGTTCTCCTGAACTACTACCAGTAGTATTCAGTAAAAGAAAACGAATTACTAGTTACTGGGTCCTTTTGCTCAAGCGTTCCTAGCTACTATAGTAATAGTACTATAGTACTATCAAACTACTGGCTGAATGTGGTCCACACACTTATTTTTAAGTATATTTTCGGCAGGTTGTCACGAAATGGTCAAATTGGTTAAATATTTTATATTATTTAAGGGTGTGACTTCGTTGATGGTTGACATGTGAGAACATCTGGTCGCAAACGGACGTGCGTTGTAAGTAGTAGATACAAAATCTCGCGATGTACCAACGACAAACAACACCAAAATATGTAGACCCAGTACTTCTTACCGCCGTCGAACGAGCACAGGGGCTTACGACATTTTTTCCAATTATGCTGAGCAGCAACTTGCGTACCAGCGGCGGTGCTAAACTATTGCAATCAACACTCACCATTTACTCACCGCGATTAAACCCGAGTGGAGCTTTGGGCTGTGGGATAGACTCAGCAGGCGAGGGCGAACGTATGTGTCATTTCAAGTTGTGAAACCTCAGCAGTAACTCGATAGTATTATTGGGGGCGTGGATGAGTTACTGGTTACTATAGTGATAGTACAATCAGAAAGTGTCAAGTTACTGGTTACTATAGTAGAAGTAGTAGTACTATAGTACTATATTCTACTGGCCTCGCGAATTACTACCAAGCCCTGACTATCACACTAACAAAATGTGATGCCACGCCAAGTCAATAGCAATGCTTAGTATGAACACGCGTTGCGACAACTCAAGTTATTGCCTACGCTTAGTTGTCGAAAGTGGCATCCGAGGGCGTAGAATTAAAATGAACTAACTTACGGGAATAACTTACTGATACCCTGTCACTAATTTCGTGCAAGAGATCTATACAACTTATGATTGGTCATGTACCCCCATGAACGCGACAGCTAGTGTTCGCACAAACGCTATCTGTATAGCTAACACTAGTGTTTGCAAACTGTGTGTTAGTGTGTTGTGAATATGGCTTACATGTTTGTGGAGTTGGACAAATTTTAACTATCTATTTATCTTGAACTAAAGAGTTGGAGCTCTCTTCACTTGTCGGAAGCTGACTTGCACGCGAAGGTCTTCTCTTTACACCAACCATGATCTCCTCAAACTAACCAGCGCTAGATAACGCTTGCTACGCCGTGGTGCGTACATGAATTGTGGACTCGACAACGGGTGCTACTTAACTGTGAGTACACTTCACTGACTTCTGAGTAATTCCACACAATGTGACTTAGGAATCTGGCATCGCCACCTTGGACCAGACCGAATGAGGATATAATGTGAATGCATCTGGGGAAGTAACCCATCGATCCACTTATGCGGACGTGAGTAATCTAATAGCGTCATCTAGCAAAAAACAAACGATAAATTGCCCTAACGGGTATGTAGCATGCTATTTGTGTTCATGAATGGCACCCCAACAAGCAACGCCTTTAGAGTTTAGTCATGGTTTCAAGTTGACGCAGCGCACGAGTTTAAATGAAGTTTACGTACTCGGAAGTCCGAGCACATTGCTCATTACTCGAAAGTCCGAGAAATGTCCTCAAAAGTAAGGATGACCGGAGCCATTAATTTGATCTGCTTAGTGATAGAGCAGCAAACATGCAAACGCGTTTGCAAACAGCACTAACTGTAAGTAAGTGTGTTATGAAAACCACTAACGTGCTTGCGGAGTTCACTAGCGACACTTAGTTTGCAAGAGGAATCTGAGGCGGCGACTAATAATGAGTAGTTAGCTTTCACTGTGAGCATCTCACAGAATCGGAATCGATTGCAAGTAAAGAGTATTAATATGTGTTGGTAATCGTAGGATAGGTTGTTCAGTGATGGACAGCCGAGGCAAATCACCTACAGTACCAAAACCTGGGTCTCCGTTGGTTTTGTTGTACATATACTCGCCTTTTCGCTCAATCCAGCACCTTCAGGCTGAAGGCTTCAGCACCTTGAGTGGCGGGGAAAAATAAGAAATTAACAGTATTATTTTTTTAATTGGGAAGGGCTGAGAGTTCAATCCACATCGTGTTGCATTTTGCGTGGGAAAACGCAAGGTGCTTTGCTTGTATAATACTAAGTAAACTTCATACATGCTGTATGATCTTGCCTGCATGAATCAAACAGGTCCTACTTGCTGAGAATTCACAATGCCTTTTTCGCCATCGAAACAGAGAGCCCCATTGAAAGTGGTGGCTCCTTGCCTTGTCGCCCCCAGGCACTGGCGGAAGCTTTGCAACAGCTTTGAGCCAGCGTTGCAGGCTCCACAACTTGTGGGGCTTGTGGCACAAGCGGGGCCCATGTTCCGCACTCCTCAGAGACGGGGTTTCCAGGCTGGAAGGGCAAGCCGCCCCATCTGAAAAGCCCGTCAATACCAGATCGCGGGCTAGGGCGAATCCGTAATACGCGAAAATGCTTGCATGCAGTAACCAAATACCCTCCTCAAACGATTTCACTAGAGTATTGTATAGACATACAAACATCTGTAGTAACTACCTGTATAAAATAATCCGCCGTTTTTCCCGTATAAAGTCAGCAATGTTACTGTAGCGAATCACCAGTGCCTGGTCGTCCATTGTGCAGGCAATAGGGAGGTGCAGTAGAAGAGCGGAGAGCCCCACCAAGAAGCCAAAGCAGCGACCACGCCTCGCCATCGACATCGCCGTCGCGCCGCAGACCCAGCGACGCCGCGGTGGAGCTGGCCCGGGGCAGCCATGGCACGGAGACGGCGCGCGATGCTGGCGCTCGGCGCGCTGGCGGCCGCGGCGGCGCATTGCAACGCGGCGCCCGCGCCGCCGCCGCCCAGACGCCTCCTCTCCTTCGACAGCGCAGTGACAGACACAGTGACCGACGTGGCGGGCGCCGCGGTGGACACGACCAGCAACCTCGTGAACTCTTTGGCGTCGACGGTGCTGGGCACGGCCGACGCGGACACGACAGCGACAGCGACGGCTGAACCGGGCGGCGGCCTGTCGGCGTCGGTCTCCCTGACGATCGGGGGCGCCACGGCCACGTCGACGGGCGACGACTTGCTGGCGTCGAAAATTGCGACCACGAGCCCGGCAGCGGAGACGACGACGACGAGCTTCAGCGACGACAGCAGCACACCCACGGGCATCGCGGATTCGGTCCCTGTAGCGACGACGACGACGCCCTCGACGGGGATCTCCGTGTCCGTGACGGTCTCGTTGACGGGGTCGGGGGACGGACAGGAGCCGACGGAGACCACGCCGGCACCGACAACAAGGACACCAGCTCCGACGACGGAAAGGCCGACAGCAGCTCCTACAGCGCCACCAACCACCACAGCACCGACAGTGCCACCGACCACCACAGCACCAACAGCGCCACCGACCGCGGCGCCTACGCCTGCCCCTACTGCTGCACCAACAGCAGCGCCGACTACGGCGCCGACTATAACACTTACGCTGCCGCCTGCAGAGGACGAAACAGGAAACGAGTCGGCAGCGTACAGTGGCTCGGACGGCGCGGCGCCGACGGCAGCGCCAGCGCCGACCACGCAGGCACCAACGATCTCGGTGGCCACGCTGGTACCCGTGGCAGTATCTGTGCCGACTCTGGCGCCGACGACTGTCTCCGTCTCCGTGGCCACACAAGCTCCGACGACGGTCTCAGTGTCAACTCCCGTAGCGGTTCCAGCGGAAACTTATGCACCTGTCGAGGTATCAAAATCGACCGAGACTCCAGCGGCTACTGATGCCCCCGTGGGTTCAACAGAGCCCCCTGTTTCAGTACCAGTATCAACGAATGCCCCTGTGACAGTGGCAACGGATGTCCCCGTAGTGGTGCCTGTGTCCACTGATGTCCCTGTGGTCGTTCCTGTATCAACAGAGATTCCTAATACGGCACCTATTACCGTAGCCCCAACTCAAGCCCCTACAGCAACTCAGGCCCCCACACCAGCTGCAGACTCGCCGACAAGTTCGACGTCAGGTGCACCTCCTGACCGCGATATTGCTGGCGATCAAACTGTAGCAACAGGATCAAGCTCCACGGATGCTGCAGTGGTTTTACCGGACGAGAGTACTGCTGCGTCTTTAGCGACTACCAGCCCCCCAGTGGTAAGCACAGGAAGCGCGACAGGTACTCCAGCTGCAGGTGCGACGGCGTCGCCCGCCCTCCCGTCGACCAGCGCAGGCTCCCTTGATTCAAGCCCGAACAACGAAACAGTGATAGTATCTTCCCAGAGCGGAAGCGAGGACCAAATGAGTCCGGGACACGTTCATGCAAGCTCAAGTGCTGATGTAAGCTTGGACGGGTCTTCTGATGAGCTCAGCTTTGGGAGCTCCGACGTGATTCACAGTGGCAAGCAGAAGAAAAATAAGAAGAAGCAGGACGCGCGTAGCAGCAGCAGCGGGGATTACAGTGCCAACAGCAGCAACAAGGGAGACCCGAGCAAACTATCAAGTACAAGTACAAGTACAAGTACCAGCAACAGCGGGAGCAGCAGAGGCGGAAGCAATGGGTTCGGAGGCATTCTCAATCCTGGCGGCGTGTCGGACGTGAACACAAGCTCCGCCACCTACTACAGCTTGGGCACAGGGTCGATTGTTGCCATCGTCGGTGTCATTGCAGGCATTGCAGGCGTCTTGGTGCTCTTCGTAGCTATCAGCCGGAAGAAGTACACGGACGAGGATGACGAAAGCCCTGTTCCGTATGGCGTGAACATCCGCTCCATGGCGCGGCTCTCACCGACCTTCATGCAGGACGACTCGTTCATGGAGAGCGGCTACAACGGCACTGCGCTCATGGTGGCAGTGCCGCCGCAGACCAACCAGTTCGACGGGGCCTCTTCCACTAGCGGCGAAAGCTCGGACGAAGTGCCATCACTCCGTGGCTACGCGATGATGAACACCACCAACTGTGACCCGTTGGCCGACATCAGCATACGGAGCCGGGTGCCAACTACGATGAGCTTTAGCGGTGAAGAAGATGCTGGCAACGTGCGGACGTCTGCGTTGTATTCATCAGGGGGGTCGTCCATGACAAGTAGCAGCGCTATCAGCTCGTGGAGTTCAGTACTCGGGTCGGATACCGAGCGCCAGACCATGCGAAACACACGCGATACCTCGTTGAGTGCCTGGTCGGCGACAAATCTGTCGTCCTTCGGGAGCACAGCCAGCGGCGGGTCGGGGCTGCACCGCTTGACACGGTCGTCGTCTACTTTATCCGCCGATATTCGACATACGGGAGGTAGCGATAGAAGTCGCGGATACTCGGGGCCAACGCTGCCACCCCCGCAGGAGGAGGAAGCGAGTCGCGTCGCTGCCGGGCCTATCGACTCAAGCCGCAGCAACGAAAGCACCGAGGTGTGAGATATCTATCGGCCATGATCGTTAATGAGTGTACATATATTACGTCGTGAGCGTCGGGCTGGTTGAACGAGCACTATTCTGAAGGGTGCACTGCAGGTTAACAATGTCCATCATTGATCGCTGAATGACACGTGAAGCGCACAATTTGTCGTGGAGCTATTTTCCAGAAATGTCCTTTTCTGTTTTGTTTTCTTCTGATAACTGCACAAGTAAGCGGCCGCTGTCAATGGGAAGACACGAATCCTAGGAGGACGGTCGACGCTGCCTTCAAAATTTGCCCATTACTTTATAGAGAACTCGAGCGGGGACAGCTTATCGAGGAGAAGCCGGTTAGCTTCTACTCCGTGGTGTGTTTTACAGCCAACAAGCCGTCCCGTAACTTTTAGCGTAATCATAACTCGTCCCGTTATCGTAAACTTAAAATTGTACTCCGTAACTTCGTTTCCTTTCGAACGGATGTACGATTAGAAGCCGGTTAGCTTTTACTCCGTGGTGTACTGAATTTTGAATTCACCATCATTAAAAGTGGCAAACGAATATTTTAGTTGCGAAAGGGAATGGCAACTACTGTCCTCGTAAGGGCCTGGTCGGGGAACGCTCGTCTCGGCTTTCGATCGTCTTAGACGATGTGGCGACATTTTTTCTTCTTTTTGATTGGCCAGTTATTAGCTCGATCGGCTAGGTTCATCGTCTCCAGACTGACCAATCTGAGCGACTAAATCACCAGTCTCACTTTGGAGACGAGCGTCTTCACTGCGTTTCGATGGTGCAGAGCGAAAGCATCGTTGCTGCAGTTGCTGCGGCCACGGGAGCTCTCGCGACGGCGGTCCACACCGCTGTGTGGGCAATTTCAAACCCAAAGCAGAACATCCTTACCCTGACACCGCTAGAGTTTGAGGCTATGCTTTACGACGCGGTCTACAACGAGTGGTTTCGACAGAATCTCAGGTGTAGCCAAGCTACGTTTCTACGGCTTTGTGGTGTTCTGCGTCAGGAGCTGAAAGATTTTGAGCTAGATCGATTTATGAAGGAGCACTCTTTTGAGGAGAAGGTTGCTTGTTTCTTTTTTTCTCGGCTCGCAGGGTGGCTATAGAGAAACTACGGCTGCGTTTGCAATTTCGAAGTCCTGGGCTATCGACGTGATTGGTATATTTCTCAAGGCTTTACGCCGGTCGCTGCGCAAGTTCGTTCATTTTCCGCGGCATGCTCATGAATGGACCCGAGTTCAAGGTAAATTCCAAGCGAAAGGTGGAATTCCAGGAGTGGTGGGCGCGATAGACGGCTCTCTAGTGGAGATTAACAGGCCCGAGGACTTTGAGGGATACTATTGTCGAAAGATGTTCCCAGCGCAAAATGTGCAGGCTGTTGTTGACGACAAAATGCGCTTTACTAGCGTGGAGATTCGGCCGGGCTCGTGGTCTGACCAAAAAACATGGCGTGCGTCTACTTTAGGCTCCAACTTCAAAGACTTTTTGCCAGCGGGGACCCACTTTTTAGGAGATGCAGGATATGCTATTAGTCCGGCTATCATGACGCCGTTCATGGAAAATGATGGAGCCGGTTTGACACGCAAGCAGCTACGCTACAGTTATCTGCATTCCCGAACTAGGATGACAGTCGAGTGTGCTTTTGGACTCTGCAAAGGTCGCTTCAGAATTGTTAACTGCTGCATTAACACCAAATGCGTCGAGAAGGCTGTGGATATTGTGGCTGCAACGATGGTTCTCCACAATATTTTGTTGGGTTTGAAGGATGACACTTCTTTCGAAGATGAAGATGACGCGCGGGTGAACTTCGATGAAGAGGAAGATTTTGTTGTAACTGGGAACAACTCTGAGATGACTGCAAGCTTTCTAAGAGATGTTGGTTCGAGAAAACGTGCGTCCATTTTGGTTTTTACCGAAGCTTTTGAGCTAGTCTAGAAAACGTGTGTAGCTAGATTTTAATGGTCGCGGCGAATCAAATCCAGTAGCTCTCGAATTATTTCATTCTGCACTCGAAGTCGCTCGCTCTGAACTTGCATTTCCGACAAGAGTTGCTCGGTTTGGGCATGAGCCCGCTCACTTTGCTCGCGGAACAGCTCGGTCTGTTGCTGCACAGCAGCTGCAATGTCTTCGGCACCCCCATTTCGGACTGTAGCAAGTCCTTGGCCCAAAGCTTCTAGCCCTTCGCTAAACCCTTTAGCAACCGCACTCAAACCCGCCTCCACACACTCCCCCTGGGTGCGCTTCTGTCGCTTATTAGTCGACCCCGTGGAGCCAGACATGGTGCGGGGCGTTGGAGATTGAGGAGGGGGAGGTGAGGCAGGCGTGGCGAAGGCAGCGACGTCGGCGCTCGCAGCGTCACCAGCAGCAGCAATTGTATCCGGGTCCTCCGTGCTAAGATGCGGTCGGTTGTTCATCCCCGTCGCATCACCCCAGTAGTCTTTCATGATGCAGTAGTGATTTGGGCGCCGCACGGGTCCGTCGTTGCCAGTTCGACCTTCTGCTTCCCGCGCAGACGCCCACTTTTGCTTCATGTTCTTCATCTTTAAAAAATATTCACCGCACATCATGATTAATAACTTAGTAGTGGCTCATTCCGATAGATATTTTCACATTGTAGAAATTTACCTTAGATTGGCACTGCTGATCAGTGAACACTTTGCTCTGGTTAACAGAGAGTGTTGATGCTAAGACGGCCCACGCATATTTGATGCGCTTGGTGTCCTTCGTGTTCTTGAAGTTGTCAGCTAACTCTGTGTAACGGAGGCGAAAGAACTCGTTCACATCATCATCGCTCCATGATGCAGCTGGCCTGGTCGAAACTCCTCGTCCTCCACGACCACCGCGACCTGCCCCGTGACCACCACGGCCTCCACCATGAGGGGGTGCTCTCTCGACGCCGCTCCCGTTGGGGTCCGTGCCGCTTACGCTTCTCTCAGCAGCGTCTTCAGCTTCAGCGCCGCCCACAGGTGGAGCAGTAAGGGTGCCTTCCATGGCTGCGAGTTCTCGAGTGTGGTGGTGCTGAGTCGAGCAGCTTGACACACCAAAACTAAGACGGTCTCCAGCCAACCGACCACATCGGCTCGGTTCACCTTAGGGGTAGGCTTACCGGAGACGAGCGAGACTGAGACGATCATTCCCCGACCAGGCCCTAACTAGTTATTCTGGTAATGTAAGCAATTCTTACTCGGCAGTACTGTACAATATTGATCAAATAAAGAACAATAAGCCGATCCTATCTAGGTTTAATTGCAGCAGCATCCTTGCCAACGGGATATGCATGAGTGCAACCTTGATAAGGCCGCTGTCTCCGTTCTGCGTAGCACTGCGCTGAGGACAAGGAACTTCAGTTCATTCTCCATTTTGCATTCTACCACATACCCACCCCACCCACACTCTCAAGCCGCAACGATGAAGACCATTTCCCAAGTCCTGACGACGACAGCGCTGGCGGCAAGTTGCGTCGTCGCAGTGGAGAACGGCATTCAACTGAGTGAGGTCTACGGTGGTCCGCACCGGGGGTCGGACAATCCAGTATGAAATTTTATTGCGAGGCCAAAGCTGCAGTAGTAATAACAGCAATATGAGGGTAACCAATAATAATAATTGGTACAATTTAAGAGCATCTCCAACGGTAGTGCAAAACTCAAGGAATTGCACGATATTTGCAAAATTGCAAAAAAATCATCCCCAACGGGGAAGTGATAGGGGTTCAGAAGTAGTGCTGAAGTAACACGTTGAAATCGATAGTGCAATTCCCGGATGGCGTAGTGATTATCGGCCTGCTATTCACTACGACCTGCCAGCTATTGCACGCAAAGTACAAGGCGAGAATACGCCTTTATGGACGCCTTCAGCGCGTGCACCCGTCCGAAAGAGGTACACAACACTCTCACAATACATATACTACTAGTTTCATAGGTATACCGGATGAATAGAAGCTCCTGGGCTTACCTGCAATTGCTACAGTATGTAGGGCAAATGACTTGTTGTCCCAAATGCATGCTGCAAACAACGGCGGGCCGTTATCGACCTGAAGTACGCTATAGTTGCCTATTGTGGTGCCTTTGCCGCGGATAACTTAAGCTACGCTACCCTTTATCGGCCATTGCGGAGGAAGGGCTACCCGCTTTCACTGCGCAATTTTGCAATACCGTTGGGGAAGCTGAACTTTTGCAAAAAAATTCAAGCGTGTTCGTCTTGTTTATGTTGCTAATCGGCCCACTTTGCCTTATCACTTTTGCGATTTGCTCTACCGTTGATGCTCTAAGTATATTGTACCATTCGTGACATGAGCATTGCCAAAATGTGACAGGAAGGCCGCAAACTTCACGCGAACTTTACGCAAACGTCCCATCGCTGATATCGAACTATTACTGAGGTGTCAGGCCAACCTATACAGTGAGAAAATACAGGTGGAGGCTGATGACGATTACAATAGCCCTGTACTCTTTCCAGGACGGTTTTGGGAAGTGTTGCTGTCCGGCAAAGCGCTATTGATTATACACCGCTTGCTTCACAAAGGCCACGCAACCCAAGGCTGTGCCGATTCGAAAAATAGAGATTATAATAGTTTATTATAGCATTTTCATCATTTATGAATGCCCAACCAGAATTCATAGTATTTGATATTTTATTGCTATTATTGAGGCAATATCATATTGTATTGGTTTCATAAACTTCCAATAATAAATAATTGTAGTGGAACAATACCATAATAATTGTTTTGCTATTATTTTTTTCGACCCCTGGTCCGCACGGGGGTGCTATTTGGACCAGTATTAAGCCCGTGGCGTAGACTTAGTCAGAGAGCTTCGAGATCGTATGACGCGAAGAGGAACACAGTCTACAGCCAAGGGTCGATAATCTAGACATGGGCCAGCGATATCAATTACTCCTGTAGTAATGGGGTTTGTGCCGCGGCAACTTGAGATCGTTGTTGCTATGGATGAGCTATCTCCGCCCACTAACAGGAAAGCGATTACTTCCGGTCGGTAAAATGTCTACGGCACTGCAAACTCATTTCATCTCTTCCTTCCTTTGCAGCTTACAACACTGTTAACTATCATACGCCTCACATACTGTACTATGAAGAAGGACACCAAGCAAATGAATCCGATGCACGTACAATGCCAAAGCCCGATTTCATTGAATCGACGAAACCAAACAGCTACGAGAGAAACCGAATACGGTCGACCAAAAACAATCTAACACTTAGTTGTCGATGGTGGCCATGTGCAGCACCAGGTCCACGAGGCGGTTCGAGTAGCCCCACTCGTTGTCGTACCACGCCACCAGCTTCACGAACGTGTCGTTCAGCGCAATGCACGCGTCCGCGTCGAACGTGCTCGAGTGCTTGTCGTGCAGGAAGTCGTTCGACACCACCTGGTCCTCCGTGTAGCCGAGGATGCCGGCCAGCTCGCCCTCCGACGCGGCCTTCACGGCGGCCTTGATCGCGTCCATGGACGCGGGCTTCTCCAGACGGCACGTCAGGTCCACCACCGACACGTCGGGCGTCGGCACGCGGAACGCCATGCCCGTCAGCTTGCCGTTCAGCACCGGCAGCACCTTGCCCACGGCCTTGGCGGCGCCCGTCGACGACGGGATGATGTTCTGGCCGCAGCCACGGCCGCCGCGCCAGTCCTTGCCGCCCTTGGCCGGGCCGTCCACCGGCAGCTGCGTCGCCGTCGTGGCATGCACCGTCGTCATCAGACCCTCCACGATGCCGAACTGGTCGTTGATCACCTTGGCCAGCGGTGCCAGGCAGTTGGTCGTGCACGACGCGTTCGACACCACGGGCGCCGAGCCGTCGTACTCCTTGTGGTTCACGCCCATCACGTACATGGGCGTGGCGTCCTTGGGCGGCGCCGAGATCACCACCTTCTTGCAGCCACCGTCGATGTGGGCCTTGGCCTTCTCCGTCGTCGTGAACACGCCCGTCGACTCGCACACGTACGTGGCGCCGGCCTTGCCCCACGGGATCTCCGACGGGTTGCGCGCCGCGAACACGTGGATCACCTCGCCGTTCACCACCAGGTTGCCGTCCTTGGTCTCCACCGAGCCGTCGAACTTGCCGTGCGTCGAGTCGTACTTGAACAGGTACGCCATGTACTCGAGGTCCATGAACGGGTCGTTGATGGCCACCACCTTGGTCTTGGGGTTCTCGATGGCGGCGCGGCACACGAGGCGGCCGATGCGGCCGAAGCCGTTGATGCCGATGGCGACTTGCTCAGGCATGGTTGGAAGTAGTTGAGTTGGGTTGGTGTGGATGCGGTGCTCGGAAGCGTGCAAATGAAAGAATGAACTTTGCCGTCGAGCTGCCGGCCGGCCGGCCAAGGTGGCTACGTCAGTCTGAACGGGGCCATGGATGCGCGGATACTTTGACACGCATCAGTCTGTGACAGTCTGCTTGGTCGGAGGGTAGAGCCGAGCCGTACCCGACAGAAATATAAGCCGGATTGATCACTAGGCTCCGATTATGCGCCGGCGTGCAAAGCTGCGACGTTTGTCGAGGCCTGCACACACGTTGTGCTCGAATCGATTGCTGGTCCGTTCGTTGCATGACTTCGGTCGTGAGCGCGAGCAAGCGGCCAAGGCGGTGCTCGAATGCCCTCATGCAACGGATGCAACTACGGGGAGGGGAGCTAGAGTAATACTGAGAAGAAGTCGGCTAAGTCGGGGACTTCGGACAAACATCGCGTGAAGCCAACAAACGACACGGGGCACGTCAACCAAGATTCATTCACACCCATAAACGAAGTGCATTGCATCTCGTTTGCCGCTGCTGCGTGAAGCCCATGTTTTTACTTGACCCCCGCTCTCTCAACATTGGAGGTCCGACCTCATCCGAGAGGCAAAAACGACGACAAAATTAGCGCAAGATGCCCAGTCGATACGTATTATAATTGAGTGAAGTTGTTTACTGTATTTACGAGCCGGCACAAAAAGTCGCTCGGCTCGTTGGTTGATCTGAGCCGAGATCGACAAAAAGAAAGGCCCCTTGGGCTCCGCTTGCAATGCTGTGACTGACGTGTGTGGTGTGCTCGGATTGCTGGCCTGAGCCCGAGCAAGCCATGAGTGAGTTTTGCATGCAACAACAGCGCTGCAATGCTGCAACATGGGGGTAACACTGCGCGAAGCCGACCTCAACCCCAGACTTACCCATAGGTAGAAGCGGAGTGCCTCGCATCTCCTTTGTTGCTTACTGCCCGTGTTCCGACAGCGAGGTAAGTTACGATCTTTTCCGACGCTGCTGCATCGGATGCCCCGGGGTTGCATTTTTGGCTGCCAAGCCAATTCTCTGGTTGGAGCTTTGTGCTAGCTATCGGCACCGCTGGAATACCACTCGCCGTTTCCGTCGTCCTCAACCCGCGCAGTAGAGCACCTTTTTCCGTTCCGCCGCCCGAAACCAAGCATGTCGGTAAACTGTAAACGACTTGTCTGAATGCCCTATAGGACATCGGTGAGACGGGATATCCGAGAGTAAATAGTAGAAGCACACAAAAAGTCTGAAAACACACACAGCCTTAGGGGTAGGTCCACCATATTAGAAGGCGGTAGTGAGGAGCGTAGCCGTAGCAAACCCGCGCGGTATTTGCGGAGGCGGGCCCTGCGACGAGCATTCCAGCGAACAATGCCTGCACGCCCACAAGAACGAAACTTCCCGGCGACGTGGGTGGCGGTCCATCGGCGCTGGCCCGTTCGTTAGCCGGAACGCCAGCAACACTGCAGTGGGCCGCACAGCCAACTCGCACACATGCCAGATCACTTAAACCCCTCTAATCGGCATGAGCTGTCTGCAGCTTCGCTTCATTGCATCCACTATCCTATGGGGATATGGGGCAATTTTGACGGCGCTCGACTGAGGAATATTTTTGGCTTTTTGGCCCCTTTTGCTTTTCGATTTTGGAAACCGTGGATCACTCTCAGATCTGCAGCACAACCCGCTAACATCCCATGGCCGACGAAGACCCTCGAGGCGCGGCGAGTTACGCTGGCCGCTGGAGGCCCCGCCGCAAGCTCAAGAAGGACGGCACCCCGCGCAAGTCCAGGCGCGGGTGGGGGCCCTACCGCTCGGTGCCCAACGAGCGCTCGGTCGCCTTCAACCTCTCGCTGGACGTGCAGAATCTGCAGCAGACTGTGCGCAACCTCTCGGCCCTGCGCGACATCCTGCACACCAAGGCGCTGGTGCAGTGCCACTCGCCCGAGGGGTCCCTGTGCAGGCTGGTGCACGAGTACCTGCACGTGTTCCGCAAGGGCGTTCTACCGCGCGAGGTAGCGGACGACCGCGACCAGCGCGCGTTAATGCGCCGCGTCATGGCCGAGGAGGTGGATCTGGGCTACGGCCTGTGCGGGCCCGACGCCATCATGGCGCAGATGGCCAACTACTCGACGTTCCTGCGCTTCATCTGCCTCAGGGGGATAGTGGACATCGTCGTCGTAGCCGAAGACTCGGTGGTGATCTCGGACAAGGCCTGGTTCCAGTTCCAGGTCACGCGCCGCACGATCGAGATGGTGTTCCCGCACATTCTCGGCAACGAGTGGCTGGTGGCAGAGCTTGTCGGCCAGGAGGTCGAAGCGGAAGGCCGCTCAACTTTCCACTTTAACACCGAAGGCAAATGCTACAGATACGACGTGGAGATGGACTTTGTGGGGGCGTTTACCAAAGTCGTGAAGAACCCGCACATTGTGAACATCCTCCTTGGACGAGCACTTATCACGCACAATGCCATGCTCGGTGTCATTGACGACCCCGACGAGCTGGAGGAGGAAAAGAAAGCACCTGCTCCAAGTCAGGAAAGATCGGACAAGGAAAACCGGCAAAGTGTACACTCGGGCGTATCCAGCCATGACGAGTTCTGTCACAGGATCGTGGACGAATATTTCGCCGCCTTTGCCTCTGGCCACCACAAGGATACATCGTCAGAATTGTTGCAGCGAAACTTCCTGCAGCACCGGTTCGCCTCGAAGAAGCAGGCTGACGCAGCGAGCGAAACCAATCGAGTAAAAGAGCGTTGGCGTGTTCTGAATGAATGCTTTGAGGTGCTACAGTTTCGCCGAGAGGGGGAAGAGAAAACTACTTCTTTCGACGATAGGAGCAACTTGTGTCGCGTTGAATCGGCGGCACGATACGTACTTCGCATCACCTTCGACACCGTCGAGTCTGTTTTCCCTCACCTGGCTTCCAGTGCAGCGCTGCTAGACGCTTTTGTGGGAAAAGTGATCGAGGTGCCATCTCACATTTTGTTTTCGATTGAGAAGAGAACTGGCCACGTTTCCAGTATCAATGAGAAGATGGAATTCGCTGCAGCCATGGCTGAGATTGTCCCGGAGCGACATGAGCTTGCATTCGTGCTTTCGAATGCGTTCTTGGTCGACGACGGGGTGGACTTCTACGCATCCTCAGTCGCCTCACCAGCACAATTATCCCAAGTTTGCGAGAACTATCGCGGTGATTCGCGTTCGATTCCACGAACAATGAATATTGCTGACATTCTTGGCTAAATCACTTAGTAACAGCTCTGAAGCAATGCTATTCCACTACTACCGGTAACAGTAAATGTGAAATACAGTAAGTCGAAGTTCGCGATTCTTCGAAGTGCGACAGTGTGCATTCGTTGTAAGCACCACTCAGCACGCAAAATACATGAGCAATGAGGGCAGCGCCATATTCCGTATTCCCAACGAAAACACTACGTCGTACTCTCACTACAATGCCAGCGCAGGTGAGCTGCTCTTCGCTCAACCCGTCCTCGAGATGGGGATGTGGCCAATCGATGATCCAAGGAGAGTTTTGCCTTACATCGGTTTTCAGACCTCAAGCATACTGTACTTCGGAGAAGTATTGCACTTTGCACAGTCCTCACAATGGCCAAATGTTTGGGCGGCTACACTTATGCTGCAAATACCAACGGCACACACATCTCCGCTGCCGTCGCGCAATCGCGGAAACAACTTGCAAGCTGCTTACGAGAGGAATATGTCAGCCGACAGAAGAGTTGAGTTTGCATTGTCGTAAACATTTTACTGAGCGAACGTTGCAGTACAGTACAGTTGGGCTGAGCTTGCGGCGTGAGGTTTGCAGGAGTCTTCCAACGAAGACACAAGGGTTACGTTTCCAGTTCAGCCTCGACTGTTTTGCCGACATTGGCCTCACTGTTGACCCGAAGGATACCCTACCACCGCCAGCGGCATGGGTCAAACAGAAAGTGCCCGCGCTAATCACAAGACTTAAAACTTACCAGGAAGCTATTAACTAAGGTTCAATAGACTACCTTCTCTAGCAAGTTGCGACACAACTAACCGCACCAACTCTGCCAAGAAGGGCACCAAAACATGCTGAACCCAATGTACAATGCCAAAGCCCGATTTCATTGAATCGACGAAACCAAACAGCTACGAGAGAAACCGAATACGGTCGGCCAAAAACAATCTAACACTTAGTTGTCGATGGTGGCCATGTGCAGCACCAGGTCCACGAGGCGGTTCGAGTAGCCCCACTCGTTGTCGTACCACGCCACCAGCTTCACGAACGTGTCGTTCAGCGCAATGCACGCGTCCGCGTCGAACGTGCTCGAGTGCTTGTCGTGCAGGAAGTCGTTCGACACCACCTGGTCCTCCGTGTAGCCGAGGATGCCGGCCAGCTCGCCCTCCGACGCGGCCTTCACGGCGGCCTTGATCGCGTCCATGGACGCGGGCTTCTCCAGACGGCACGTCAGGTCCACCACCGACACGTCGGGCGTCGGCACGCGGAACGCCATGCCCGTCAGCTTGCCGTTCAGCACCGGCAGCACCTTGCCCACGGCCTTGGCGGCGCCCGTCGACGACGGGATGATGTTCTGGCCGCAGCCACGGCCGCCGCGCCAGTCCTTGCCGCCCTTGGCCGGGCCGTCCACCGGCAGCTGCGTCGCCGTCGTGGCATGCACCGTCGTCATCAGACCCTCCACGATGCCGAACTGGTCGTTGATCACCTTGGCCAGCGGTGCCAGGCAGTTGGTCGTGCACGACGCGTTCGACACCACGGGCGCCGAGCCGTCGTACTCCTTGTGGTTCACGCCCATCACGTACATGGGCGTGTCATCCTTGGGCGGCGCCGAGATCACCACCTTCTTGCAGCCACCGTCGATGTGGGCCTTGGCCTTCTCCGTCGTCGTGAACACGCCCGTCGACTCGCACACGTACGTGGCGCCGGCCTTGCCCCACGGGATCTCCGACGGGTTGCGCGCCGCGAACACGTGGATCACCTCGCCGTTCACCACCAGGTTGCCGTCCTTGGTCTCCACCGAGCCGTCGAACTTGCCGTGCGTCGAGTCGTACTTGAACAGGTACGCCATGTACTCGAGGTCCATGAACGGGTCGTTGATGGCCACCACCTTGGTCTTGGGGTTCTCGATGGCGGCGCGGCACACGAGGCGGCCGATGCGGCCGAAGCCGTTGATACCGATGGCGACTTGCTCAGGCATGGTTGCAGTAGTAGGGGGGAGGGGTCTTGGATGCGTTGCTCGGAAGCGTGCAAAATGAAGAATGAGCTCCTCTCATGCTGGCCGGGCCTCGGCAATGCGTTGGCCGGTGTCCTGGTCGTGACGACACCGGTGCCCTCGTTGCCCTGCTCCGGTATCTTTGTCGCGTAGCTGCGGGTGGATTGCTCATAGCTCCCGCCGTCGGGGTGCCGCTGTTGAACATTTCGGCCCGTATGTGACACCGATACGTGGCGTAAAAACTTAGATCGGGCCGCCAGCCAATCGGGTGGCGCCGTAAAAAGTCTTTGAGCTCGTAAAAACTCCGAAAGATCGCGACCCAAGCAGAAAATCATCAAATCAATGCGATTTTACAGAAAAACGCGCCCGCCGCCACGCACGTTGAAGACTCATGTCGAGCGCCATAAAGAGGACGAAGATTCGGCCCTATGCCGTTCAGCATGAGTCTTCAACGTACTTGGCACTCGAGCGCCGAGCTGGCCAGCCTTGGTCCTTGTGTGTGCGATGGCGGCCACCCCTGCAGCTGCACGGCTGGCGAGATGCTATGCAATCTATTTCTTGTCAGTTGGAACGCAGGTGTCAAGCATTGCACGCGATCAAGTATGTAGCATGGTAAGCTTTGCGCGTGGAACACTGGCTCAGGCTGCAAGTCTTCTGGTGGCTGGGAGGATGCGGCGAAGACGCGTTTGATCTCCTCGCGACGGAGCAACGTTTGTTCAGTCGACTCGGGAGGTGGCGATACTCGGCCGTCAAGTGGATAGAGAGTGCTTCATGATGCGCGGCCAAGCGTCTTGCAGGCGGTGAGTTTTGGCCACGAGGCTGTGGTCTGTTGCCGCTATTGTTGTTGTTGTTGTTCGTGGTGGTGTACAGATCAGCTTTCGCCGGGGCCGTGCACCGCGCTAATGAATTTGACGTACATGCGGCGCCACGACAGAGGCATATGCGAATGGCAACAAGGACTTAGTTAAAATCTGGGTGGTGGTGGCGTTGGGGTTAGCGCAACTAGTGCACGAACGACGGTGCCGCACCTTTGGTTGCGACCACGTTGCGAATTCTTTCCCGGAGCAGTTGGAGGTAGTTGCGCTAGCTAGTTGAAACGAGGAGTGTTTAGTTCCTCTAGGCTACAGTAGACTGCAACCGTCTTATGCGGACGAATCTGTGTTCTTGCTGTGAACTGCATGGTGTAAGTAGATCTCTACTTCCTAGCACGCTCGAACCGCTTCGCTGCCTAGCAATGCTGGAGCGGTGGCGTCGATCACTTCGAGCTGGAAGCTCTCGAATCTTCCTTCCACAGCCAGGGCAACGCCAAATCGCATGTTAATCCCAAAGGTGACTGGAGAAATACTTGCTCAGCCGAGTTAAACGCAGCCATGCCAAGGTCGCGCATTAGGCAAGGTTCCTCGCTGCCAGTGAAGTCGAGCGCCCCCCATTTCTCTGCCAAGCAGAGCGCCAAGCTGCAGGTTTTTGCCTCGAATGCCAACGGCCAGCTTGGATGCGAGCCATTGCTGGGAAGCACCAGGCCAACGTTTGTCAAAGGGAACGCCAGCCGGGACTTGTGCACTCGAAAACGCGCAATGGCGCACAGAAGCGCGCCATCGGCTGGCAGTGACAGGCCGAAAGCGCGATCTGATGAAGCAAGGTATCCACGCCAGCTCGACCTCTTCGAAGGAGACCTCAGATGCTCGGAGCTCATTCTTCATTTTGCACGCTTCCGAGCAACGCATCCAAGACCCCTCCCCCCTACTACTGCAACCATGCCTGAGCAAGTCGCCATCGGTATCAACGGCTTCGGCCGCATCGGCCGCCTCGTGTGCCGCGCCGCCATCGAGAACCCCAAGACCAAGGTGGTGGCCATCAACGACCCGTTCATGGACCTCGAGTACATGGCGTACCTGTTCAAGTACGACTCGACGCACGGCAAGTTCGACGGCTCGGTGGAGACCAAGGACGGCAACCTGGTGGTGAACGGCGAGGTGATCCACGTGTTCGCGGCGCGCAACCCGTCGGAGATCCCGTGGGGCAAGGCCGGCGCCACGTACGTGTGCGAGTCGACGGGCGTGTTCACGACGACGGAGAAGGCCAAGTCCCACATCGACGGTGGCTGCAAGAAGGTGGTGATCTCGGCGCCGCCCAAGGATGACACGCCCATGTACGTGATGGGCGTGAACCACAAGGAGTACAACGGTTCCGCGCATGTGGTGTCGAACGCATCGTGCACGACCAACTGCCTGGCCCCTCTGGCCAAGGTGATCAACGACCAGTTCGGCATCGTGGAGGGTCTGATGACGACGGTGCACGCCACGACGGCGACGCAGCTGCCGGTGGACGGCCCGGCCAAGGGCGGCAAGGACTGGCGCGGCGGCCGTGGCTGCGGCCAGAACATCATCCCGTCGTCGACGGGCGCCGCCAAGGCCGTGGGCAAGGTGCTGCCGGTGCTGAACGGCAAGCTGACGGGCATGGCGTTCCGCGTGCCGACGCCCGACGTGTCGGTGGTGGACCTGACGTGCCGTCTGGAGAAGCCCGCGTCCATGGACGCGATCAAGGCCGCCGTGAAGGCCGCGTCGGAGGGCGAGCTGGCCGGCATCCTCGGCTACACGGAGGACCAGGTGGTGTCGAACGACTTCCTGCACGACAAGCACTCGAGCACGTTCGACGCGGACGCGTGCATTGCGCTGAACGACACGTTCGTGAAGCTGGTGGCGTGGTACGACAACGAGTGGGGCTACTCGAACCGCCTCGTGGACCTGGTGCTGCACATGGCCACCATCGACAACTAAGTGTTAGATTGTTTTTGGCCGACCGTATTCGGTTTCTCTCGTAGCTGTTTGGTTTCGTCGATTCAATGAAATCGGGCTTTGGCATTGTTTTTCGGGTCATTTGCTTGCTTTGGTGTCTTTCTTGTAAGTATAGCGTTTGTGTGGTTAGTAGTGTTGCAAGCTGCTACGAAAGGAAGTCATTGCATAGAAGATGTAGGTTTGCATTGCCGTAGACATTGTACTGACCTACCCTTGCAGTACTGTACAACAGTCACCGCTTGGGCTGAGCTTACAACATGTATCGTGGCGTGAGGTTTGTTTGGAAGGTCTCGAAATACTTGTACTTCAGTTTCAATTCGTGTGTGCCGTTGTTAGCAGCACAACTGTAGCTGCTCATACATTTGTGAGGCGTGTGCAAAGCGCAATACACGTACTTTGAAGAACAGTACGTTTGAGACCCGAAAACGGAGGCAAAGCAGAGCTCGTCTTGGATCGTTGAGAGACCACGTCTCCGCCTCGGGGACGGATTGCTCCTAACCTTAATGCGCATGGCAAGCGAAGAGCACGCCTGCGCTTCACCGCCAGATTTAACAACGGAAGCTTAATTGCCCCGAGGTCAGAGCAAGCTGGATGTACGGGTACAGTGCTGTACAGTAGTGTCGAGCGCCAAGTCCTGCATTTCTCTGCAAAAGGTTTGATGACATTTTTGGTGCTTGGTGACGCGCGACTTTTTACGCACAGCTCTGATTGGCCAGAAGTTTTTACGAGTTCCACCCCTTTGTTTCCTCCCTCTTGACGACGGGCGGGAGTCGACGCAGCGCCCTCCACCAAGCATTGGTGTGACCGATCACCACAAGCGAAAACTTGTTGCACACCGAGAGTGCCATCTCGAGCTGGGAGTGGCGGGCTCGCCGCTCCAAACTCTCGGTCGAGGTAATGCAGTATCTATGCGGACCCATCGTTCCACTCTACTTTTTACGCGGCGCGGATCTATGCCCCCGACTTTTTACGTCAACGATTATCAGGCGCCCCAAAAGCCGCTAGGATCTTTCAGCCGAGGATATAAACACTCAAAAGATGGCATCCGTGGTGGCACCTCGATGCTCCTGTCTGTGGTTCTTGTAGGCAGCATCATTCCACACCGCAGCACAGGGGCTGTGTTCTACCATCTCTCCAGCACATTATCGCGCCTGAAGTGATGAACCGTGCAGCTTTAAGTGCCATCTTGCGTTGAGCAGCAAGCCCATGGATACCCTGCCAAACTCGACTTATCACTAATACAAGGGAATCAAACGATATAGGGACAGTAGCTTCAACATCAGCCGCTATCAAAGGGTCTCCCCTCTTCGCCCTTCACTATCCAATTCGCCGGCTTCCGAGCACAGCAGCCCCGCAGCACAACTAACCCCCAACACACCATGAGTGAAGTCAAGATCGGTATCAACGGCTTCGGCCGCATCGGCCGCCTCGTGTGCCGCGCCGCCATCGAGAACCCCAAGACCAAGGTGGTGGCCATCAACGACCCGTTCATGGACCTCGAGTACATGGCGTACCTGTTCAAGTACGACTCGACGCACGGCAAGTTCGACGGCTCGGTGGAGACCAAGGACGGCAACCTGGTGGTGAACGGCGAGGTGATCCACGTGTTCGCGGCGCGCAACCCGTCGGAGATCCCGTGGGGCAAGGCCGGCGCCACGTACGTGTGCGAGTCGACGGGCGTGTTCACGACGACGGAGAAGGCCAAGTCCCACATCGACGGTGGCTGCAAGAAGGTGGTGATCTCGGCGCCGCCCAAGGATGACACGCCCATGTACGTGATGGGCGTGAACCACAAGGAGTACAACGGTTCCGCGCATGTGGTGTCGAACGCATCGTGCACGACCAACTGCCTGGCCCCTCTGGCCAAGGTGATCAACGACCAGTTCGGCATCGTGGAGGGTCTGATGACGACGGTGCACGCCACGACGGCGACGCAGCTGCCGGTGGACGGCCCGGCCAAGGGCGGCAAGGACTGGCGCGGCGGCCGTGGCTGCGGCCAGAACATCATCCCGTCGTCGACGGGCGCCGCCAAGGCCGTGGGCAAGGTGCTGCCGGTGCTGAACGGCAAGCTGACGGGCATGGCGTTCCGCGTGCCGACGCCCGACGTGTCGGTGGTGGACCTGACGTGCCGTCTGGAGAAGCCCGCGTCCATGGACGCGATCAAGGCCGCCGTGAAGGCCGCGTCGGAGGGCGAGCTGGCCGGCATCCTCGGCTACACGGAGGACCAGGTGGTGTCGAACGACTTCCTGCACGACAAGCGCTCAAGCACGTTCGACGCGGACGCGTGCATTGCGCTGAACGACACGTTCGTGAAGCTGGTGGCGTGGTACGACAACGAGTGGGGCTACTCGAACCGCCTCGTGGACCTGGTGCTGCACATGGCCACTGTCGACAAGTAGGTCGTGGCTCCTTGAAGCCCAAGCGACATTGAGCCGAGTCTTGTAGCTCGGGTTGTTCGTGAGCTTGCGATGAAGCAAGCGGGTTGGTGCATTTTATGAATTCTGTCGTGGGGTAGTGTTTACCCACCCGTCGTCCTTAGGATGCAAGGTGTAGCACGTTGCTGTCTTTTGGGCGAGTCTAATAAAAAGTCAAATGAGGCACATCGATTTTTTCTGTAGATTTTGGCCTGATCTTGGTTTTACTTCGACGCCGTTGGGCCGTGCTCACGTTGCGCACTGCACACCGCGAGAAGGACGTCCTCCTGGGAATGGCATGCGCGAAAGGAGAAGGCGCACGTTGCGCCTCTCGCATGTATTCGAAATGCTCTTGGCGCGGATACTCTCGTGCTAGTAAGGTGTCTCCCGACTCTACGTCGTCCCACATGCCTTTCGGCTGATTCTCCAGCCGGCATGCACCACGCCACTAGCAACCTCGTCCCAGTCCCAGTGAAAACGAAGCCACCCAAGGTGGCTACAGCTTCAACGGTACATTGTACCATATCCTTTGGCGCCATTTCTTACTTGAGTGTAGGTTGTGTGGCGCGCACTTCAACGCCTCAGCAACGAAACGATCTTCACTCTCGATTCCGCACGATGAAGCGTAAGACGCGCTCGGACGCCGCGTCCCCGCGCTCCTCTCGGCGTCGCCGCGACGACTCCGGCCGCTCTCCGTCCCCCGCTGCCGACTCGGATGCTAGCGCCGAAGACGCCGCTGCCCCTGCACCCGCCCAAGCGGCCCCCAGCGGCCGCGACCGCGCTGTCGTGTCCAGAGAGCGCGCGCTGTACTTCGCCACGGGGCAGCGCGCCTCCGCCCCCGCAGCAGCTGCAGCAGAGGAGGAGCAGGAGTCCTGGCCTGGCTACTTCGCCACGGCCAGAGCGCTAGATGACAACCGACTGGCGGCACAGGCGGCGCGCAAGCAGCGGCAACAGGGAACGCAAGACGAGCAGGAGACGCCCAAGATTGTGTGGACGCCCAAGCGCCCCGCACGCGCGTCCGTCTTGACGACCGACCACAAGGTGAAGAGGCTCAGGGACCTGGCGCTGCAGACGCTAGCCGAGCACGTGGAGCAGCTGCCCACGCTCGAGTACATCGACGCGACGGCGCGCCATCAAGTGGCCCGCGCCGTCGTCAAGCTCCGCAGACTCAAGCCGGAGGTGCTGCCGCTGTTCATCTTCCCCGGCGTGACGGAGATCGACATCCCGGACTGCTCGAACATCGACGAGGACACACTGATTCGCGCGCTCAAGGAGTGCACGGCGCATGGCTTGGATCTCACGACGCTGAGGCTGGGATTGTGTGGACGCTGCGTCTCGGACAGCGTCATTGATGAGCTGGGAGACTCACTGAAAGCTGTGGAGCAGCTGCAAGTGCAGGGCTGCTATCGACTCTCGGATGCAGGGTGCGAGGCACTGGTGAGACGGTGTGCACCGTCGTTGGACTCGTTCGAGATTTCGTGCAACCAGCGGATTACCAAGAAGTCGATCGACTACTTTTGTGAGCTGCAGAACCTGCACTCGTTGACGCTGTCTGAGTGCCCGCAGATTGACGATGCCAGCTTGGAGTCGCTCAAGAGCATGAAGAACCTGCGCAAGCTGCAGCTCAACCAGATGGAGAGGGTCTCGGATGACTTCATCTGCTCGCTGGCCAAAAGTCTGCCGGAGTTGGAGGAGATCTCTATTGCCCGCTGCTCGCAGCTGACCAACAAGGCTGTGGTGGGAATTTTGGAAGCCTGTCGCGGCTTGAAGGTGCTCGATGTGTCGGACTTGCACCATATCACCGATGAGTGCTTTGAGCCTGTTCGAACTCACGGCCATGCCCTCAGTCGTGTATCAATGCGGTGCTGTCTGGGCTTGACCGACGTGGCGCTCGAGCACATCGCGTTTGGGGCCAATTCGTATCTCGAAACGCTTCAAATGTCCAGCGTATCGGTAAGCTGGTGTGTGTGACTTAAGCGTTTGTGAGTGAAATTCTTATTTGTGTTAATGTACGTGGTTTGTAGCAAGCTACGGACGTAACGATTATGGCTTTGCAAGAGCATTGTGCTACCAGCCTCGCAACGCTCGACATCTCGTTTTGCCGGAATATATCCGAGGACGCGCTGGGCGTTTTGGCTGATGGCACGGAGAAGCTCCGCTCTCTCGTGCTTTGGGGATGCACGCAGGTATGTTCCGTGCATGCATTTGCTGAGGATGCAAGTTGATATCTGATGTGGGCTATTGTTCTCCATTTAAGATCACAGCCAGGTTTATTACGTGCCACTCGCAAGACGAACTCGTTGTCACGGGCCACCCTTTGTTGACAGGTCTTTCAATTCGGTACTAAGTGATCGCATGCATGCACTGGAAGTAGCTTCATTTCACGTGGCTTTATTCATTGTGTGTAAGTTTTAGTAAGGTTTAACATTGTGGGATGTGAGCATCAGCAATACATTTGCCACCGTTTGATGCTGGGACAGGAGCAGCTGAAACAGAATCGGAAGTCGAAGAGCAGGAATGAGGATACAGCATTAGAGAGAACCTTTTCTTGTAGTGTGCCCACGCAGCAATTGGGCATTTCTTTTTTGCCATGTCGACAGCGCCAAGTCTCAGATTCACTTGACGTTATTGGGTTGCCATGTCCCCCACCGCCGTTGAAGAATGCTTTGACAGGAATTTCTCGAGAAATTCGGCCCACAAGGCAATTTGCGCCCAAAAGCGCAATGATGGAGCTGCGGCACTCGCCGTACAACCGCAAGAAAAGCCCCCGAAAGTGAGTGATGTGTGTCTGTCTTGCAGGAAATATCCGTTTTGATGCGATTGACTGATGTGCTCTACCCTTGCAGGTCGAAAGCAAAGGCCGTCACCGCTGATCGCCCGCGAAACAATACCAGCAAGTGGACCTCCGATGAGGTATGTTGAGGACACTGTGAGCTTGCCGTGAATAGCTACGTCTGACAAATATCGCTTCGGAATTGGAAGGACGCTTTGCTTCGAGACGGCGTGTGCGAGCTTGGCGGCAAGAAATGGAGCGCCATTGCCGAGCGTATTGCAGATCGATCGCCTGAAGAGTGCAGCAAGCGCTGGAACAAGTTGCAGAGCCTCGACACGGTCGTGAAGCGGCCCTGGACGGCAGTCGAAGATCAGCAAATGCTCGAGCTGGTGGCGAAATACGGACCCAGTAAGTGGGCCGTGATCGCTTCCTACTTGGAAAACCGCAACGGCAAGCAGTGCCGCGAGAGGTGAGTGTTGATTATTTTTTAAAACCTGGCTCTGGTTCCCTAACTTACACAGAGTTGTGTCGTATGATATGCATTAGATGGCACAACCAGTTGAACCCGGCAATCAAGAAAACCCCGTGGACCGCGGACGAAGACGACACCATCGTCCGCCTGCAGGCCCAGTTCGGCAACTCGTGGGCCAAGATCACGGCTCACCTGCCCGGACGGACGGACAACGCAGTGAAGAACCACTGGTACTCTTCGCTGCAGGCATCCGCGAGGCGTGTGCGTGCAGATGGGCTGCCGCGCCCAAGGAAGAAGAGCAAGAAGAAATCTCGGAAAGCGAAAGCGCGTGCAAGAAAGAAGGAGGCGGCGGCGGAGCTACCAGATCAAACTGCTGCTGCGGCTTCTCCTCAAGTCGACGAAGCTGGAGAAAACGCGGCCGATCAGCTGGCTTTCATGGCTCCCGAATCTGCTGTAGCTCTCGGCTTTCTCGACGCTCCTTCGGCCACTGCGGTGGCAAAGAGCGGATCGTTGTCGCCGGACTCGGTATCGGACCGACTTGATACCTACGTTCAGTCCTACAAGGACGGCGTGCTTCGAGCTCAGGCTGTGATCGACAACGTGCTGGACCCGATGGGGATGGGAAGTATCAGCGACAAGAACTGCAGCTCATGGCACTGCGATCCTTACTACTGCTACCCGACCAGCGATAACCCGCCACCAGCTGACCCCACCTCCCCAGCGCAGCCGCCGTTCGGCTTGGACGAGTTGCTCTACGACTCGCTGTACGACGTGTGTGGCAGTGACGGACTGCAGACGTCGACCAGTCTGGAATCGCCCGGGTGGGTGGTGAGCACGCCTATGGGCGAGGTCGCCCGGGTGTATCACCAGCAAGAGCTGAGGGAGTGGGGGATATGCACGTCTCCGCCTGTACCCACGACAAGTTCTTCGCTCGTGCCCACTGCAGCGTACGCGCAGCCGGACTTGTTGCCGTTCGAGCCGACTGAGCTCGTGTCGGAGAAGCTCACGCTCGATGACGTGAAGCAAGAAATCTCGCCTATGGGCTGCTGCTTCACGGAGGAGGGTTCGAGCTGGGCTGCATTCGCGCCGCAGTTGGGGCTGGAGGTGTAAGGAAGGCGACGAGAGAAGTGTAAGGCCGCCTGCCACGCCTGGCGAGTTCCATAATGTCTTCGTATGATTCTTGAGTGTAGGATCCTCCTGCTAGGAGGACGTCGCAGTTTTCATGGTGGTGCATGTAGTGGTGACGTGTGTTTGTGGTTGGAATTGAGCTCATTTGACGGACGAACACCTGACATTCGATGCTGTGTCCAGCTAGGCTACAACCGTTATACTCCTCGATCTTGAAACGACGTGTTCATTTTTGAGCTCGTGAGCTTCTAAGGCGCGTCTTCCAGTGCAACATGGCGGCCTCCGGGGACGTCTCGAGCTCCAGTACAAGCCCCAGCGAAGTCCATAGCAGCTCCGACAAGGCTGCCGATCCGGCATCTTCTGCTCCAGTGAACGACGACCACGTTGCGCCACGCAATGGCGACGACGACGAAGACGACGACGACTTGGGAGACGACGAAGATGACGTCCGAGAGAAGATCGTCATACGGCCGGAGCCTTTGACGCAGCAGTTCGCGAGTCCGATGGAGATCGAAACAGGTTTGCAGCTCATCGAGCTCTGTCGCGAGGGAAATTTAAGCGCCGTGACGCAGCGAGTTCGAGCTGGAGCTCCAGCAGGCTTCATAACGAAATCTGGATGGACTCTGATAGCTGCAGCGGCCTACAGCGGCTTCAACGACGTTCTCCTGTACCTCCTGGACATCGGCGCCGACAGCATGTACGAGACTTCAGCCCCCGGTCGGAAGTACCAGTTGAGCTCCAGCAGCCTCACCAAGGAGCCGATTTGCAACACTCCGCTGCACTGGGCGTGCTACAAGGGCCACGCAGACACGGTGTCGATCCTGCTGGCAGCAGGGTACAACCTTGAAGCTGCAGACTCGACTGGCAATCGCTGTCTCCACTTGGCCTGCTCTGGGGGTCATCGTGAAGTGGTCGAGCGGTTACTAGCCCAGTCAGCTGCAGTGGAGCCGCGCAACAAATACGGCAATCGACCGCTGGACTTGGCCACGGAACCGGGTTGTCGTCGTTTACTTGCGCGATTCCAAGCGCAAACTTCCTGCGAGTGGTGCAAGGAGACGTTCAGCCGCATCCGTCGTCCGAGCCTCTGCCAGCACTGCCACAACGTCTTCTGTGACACAAAACCTTGCTCCTCGTGCTCGACGCCATCGACACAACCTCCTTCTCCTGCAATTGAAGCGAAAGGGAGCAACAATGCCGAGCACGATGCATCCGCCGCCTCAGCACTGGTTACTCAAGCACGCAGCATGCGGTATTGCCAGGAATGCGCCACCGAAATGGGGAAGGCCGAGCAAGACCTGCGCAATGTGCTGGAGACGAAGCTCGAACTCATCCGTCGCACGCTTGCAGTGCTGGACCCGAGCATCGGCAGCAGCAACAACCGGCCGAACAGCTCCACGGATACTTTGAACGACGGGGGTGAAGGTCTAGAGGAAGGATTCGGCGAAGGTGAAGCAAGCAACTTGGAGCTTATAACCGAGGGTGGTGCCGCATCCACTGAGAGTATCGAGGCGGGAGACTCGACGTCAGCGAGGGCAGACGCAGCAAGTGAAGCTTCTCCATCGCATTCTCACCAAAACGGTGAAGGCTCGGCTCTAGTCTTGCAAAGTGGCTTCGAGCCGTCTCCACTCAGCGAAGCCTCAACTCCCCTCCACAACGACGACAGCTTCGACGGCGAGCAACGGTCCTCCCGATCAGCGAGGCCAAAGCGCAGTAGACCCCTGCCCAGCGCCGACGTCATCTTGAGCGCGCTCACGCTTACCCAGACCGACGCAGAGGCGCTCTACACGGCGTTAGAAGCTGCCCAACTCAAAGCTGCAGACGTCGAGTTGCTGCGTATTTCACGGCAAACCTACCGACAGCTCGTGGCTCACGTCGCGTTGCAGGAGGAAGTGAAGGCTCTGCTGGCTGTTCGTCCGATCGGCATCCGCTCGCTGCTGGAGCCTCTCAAGCGCTCGCTTCAACATGCAACACGGGAACAGGTTCACCCGGTCATGCTGTCCGTGGCGCTGCAGATCATCCAGAGCGCCGAGGCCGAGTGCACGCTCTTCGGGTGCCACGCACTCTGCGAGAAGATCGAGCGGGGGTCTCGTCGCTACTGCAAAGACATCGCCCGCCTCGAAGCGAGTCTCGCCGAAGCTCAAGTGCGCAGCGTGAGCGTCAAGTTGTTGACTGCTGCGGGGGCCCTTCGGGACCGTTTGAACGCCGAGGTGCGGCTGGAAGCGTGTCTCGTCCCATTCAAAGCCCCACCGCCGGTTGAAGCTCCAGTTGGGGGTCCACCACCGCCTCAACCGGCACCTGGCAGTGGCGGATTCGTCTTCGAAGACGGCACTGCGCTCGACACGCTGTTGCAAGCTCTGGAGTACCGAAGTCAACTGGTGTCAACTGCGGTGGACATTGGCGCATCAGTTGACGGAGTGTCCTCCGCGTTGCTGGAAGAAGCGAATAACCTCCTCAAGCAGCTGAAGAAAGAGGTGAAGGACGAGACCAAAGCTGAAGAGGAACGGCGTAAAGCGGAGGAGGAAGCTGCTCTCAAAGCTGCCAAAAAAGGCAAAAAGAAGAAAGCGTAAGCAACAGGATGCAACATAACAACACAAGAAGGCTAATACAATGGCAACAACAACAATTCAATTGTCATTTCGATGTCGATTCTCCGCCGAAGAAGATAAAGTAGTTGAAAGGCTGGGTGGTTTCTTTCCGCAAAATGGGGCTCAAGTTGCCGGCAGCCCTGTATTTGAGACCTTGAAAAAGACCCAAACGTGGGTACGACCCAAACTCCCTCTCGCTTCGGACCCTTTTTTCACCTAACTTGACTTGATCTCTCGCGCTTGCAGCACTTAGACAATGGAGCCGGCGTTCGAGGCGATACGCGGCCACAGGTCGGCGCACTCCTTGCCCACGGGGCCCGTGATGGCCGAACCCTTCATCTCACCCTTGGGGTTGACGATGACACCGGCGTTGTCCTCGAAGTAGAGGAACACGCCGTCCTTGCGGCGCCAGGCCTTGCGCTGACGGATGACCACGGCGGGCATGACCTTCTTACGGAGGTCCGGCTTACCCTTCTTCACGGTGGCCAGCACCATGTCGCCCACACCGGCGGCGGGCAGACGGTTCAGGCGGCCCTTGATGCCGCACACCGCGATGATGTACAGGTTCTTGGCGCCCGAGTTGTCGGCGCAGTTCATCACGGCGCCCACGGGGAGACCCAGGGTCATACGGAACTTGTTGCCAGAGGCACCGCCACGTCCTTTAAGAATTTAACACCATACAAAGGATAAGATGTCTGCGCGCTGTGGTGTGCTGGATAAAGAGAGGGGGGGGGGCAAAAACGTACCACGCTTAGTTGCCATTGTTGCTGCTTCCTTTTGAGAATCTCGACTGAAGTGCCGGGAGCGCTAGACCGATGAACTTGCGCCGCCAGTGCCAGCCAACCAACGGTTCGAAGGGAGCTCACGCCCGATTGGCCGGATAGACACACCCTAAAATAAGAGGCTGCAATTCGGAGCCCAATTCAACACGATTCAAAACCCAAAAGAGGGTAGGGGTAATAGGCCAACAACCGAGCAGCGATTAGCATTAGCTCGGAAGGTGTCGGTCGAGTCGAGCGTAATACTGTAGTGATGGTGGACTACTGGGTGTCCCGGGAGCGGCACTACTGCAAGTACTGCAATGTGTGGATGCAGAGCGACAAGCTGGTGTGTGCGTCTCGCCCTTAAATCACTCCTCTACCATCTATTATGATTCTTTGCTGACGTATCATGCCAATCTGCCACGCAGAGCATCAAGCACCATGAGCAGGGCCGCAGGCACAAGGAGAAGGTGGAGGAGACGTTCAAGGCCAAGCGCCAGACCAAGTCCGACGCCTCCAGCGCGCAGAAGGAGCTGCGCGACCAGCTGCAGCAGATCGAGGAGGCCGCGCAGGCCAAGTATGAGCAGGATATGGCCGGACGAGCGCCGCCGCCGCCTCCGAGACGACCGGGGCAGCCCAATGCACCGCCTCCACCTCCTAGACGGCCAGGTCAGAGTGGCAGCAATGCGCCACCTCCACCGCCTTCGAGGCCGGGACAGAAAGGGAACAATGCACCGCCAGCTCCGCCGAGGAACCCCTCCTCGTCGTCTTCAGGTGGTGGGCAATACCGTCCTCCGGCTATGCAGGAGAAGGAACCACAGGAGGAGGAAGAGGAGGACGATAAGGGTGTGTACGCTGTGCGAGGAGTCGTGTATTTGGAAGGTAAAAAGCACGAGACGCAGCTGGAGACTGGGAGCGCGTGCCAGATTTGGGTCGAGGAGGCCGAGCAGTGGATCGACGCGCTCGTGGAGCGGGCCACGGTGCACACGGTGCCGAACACGGAGCTGAGCTTCAGACGTTTCACGGTCATGTACATGCTGCCGCCGTCAGAAGACGCGGAGAAGAACGAGGACAAGCCGAAGCCTGTGACGGAGCACGAGGTGCTAGCGGATCGCCTGCGGATCCCGTTGCCGGCGAATGTGACGCTGGAAGCAGCGGAGAAGATGGTGGATCAGTGGCGCAACGGTGGAGACGCAGCAGGAGTAGAGACTCACGCGCCGGTGGTCATTGATGAGACGACCGGAATGGGCGAGTGGAGTACCGTTGAAGTTCGGCAGATCGACGAGAGCCCAGAGGCTGTCGCGAAGCGCGCGGCGGAGGCGGAAGCAGAGGCCTCGCGTCTTGCAGAGGAGCAGAAGAGGATGGATGCACTCGAGGACTTTTCGTCGCAGGGAGACAACGCTCTAGGCGCGTTCAACCCGTGGGGAGGCAGCTACAAAGGTGTCAACCTGGACGACAACGTTGAAGTTGGTGCCTCTTCCTCCTCCTCTGCTGCTGCTGCACCTCGTCGGGAAGAGGAGATCAACATCACTACGAACAGGAACGTGAGCTTCAAGAAGCGCGGCCAGAAGAAGCAGAAACGCCGGAGGATACACACCGACGACGAGTAAACGAGTTCCAATTCCAATGCGCCCCAACCAACCTCTACACATTTTTGTTTGTGGCTTGTATTTTCTTGTAAATGGGGGTGGAGAGTTGTTCCTGCTTCGCTTAAAAAGTAACGAGACACGAGCATTCCATGCTTACAGAGGCGCGAGCGACCTCTTCCTCTCACCTAAGGGAGGGGAGGAAAAAGAGTGACTCAAGAGACTCCTCTCTACAGGTGGCCGCCGGCAGCCTTGATCTTCTCGGCGTCCAGGTAGGCCGTGCCGTAGGGCAGGAACTCGTCGCTGTGGGTGCTGGCGATGCTCTTGTACTCGCTGGCCTGCTTGGTGATGTCGGCCACCTCGTCGTCCGAGAGGTCGCGCACGTACTTGGCCGGGTTGCCGGCCCAAAGCTGGCCCGACGGGATGCGGCGTCCAGGAGGCACGACGCTGCCCGCGGCGATGACGGTGTTGGACTCGACCAGGGCGCCGTCCAGGATGATGGAGCCCATGCCGATGAGCGCGTTGTTCTCAACCGTGCACGAGTAGAGCGTGCAGCCGTGGCCGATGGTCACGTCGTTGCCGATGTTGGCGCCCGGGGCCAGGCCGGGAGAGGTGGAGCTGGCCGTGTGGATGACCGTGCGGTCCTGCACGTTGGTGCGGTTGCCGATGCGCACCTGGTTGAGGTCGCCGCGGATGACCACGTTGTAGAAGACCGACGCGTCGTTGCAGATCTCCACGTCGCCCACGACCGTGGCGTTGGGGGCCACCCACACGTCGTGCGCGATCTTCGGCCGCTTGTCGTACAGGGCCATCACCTGGCGGTGGCGCGAGACTGCATCAGCCAATGAATGACACAGACACATTAGATACCTATACCATTGAACACTTTAATTGCTACTAGAATTGCGGGCCATGGACACGTACACTTCTCCTTGAAGGAGTTGTCGTTCAGCACGCGCAGGCCGAGGCGGTCCAGCGCCTGGCCGGTCTCGCGGACGCAGCGGCCCAGCTCGAAGGTCACCTTGCGCATCATGATCGCTGCGTTGGGAAGAGGAAGCGGAAGCTGGGGCTGGGACGAACGAGCGGCTCTCGGAGGGAGACCACCAGCACGAGCTTGGCGTTTGTATCGGCATACAAAAGGCAAGATGTTTGGGGCGGTCCGGACCGGTCCGGACCGCGATTTTGGTGTTCATTGTGAACATTATATTGTGTACGCGTACATAAAGGATCATCACGAAGAGACGCGACCGAGTTAGGTGGACACTTGAGGTGGACACTACGGCTCGAACTGTGTTCAGAACATTACTTCTGAAGCAAGTAAGCCAATCGATGTATGCATAGTGTTCCAGCCCTCTCTTGATTGCGTGCGTGTTCTCCCTCTTCTCTCCCTCTCTCTTCCTCTTGCCTTGTCTCCGGTACTTCGTCTCCTCTTCGCCTGCACACTCTCCAGTCTCTGAATGGAGAGATGCCGTCTCGTGGCGCGGTCTTCGTCGCTACAGCAGCAGCAATGCCCGACATGCTGCTTGCTGCGCGCGAGTATTTGTGAGGCTTGCTCATCGTCGTGATTTACAAAATCGTGCACTGGGACTCGTCGCTCTCTTCCAGCAGACCGGAATCGCGCTCGATCTCCTTGATTAGATAAGTAAACACCTCGTCTGCACTCGTGCACAAAACGCAAAGCCAACAGCATCAGTACACAAAAAGCGTCCACCTTCGCACCCAGCAAGCAGAGAAGAACGGCGACGCACTGATGTTTTCGTTGTCCTTGGCCGAGCACTCCACGAAGGGGCATTCCCAATTGCCCGCCAGCGCTTGACCTTCTTCTACCGTCACCTCTCTGACATCAACACCCCCCACACTTACATCAGCACAGAGCACACTATTGCATTCACCCAGTCATTGCAGGGCGGGCGCGGCACTCGCCTGGCCTTCTCTAGATCCGACATGCTGCCCACGAGCACGCGCGGCGGCTTGGAGCCCAGCATGTTGACCAGCTTCTCGTTGATCAGCTTGAGCTTCTCGAACGACGTGCGCGAGCCGATCGAGTACACGAGCACGTAGCCGTGCACGCCCACGGACGCCGCCTGCGAGAAGTTGGCGTACTCGTCCTGCATGCAATCGAATCAATCAAAGCAACAGAGTTGAGTCCACCATTCCTCCACCAAATGATACACCCACAGGAAACAGCAGCAGCATCTCCCTCACCATGCCCGCCGTGTCCACGATGTCCGTGACGAAGTGGGCGTTGCGCACGCGGATGGTCTTGTGGAAGGTGTTCTCGATGGTCGGGTCGTAGTTCTCCACGAAGCGGTTCTCCACGAAGCACGTGGTGAGCGACGACTTGCCCACGCCCGGGTAACCCAGCACCGTGAGCTTGCGCTGCACCTCCACCGGCATCTTCACTGCTGCTGCGTGTCTTGCTTGCTCTACGCTAATACACGCGACTGAGACACCGGACAGCGAGGCGACCGAATGAGCCCTGCCACCCGGCCGGCTGGACTTCTCGCGTTGCGGATTTGCTCCGATTTAGGCACCGAAATATCAGCAACTCGTAGTGAAATAGAATAAAAACACGTGTGATTCATATTTGCTTGGCGGCGTCCGGACGGCGCGAACACTACGCTCTCGCAATTGCAGCCAATGCGCTAGAGTGCATGCAGCACTGATGCATTGTACACTTACCCTCTTGTGCCTTGCATGCATCAAGCCGAGGTCGCTCTAGCTCACCGAACACGTCGACGCTCCACGTCATCTGATCCGTCTCTATTGCGAGGGGGTTCTTATCAACAATGTATCCAGTCTCTATCCAGAGGGAGTTCCAACCTCTAATCCCTCAGTCACATCCTGTAATGGCTCTTCAAACCAGGATCGAGTTCCTGACTTGACTGACGTCACGACGCCGACCTCCTCAAAGTCGAAACCGCATCCAACGCGCCCCCGACCCGACCTCGAGATGGACGGAGCTCGCGGCGGCGGCAGCGGCTTCTTCCCGCCGCCTCCAGGCGCAGGGCCCGCTCCAGGGCTTGCAGCGGGCGCCACGCGAGCGCGACCCGTGAGCGCCGGCACGCGGCTCCGCGCCAAGCCCTCGGCGGCGCAGTCGCAGGACTTCTTCGCGTCGCTGGGCATCGACGCCACGTCGCGCGGCCGCACGGGCAGCAGCGCCAGCACCAGCAGCAACCGCAGCTACAGCAGCATGACCATGCGCCCGGCCTCGGCGTCCGCCACGCCCCTGTCCACGGGGTGGCGGCCGCCCCCGATCGGCGGCCTGGGCAGCCAGAGGGCGGCGCCGCCCCCAGCCGCGCCCAGCGTCGGCTCCCTCCGCATCGCCAGCGTCCAGAGGACCGCCACCTCCACTACTACTACAACCACTACAGCGACGGCGGCGGCGGCTGGCAGCGCGCGGAGTGTGACGTCTAGCGCCGCTGCGACTGCGATGGCTGCGGGGTCCAAGCCGGCGCAGCTCTTCTCGATGGAAGACGCCGAGGATCTCTACAGTGAGGACGGGTGGGAGTGCGACTCGCCCTCGACGGTGCTGTCCAACCCGGTGGAGAAGAACAAGGAGGGGGAGAGTGCTTCAACGGCCATGGCAATGACGACGACGACGACTCCTGCTGCTGTCGCTGCTCCGGCGCTTGCAGCAGCGGCCGCGGCGGCTGCAGAGGCGCCGGAGGACGAGTTCGCGTGGGGGGATGACGACGACGCCTTCGCGTCGCCTGTGGCCAAGCCAAGTGCGCCGCCGACGCAGCCGCCGCCATTTGCAACGGAGACTTCTGCTGCCAGTACGTTTGAGACGAAGGCAGAGACGACGATGCCACCGCCTCCGCCTCAAGCTGCCGCGTTCCCATCGAGTTCGTTCGCTCCGGAGTCGACAGCCAGCGCGTTTGAGACCACGAGCTTTACTGCGCCGCCTCAGGAAACGAAGTTTGAGAGTGCCGTGCCCCCTCCTCCTGCTGTGCCAGCGACTTCTTCTTCTTCTTCTTTTTCGGTCGAGACGGCTCACAATCCCTTTGAAACGACGAGCTTTGGTGCTGCTCAAGCGCCACCGCCAGCAGCTTCTGCTGTGTCTACGGAGGTGCAGCAGGAAGAGCAGTGGGAAGAAGACTGGGACCAGCACGATGGAGCTGAGGTTGCTGCTGCTGCAGAGTCGAAGGCGACGATTGAGTCTACTGTCACCAGCACGACTTCTATCACGACGACAACGACGACGACTATTCAGACGGAGGCGGTGGCTGCTCCGGTGGAGCTTACTAGCCCCGGCGCTGATGCAGGAGAGTTTTGGGGCGACGGCGACGAGGACGAACTGTTCGACCACGATGATCATGCTGACGAGGAGTGGGATGAGTCGATCAAGGGTCAGGCGAATGCGCAGCAGGACATGCCGCTGACTTCAAGCGAGAACCCCAGTCCTAAACCTGCGCAAGCTTTCCCCGGTCAAGAAACGTCGTTTTCGATGCCTGCTCCACCGCCGCCGCAGCCCTCTACGCCTGTCGTGGAGGCTCCAGCATATGAGCAGCAGTCGGTGCCCCTGCCGGAGGTAGCCGCGAGTGCGTTCAATTATTCTGTGGCTGGTCATGTTGAAGAGGCTGCAGCTCCCAGTCACGAGGAGTCAATCGGTCAATCGCCTCCGGTTGCTGAAGCTAGTTCTCTGCCGCCTCCCCCGATGGATACTCCGATGTACTCGACGGAGGCCCCCCAGGAAGCGAAACCAGCTACCTCGCTGGATGCTGAAAGCTCGCCGTTTTCGAGTACGATGGCTAAGCACGCAAGCCAAGACGACGACCTTAATGTCTACCCTGAAGCACCGCGCAGCGCTCGTTTCCTTCACACACCGACTGGCACTGGTGGGCCGTTTGGACGTGTTCCGTCACCTCAAGGCGATGAAAGCTCCAGCTTTCAGAACGAGTTCTCTGCGAATGAGTCTACTATTACACATGATGTCCAGCAAACTACGTTTGCAGGTAGCGAAAAGGCTGAAGGCTCGGGTTCGTATGCGGAGTCTAGTGTACGGTGGGACGCTGGCTCAATGCATGCTGGTGGGGTGTCCTCTGAGGATAATGCTGGCCACCACAGCACCCGCCAGGGCCAGAGTGATGAAGAAGAGCGGGACTCCGTTGTGTCCTTCTCGGGTGAGAACTCTTTCTTCCCGTCGGCGGGCCGACCTTCATCGCTATATGGCGGGTCCCAGTCCTCCTTTGCAAGCCATCGGATGTACCAGTCGTCAGTTGCGAGCACGGATCACGACGGCAGCTCTATTGCCTCATTTGGGGTGTCTTCCGCTGGTGCCACGTTTGGCGGCTCGGAGCGTGTGAGCGAAGGAGGCGCTTTTTCGGATGGCACGGTGTCGGAAACGCCCAGTATGGTGGACTCGTCCAATGCTAGCACGGCATTCGGCACGGACTTCCCGTCAGTGAGTGAGGGGCAATTTTCGGCGCCAGGAACGACGATCGGTGGGTCAGATAATGCCAGTGACGGAGGGTTCTCGGATGGCAATGCATCCGAGACTACGAGCATGTGTGAGTCTGTGAGCACGAACCCACGATTTGTGTCAGAGTTTAGTTCTTCGAGCGGCCACTACGTGACGGAGACGGTTGAGCGTCGAGGCGTGCAGGAACCATTCACATCATCTGTGCCAGAGCCGGACTCAACGTTCCAGGAATCCGAGCCAGCTCCTGCCGCGTCGATGTTTGGAGGCAGCGAGTCCTCTGCGAATGCCAATCCGTTTGCAAGCACGCCGAGTGCCTTCCCTCCTCCGCAGCAGACGACTACTACTCCGCCCACGGCTGCGCCGGTGTCAGATAATGCGGTTCAAGATGAGGGTGTGCAGAGTGCTGCCTCGCTGTTTGGCGCCACTGCAGGTGCTGATGTTCCCAACCCCTTCAGCTCGTTTGGGGCATCACCTGCTGCTGCAACTGTAGCGGAACCTAAGCCTGTTGTTGAGCACGAATTGCCGGCCTCAGATGCCGGGGATCTCTTTGGCTCCGGTTCGGCCTCGAGTGGGTTCCAAAGTTCTTTTGCGCAGCCGGCTCAAAACTCGTATGGATCGAGCTACCAAGCTCAGGATCAGGTACGCGCTGTTTACTGTCAGGGTTGTAATGTGTTTCACGGTCGGAGATTTCATTCGTCTAACATGATCGTATTGTGCGCGTTTGTCTGGCCAGAGCTACAACCCAGCTGGGCGTGGCAGCTACTCTGACAGCGCGTCGGCATTTAGCTCCGCACCGAGCCAATTTGCATCGTCGCGTCCATTCGATCGACCTGCCGCATCAGGCGTTTCCACGCCAAGTCCTTTCGATCGACCTGCAGGTTCAGGGGTGTCCGCATCGAGTCCTTTTGAGTCTCAAAGCTCAAGCAGCTACAATAGTGCGGATCCGTTTGCATCGCGAGGCGGTGCACAGAGTGGGTTTGGAAACTCGGCGCCTTCAGCTGACAGCGTCTTCAGCGGTGGAGGTGGATACAACAGCGGCGTCAATGCTAATCAGAGTGCGTCTTCGCACTTTGGTGGAAGTGGAGCAACCTCTGCCGACTCGGTCTTCAGTGGCCATTCACGAGCGGATAGCAGCAGTTCGGCGACAGCGGACCACTTCGGACAGCAAACAAGTGCACAAGGGTATAATGCCTCGTATGAAGGAAACCAGAACTACAGCCAGTATGGCCAAGGCGCTACGACGTCCGCGAGTGCGTCTGCGACGCCCAGCCACTTTAGGAATCAGTCGTCGGCAAGCGTAGATGACCACGCTCATGCTACAACAAACGCTTTTGGTGGGCAATCGTACGGGCAAACCAGCGATGCCAGTGCCCATTTCAGTCGCCAGTCGTCTGCAAGCAGTTTTACGAGTGGATATAATGGGCAGAACCGCTACGGCAGTCAGCAAGCTGGGGCATCGACTCCTGCAACGCCGGATAACTACAGCCACAAGTCCGCAGCAGAAGCCTTTGCCAGCCCCGCTCAGCCGTCGTACGGTGCTCAGCAAGACAACCGGTACAGCAGCCAACAGTATGGGCAAGCCTCAACCCCTGAAACGCCGGATAACTACAACCGTCATTCAGCAGCAGAAGCATTCAGCAGCGCGAGCCCTGCGCAGCCACCGCATGGGACTCAGCAGAGCAGCCACTATGGCGGTCACCAGTTCGGTCAAAGCTCCACTCCCGCTACGCCAGGCAGCTACAGCCACTCCGCGTCTGAAGCATTTGGAAGTGGAGCTGCAGCCCAGCAGGACTACAGCCACGGACAGTATGGCCAGAGTGCATCACATGGCCAAGGCGCAGGTTTTGGGGACCACACGCGATCATCTTCGAGTGCGTCAGCCGACGCATTCATTGGGCGTTCGTCGGCAGTCTCGGAAACAAGTGCGTCAGCATTCGGTGGACTGCGTTCGGCTACTCCTTCGTCGGGATCGGCTTACCAGCAGCAAACAACGCAGGCTCATGCCCAGCCGTCATTTTCGCGAAGTGGTAGCACCGCGTCGTCACATGCAGAGCAATATAGCTCGCATGTGTTGGCAAACACGGCGACGATGCGGACGTCGGGCCACGCGCGCGACTTGAACACGTCGTACGGCTCTATTGAAGAGAAGAGCTTCTCGCGCCACGCGTCTAGCTCTTCGATGAACCGGTATGGAAGCGAGTCGTCGTATGAGCCCCAGAGAAATCTGCAGCAACATCAGGAGAGCACGCCGTCGCATCCTCCAGCTGACGCAAATTCTTTCTTTGGTGGGGCGTCGGCTGCGGCTACTGAAGTATCAGCCTCCTCGTTCTTCGGAACCACCGCTTCCCAGGACTCGTCGGCGTTTCAGGCAGCGCAGCCCCAGGAACCTGTTGCTGATTCCAGCATTCCCCACGTGCAGGAGGCTTCGCAGTACGCGTCTCCATCTCAGCAGGACTATGAGCAGGAGCAACAGTACTTTCAAGCCGAGCCGATGCAGCACGAGTCCAGTGGCGACTACTTCGGAGCGGGTGCAGCAACTACGCCTGCGGCTGCAGTCGAAGCTAGTCCCAGTGCTGACATGGAATCGACGCATATTGTGGATGAGATCCCAGCTCCACCGACTGAGAGTTTCCAGCAGGAGCAGCAGCAGGAGCAGGAGCCTAGTAGCTACGATGGCTTCGTCGGTACCAATGTTGAAGCTACTGCTGCTGACACGCAGGCGAGCGCGATTCCACCTTCTGCCCCCGAGGGCGACGCGAACCGGCCTCAGGCATTTGATGGATTTGCCGGATCGAGCTCACAAGAGTTTGACTCGCAGACTTCGTCCAACTTTTTTTCGTCTTCACCAGCACCGCAAGAAACTGCTACGACAGCTACGCATCAATTCCAGCACAGTGACTACGGACAGGAGACGCAGGGGCAACAGCAACAACAGCAGCACGTGCACGACGCTGCAGCTGCCTCTTTGCAATTTGCAGAGACCCACGCTTCGTACCAGCAGTCTAGCGGTGCCTCGTACAGTTCAGCAACTCCAGGGAACTACTTTACCTCGGGTGCTCCAGGAGCCGGTACCGCAGCAAGCCCCGCTGGTTACTCGCAGCAGCAGCAGCAGCAACCGCACTACCAGGCACAGCAACCCCAACACCAGCAGTATCAACAATACCAGGAGCCGCCGCAGCAGCAACAGCAGCAGCATGCAGCCACTGGGTACGGTTACCACGGTGGCGTGACTCAAACCCAGCCGCAACGGACAGGGTATAACGCTGTTAATCGGGCCGGATACGGGGCTGCTACTGGGCACGGATACGCCTCGCCGAGCTTGCAGCCATCCGCGGCCCCTGTCGTTAAAACCAGCAACAAGTACAAGGACCCGTGCGTTGCCCCGCCCTCGTGTCTGGCGTCGTTCGGGTTTGGTGGCAACGTGGTGACCATGTTCCCGAAGAGGAAGCTGCGGCTGAATATTGCAGGAAGCAGCTACCGCAACAGCCCCCGGGGCCTCCCAGCGTACGTATTGTGAGCAGGTGGGAGAATTATAACGTTTCACTGACCTCAAGTTTTTGGTATGATGCTGTACACAGGCCGTCCGAGTTTGACAATGGTGGCAACGGTGAGCTGCGCAAGGGGCCGGTAAATGTATACCGGATGGACCAACTTCACCCGAAGGACAAGGAGTTCGAGCAGATGGACGTCTTCCCTGGTCCGCTAACCGAAGATGTCTCGGATGAGGCAATCCTGGAATACCTGGATGATCGACTGAAGCGCAGTGAGGCGCCTACGACTGCTGATGAGGCTGAGGACGAGAACGATCGTCTGCTACTGGGCGTCCTGCGTGTCTTGGTCAAATGCAACGGAAAGTTGCGCTCGGACCCAGGAACACTGAACCCGAGCGACCCGAACTCGCCCGAGGCTCAGCTGATCGCTTTGCTCAGTGAAAACAGCAAGCGGCGTTGTGGCAACCAGCCTCCGACTTTCCCAGCGACTCGGAAGCCCCAATCTGTGATGGTACGAGTTGGTATGCACCTGTGTTTCCTTCGATTCTATACTAACCATGATGTGTCAATGGATATTTGGCAGCACCCCGATCTTGCGCTGAAGCATTCGAACGAGCTCCGTGAGCTGCTTTTGGTTGGTGACCGCAAGGGTGCGGTTTCTTCAGCTATGGCTGCGCACATGTGGCCCGAGGCAATGCTGATCGCGTCATTTACCGACAAGGAGGAGTACAGGGTAAGCAAATGGTCCGCCCGCCCAAAGGTGCACTTACTTCCCTACTAACCACCTGCTTCATGTTTCCCTATTGACAGCGAGTGCTACGCACGTACTTGGACGAAACGTACGCAACGGGCGATCCGTGCCGCGCTCTGTTCATGTCCTTCGCTGACCAGCAGGAGAAGAGTGTGCAGGAACCCAAGCGGCTACTGCAAACGAACGCCCAGCAGTCTACAGAATCGCTCATCCTGTCAAAATGGGTGTCGCACGCCCAGGTTCTTCTCGCGAACCGGACTGCGGATACCAACAAGATTCTGACGGAGCTCGGTGATCGGTTATGGAACGAAGCTGGCGCGGTTGCTGCGGCACACGTTTGCTACCTGCTTGCTGGTACTCAAGTGGAAGCTCCGATGCCCAGCTCGAAGATGGCGTTGCTGGGTGGGGACCATCGCACCCCCAAGGAAGCGCGGTTCTACGTGTCACCTGGTGCCGTGCAACGCACGGAGGTCTACGAGTGGGCCCAGAAGCACTCCAAGGGCGCGTCGGCCAATCTCATGATCCCGTTCCAGGGCTACAAGCTTATTTATGCCATGCTTCTGGCGGACCACGGCAAGCTCGAGACAGCCTTCAAGTACGTGACGTCCATGCTCGCTGTGATCAAGGCGGTGACGGCCACAATGAAGCCCGGCACGTCCATGTATCTGGAAGGAATGAAGAACCAGCTCACCGTACTGGATGATCGACTGCGCCAGCACCTCGGCCAGGACCGCGTGGCCTCAGTGGCCGCGTCAACCGGCCGTGGAGGAGGCCGGAAGCAAGGCGGCAAGTGGGGACTTGGCAGCGCGTTGAGCATCATGGGCAAGATCGTGAACCGCGTGGTGGAAGGCACCGACTCAGCCCCCGCTGCACCTGCGGGTCCTAGCGCGACGACGCCCGGCGGATTGTACGCGAACGAGGCCACTCCGCCCGTGGCCAGCAGCTACCCGAGTGCCGCATCAGCTACTACCTCGACTCCGTCGCCTGCACCAGCATACCCGCAACAGCACGTTCAGCAGACCCCGCCGACCAGCTCGCACGGACCTTCACCGGTGCCGGTCAACTCTTACGGCCACGCTACTCCACCTGCGTCGCAGGGAAGCGCTCCCGGATCCTCGAACGGGTACAACCGAGCTCCTCCTGCAGCGCCGCCAGCGGGACCGTACTCGAGGCCAGGAGGCAACGCCGTCCCTCCGTCAGGGCCGTTCTCCGGCAACGGGCGACTTGGTCCTCAGCAGCAGCAGCAGCAGACGTCGGGCCCGTTCTCTGGAAATGGGAGGCCTGCTCCGTCGGGGCCGTACTCCAACAGCGGCCCGCCTTCACACGGCCATGGTACGGTGCCGTTGATGCGCTCGCAGCACTCGATGGAGCCTCCTGGGAGCAACCACAGCACCCACAGCAACAGCAGCTTCAACAACATGCCGCCGGCCCCGCAGCACCCGCCCCAGCCCCCGCAACAGCAACAGCAACAACAGCAATACCAGCAGCCTCCGTTGTCCCAGTCGTCGCAGCATTCGCAGGACACACCGACTGCGCGCCCCGCGTTCCAGAAGCCAGCCCCGATCGATGTATCGCACGACGACAGCATGAGCCAGCCCAAGGCTCTTGCCGCTGGTCTGGCTGCCGAGGTGGCCGCTTCGCTTCCGCCCACGGACGCCGCTGCGATGAGTGGCCCGTCGAGTGACAAGGGCAAGGCGAGTCCCAAGTTCAAGAGCGTCAAGAAGCCCGCGCGCTCCAAGACGCCGCCGCCCAGCGGCAGCTCCAAGAGCTCCTCCGGATGGCTGTCGGGCATCTCGTCCTTCATCGCCACCAAGATGAACCCGGAGGCCAAGGTGGCCAAGCTCGGCGAGCAGATGGAGGCGTACTACGACGAGAAGACCAAGCGCTGGGTGTTCCCCGGCGAGACGGCGAGCGAGGAGCCGACGATGCCCAGCGCCCCGCCCACTGGCCCGCTACCGGGCAGCGCGCCGGGCTCCAGTGCTACGGGCGCGCCTCCTCCGGGCGCGAACTCGGCTCCAGGCTCCATGAGCAGCGGCCCCGCGCCGAGCAACGACCCGCTCGCAGCTTTGATGGCGCCGCCTCCGTCTCACATGTTGATGAAGAAGGACCCGCTGGCGGCCATGATGGCGCCGCCTGCACGCTCAGGAATGTACGGAGGCGCACGTCGTGGCGGCTCAACGGCACAGCGCAAGCCGCCGCGCCCGCAGTTCGCTGTGTTCAAGCCCACCGCCGCTCCGGCACCAGCTCCGGACGAGCAGAGCGAGTAATATAACGACTGCGAGAGGTGACGAATGGGGAACGACAAGTGGTATATGGTGCTGCAGTCCCAGTGGAGCACAAGCCTCGAGCCCTGCCAGTAAGTACTGTAGCAGTTCTTGCATTTAGATACATGTCGTACGTGTTGCACTTTGCATTTGCTTGCGCCTGCGTCTCTCTGTCTCTCTGTCTCTTGGAGTCGGCCCATTTACTCCTTCTTGTCTGACGCAGCGCTGGAGGGAGCAGTGCTGGACTGTTGCTCGGGCGTCTGCGCCTGCTGCTTGATGTCCTCCACGCCGAAGAACTTGTCCAGCTGCTTGTCCGCGTACCTCTGGATCTGCATCAGCACAGCTCCATGTAAGTCTCCACTACGCGTGTGTATCAATCAAATGTTGAAAAGCATCAGGGTTTACCCCCGTGAAGACGTGCTCGTGCTCGCCGTGGCCTCTCCGCGTGCCGTACTCGGTGAAGAGCACCAGCTTGGCCGTCATGGCCCCGCAGGCCACCCACGAGAACACCTGCAGGGAGCGGTGGTAGCGGCGGTCGATCATCGCCTCAGGTTGGTCCTTGCGCATTAAATTGGTCAAGCTCGACAATGATAGTGAGCCGTACTTAACACGACACGGCATGATGTATGCATGCATCTGGCAAGCCTGTTGCTGCATGGGGACGACTAACCTTCACCCACTGCGTTATGCTTCATTATGATATAAATTTGCTGCTACATGAATATAGGTTTGCTATGCTGTGGCCCTCTCTACCCGAAGAGCAGGTACAATATGTAGGCACAGAGCGCCAGGAGCGGAGGCGTCAGCACTCTCCGACGGACGATGCGAGCCCGGCGCCGCTTCTCGATACTTACGTCCTTCGACGAGATCACGAACCAGTGGTTGGCCTTGGACGCGTCGTGCAGGTAGCTCACGACGTCCCAACCATCGTGAGACTGGACGCTGAAGTGGCCGTCGGAGATCTCGACGGAGTAGCCCTGCGGGTACTGCAGGTGCGGAATGAACACTTCCGTCGGGTGCATGGAGGTCTCGTTCGACTTGCCAGGGTCCGATACGTACTCGAGCTCGTACCGCACGCGATCGAGCAAGAACTCGGACTTGGACGGGGTGCCGGCGATGCGTGTGGCGTAGGGACGAGCGAACGCTTGAACTGCTCGGGCGCAGGCGTCTCGCTCCGGCACCGAAAGCTGCAGTCCAGACCGGATGGGCTTGTCCTTACTGATGAGGCTCAAGTCCTCCAGATTCCACTGGTCGCCGTACTCGTTGCAGTTGTCGGACGTGTAGCACCACAGCGTGAAGGAGACCAGGGACGCCTCAAGGCACGAGATGGTGTTGTCCAGCGCGCCGACTTGTGCGCGGAAATCCCCATTCCGGAATGCTTTGCCGCCGTGCATGTTGAAGGGGATACCGGTCTCTCCGATGAGCGTCGGCGCGTTGTTCATCTGCTCGTTGCCGTACACTTTGATACCCGCGAGCTGCTTCAGGTGTGTTCTGCGCACTGCAGCGAACCCGAATGCAGGGCGCTTGGTCCTCGGATCTACCGTGAAGTACGGGCGCCAGGCTTGTAGGAACAGCGTGACACCATCGTACCAGTGCGTGGCATTTACTGCGCGCGGAATGAGCGTATCGTCGATCTCCGGGAACTCGTCGATGCTGAATTCCAATGGCGGTAACTCCACGAACAGCAAAATGTGCGGCAAAATACCGCGGATACGCTCCGCAAATCTCTAAAAGTCGCACAAGAACCAGTTAGTTACCGGCATCATCACAAGTTCCTCCCCTCATCCAGGTCTCTTACCGCTGCAAAAGGCACGTAGCAGTCTCGACCGAACATGATCCCTGCAAAGTGGTCAGGACGCAGCAGCACCGGTTGGCCCGTCATGCTGTCCACGTCCCAGATCCCTTCCTCCCGCCACACACAGCGTCGTCCTTGCTTCCACGCGCGCACCCCGTTCGGATCCACAGTGACCAGCTCATCAGGCCGTCCCAGCACGTGCTGGTTCGCTCCGTTGGACCAGCGCTGAATGACCTGCTGGTAGCCGTCGGCCAGCGCCATGCCCTGGAACGGCGTGGGGGCCAAGTCGTACTTGAGCTCTCCGTGGTGGAAGTGCTTGCTGAGGTCCTCGAGCCCCAAGTAGCCGGACGACGGCTCGTTCATGGTGCCAAAGCCCACGATGTTCGGCAGCCCCTTCAGCGCCTCGGCCAGCTCCGACATGGCGTTCAAGTAGTGCGACTGCAGGTACTCCTGCACCTGCACGCCCTCGATCCGACACGACGGCGCGCACTTGGCGCCGCCCCAGAAGAGCGAGAACATGGTGGCGCACGCCATCTTGAAGTAGTTGGTGGGCCAGATCATCTTGGGAAACTTGGACACTTCCAGTCCGCACGTCTCGACGCAGAGCGCGGCTTTGGTAGCTTCAAAGTGCCGCGGCTCGAGTCCTACAGCTTCCAGCGTCCACATGGGGGCACCGTCCCCTCCTGTCCACCTGGACCAGACGTCCTGATGCGGGTCCACGTAGATGCTGAGTCCGTAGTCCGCGGCGATTGCAAGGATGTCGCGGATGTAGCGCAGGTACTCGCGGTCGTACACGCCCGGCCCGCCGTGCTCGATGGCCTCCCACGTCACGATGAAGCGCAGCAGCGTGAGCCCCCAGCGCTGCAGCCGCGCGAAGTGCGCGGGCGCCTCGCTCAGCGGGAAGGGCCGGTTGACGAAGGACACGGAGGCGGCGCCGTCGAAGAAGCTGCTGCGCGAGTGGCGGTCCGTGTGCTGGTAGCCGCTCGGCAGCTTGGAGGAGCCGCCCAGGTTGACGCCGCGCAGCAGCCGCACGCGGCCCTGCGCGTCCACGAAGTGGCCGTTGCGGATGCCCACGGCGCTCTCGTTGGTGGTGGGCAGCATGGACGCCCGCGGGGACGGCGGCAGCGGGTCGAACTCGAAGGACGGAGCGACGGCCATGGCCAGCAGCGACGGAGGGGAGGAGGTTATGCTGGTACCTTTGCTCGAATTTGCTCGATCGATCTGCGACGTGTGCGAAAACCGTTTCGGCCAATTATAGAATTTAGTTTTTCAGCGAATCAGCGGGCGCCCGGTGATAGCATAATCAGCTGACCGCGATGACCCGGTGATCGATCGCCGTGATGATGGAAGGCAACATTGCAGGAGGGTTAACTCCGTGCTGTAGCCGCCAATGCGGACAGCGCCCAGTTGCAATGCTATAGCTGCGGAGGCGGCGTGCCCAGCGTTGCGCGAGGTGAGATCCAAAACACCATAGAGAGTGTCGCGTAGCACGATGACGCTCCACCCCAGCAGCGGATGGATACATGCGCTGCTGCCAAGCAGAGACCCGTATCCAGGATACATCCTCTGAGGGCCGTTCTTAACAGAGGTAGATTGGCTGAAGCCCGACGGCTTCAACCAGAGATCCGCGCTCGGCGGCGACCGACCCGACGGTCCGTCAAGCGGCGACGTGAGCTGCGCTCGCCCTTGCTTTGGACAGTACAGCGCCAGCCCAACGGGGCACACGTGTGGCTCTCCATCTCCGAGCGCGTGAGTCGCACGCGCAGCCCAAGGTAGGACCAAAGCACCAGCTTCCTTCGGCGCTTGGTCCGCCGCGAGTCAGCGCCCGTAGAAATGTGGCGAGCGCCTGGTAGCTCCCCACACTGAACCCGAAACAAGCAGATCCGCCCGCGCCGCTCTTCAACGTGCATCCCAACTCACTCACACACTCGCTCAGTCCTCCACGCGGACGTAAAGCCCTCAACGCTGCGGGCGCAAACACCACAGCGCTTCACGGGCGTCGGTCTGTAATGTCTCGCAGTCGTGGCGCGCGTCGAGCGTCGAGCCCACGACGCGACGCTGTGGCCATCGCGAAGAGCGCCGTGGCCGTCGTGTCGTCTTATCCGGATGCCAGTTCACTGCGCCGTAATACCATGCTGCGGCATCAACCTTCCCTACAGCATCTGATACGATCCCAGAAACGAGTCGCGGATCCACCTCTCTTGCAGCATGCGCCTTCGTCCGCGCATGACCTCCTGATCACCCCGTCTCTGTGCGTCTACCCGCCCAATCGGCGTGCAGCTAGTGTTCCGGTTGCTGCTTCGGGGGCGGCAGCTGGCGCGACGGAAGAGGCCACATACAGTCGCCCAGTCATCCCTCGCCCCCTCATCGCGCAACGCGTCCGCCAATACAATCGAACCACACCGACCCGACCACTTCACCGAGTCGACGCTCGCTCGCAGTCGCATTCTCCAGACAAGAGGGCGAGGCGAAGGCGGCGCGCGAACAGCAGCAGCTCCATCCCCCACCTCCACCACTACGGAAACCTCCCCCCCCCGGTCTGCATACAGTTGCAACACAGAACTGTAACCTCTAGGGCTGGACAGAGACGACGGCAAAAGATGAGCGACGACTACCGCGGGCCCAAGTTCGTGGGCATCATGGGCCACGACAACGTGAGCCACAACGGCAGCAAGACGACCGTCTACTTCGTGCAGGTGCAGGTGCCCGAGGGCATGTTCATCGTCAAGCACCGCTACCACGAGTTCAAGGACTTCTACGACAAGGTGCGTCCTCAACTGAGATCTCTCTGGAGCCTGCACTATTGGCGGGTTTTCATTCAAGGATGGTTGTTATCTAACAGTTTTGGTGGGGATATCGGTTATGGTTGCAATTGTCGGTGTCAGTTGTCAGGTGAGGGGTACCGCTGCCCCGCGCTGCCGCCCAAGAAGTTCCTGGGCTCGTTCAACAAGGAGTTCATCGAGAAGCGCCAGCAGGAGCTGGCCAACTGGCTGCACCTGCTGTGCCAGTTCGACCCGGCCTCGGGCAAGTCCGACCCGCGCTCGTCCGAGCTCTTCAAGGAGTTCATGCTGACGAACGTACGTTTTTTATTTTGTTTGCCATTTTGAACGGTATTTATGGCGGTTTATTGATTTATTTGTGGCATTTGTTTTGCTGTTTTACCGAGCAGAAGGAGCCGCTGGAGAAGTACCAGGGCACCAAGGCCATCGCGTACGACGCCGCGCCTTCGTCGCAGTCGGACGACAATGAGACGGCCATGTACAACACGCCCAAGACGTCGCTGGACGACTTTGAGCTGCTCAAGGTCATCGGCAAGGGCTCGTACGGCAAGGTGACGCTCGTGCGCAAGAAGGAGGGCAAGCGCCTGTTCGCCATGAAGTCGCTCAACAAGTCCAACGTGAAGCGCCGCAACCAGGTGGAGCACACGCGCACGGAGCGCCGCGTGCTGGGCCGCGCCAAGCACCCGTTCATCGTGCACCTGCACTACGCCTTCCAGACGTCGCAGAAGCTCTACTTCGTGCTGGACTACTGCCCCGGCGGCGAGCTGTTCTTCCACCTGTCGCGTATGGAGAAGTTCGAGCCCAGCATGGCCCGATACTATTGCGCCGAGATCACGCTGGCCCTCGAGCACCTGCACGACCTGGGCGTTGTCTACCGTGACCTCAAGCCCGAGAACATTCTGTTCGACTCCGTCGGCCACGTCTTGCTGGGTAAGTTTTATCTTATTGCAGGATTTTGCTGTATCGACATGGTTCTTATCATGATGTTTTATCGTCATTGCAGCCGACTTCGGACTTGCCAAGGAGGGCATCACTGACGGCGCTGAAGGCACGAACTCCATGTGTGGAACTCCCGAGTACCTGCCTCCTGAGATTCTGGACCGCGTCGGCCACGGCACGGCCGTCGACTGGTGGGCTATGGGCATGGTGCTGTACGAGATGTTGACGGGTCTTCCGCCCTGGTACACGCGCAACCGCCAGAAACTGTTCGACCGCGTGCGCAATGCTCCTCTTACGTTCCCGGACGACGTGGACCCCGTGGCTCGCGACTTTATCAGTGGCCTGCTGCGACGCGACCCGAACGCGCGCCTAGGTAGCAAGAGCGCCGACGAGGTGAAGAACCACCCGTACTTTAGCGGCATGAACTGGCAGGACCTGTACGACCGCAAGATCCCGCCGCCGTTCAACCCGTGCGCCAGCGCCGGCAACGCCGAGGAGACTAAGAACTTTGAGGCGGAATTCACAAAGATGCAGATCAACAGCGTGGAGAACTCGGCCCTCGGCGGCCTGCGCGTGTCGGACGCCTCGCGTCCGTCCATGACGTTCCAGGGCTTCACATACAACACGCCTAACGACCTGTCCATGAGTGGTTCTGTCGGCCGGGGTTAAAGGGCTTCTTCGTGTTAAGAGATCCCGCTTCTGTTTCGCTGCTTTACTCGAGCGTTCATCAAGACGCTCGAGCGGCAAAGAAGTGATTGCTGGATGGAGGGAGTCACCAAGTGCCTCGAGGCAAGCGAGAACGGAGAAGGGCAGTACATGTAGGGAACGGACGGACACCTGACGCGATGCAAGTCAGTCAGCACGTCGTCGCGCGGACTCGGAAGGAAGAGTTCGATGCACATGCTACATGAAAAGGGGGCGCGACGACGCGGACATGGCGAGCTAGCGGGGAGAGAGAAGAAGTCACGAGTGCGTTTGTTTGGATTTTCAGCGGGGACGGGAGCTACGTCCCCCTCAACCCGTCTGATTGTTTTTAGTTTGTAAACAAATGACTCAAATTTGAAGATCAAAACTCACTTAAAGCCCTGCTTGCCGCGAACACCTTGCCAATTTGTCTTGGTGTGGAGACTCGACGTGTTTAGGATACCGGATAAACTAACTGCATTTAGAGTTCCATGACGTTGTTCACTCCAGCCTGGCCCTCTGCGTCAGTTCCGTCGTTGTCGGTGGCCCCGGCGTTGTCGGATCCACTGCTGTCAGCTCGAGGGATCTTGCCATACCTCACAAGGTTGCGGTACTTGTCCTTCAAGTCGACATTGGACCGACTGTGAAGCACATCAGGGTACTTGTTCTTGATGAGCACCCACACGTTTGAGTACTTCTCGCAGAGCCTGTAGCCCTCGATAAGAGCGGCTTCTTCTTCTGCTGACCAACGCACAGGCTTGCGTCGGGGAGCTCGGCGACCAATTGGCCAAGCATTGACGGCATTCCCGTTTTCCGTTGGGGTCTGGGAGTTTAAACATAAAAAACGTCAGATTTTCATGGACAAATGCACAGAATCGCAATGCAATTCTTACGAGTGGACGCGTGACCGAGCGTCGATTTTCTTGGCGAGAGGCCCTTGCGACTTGCTCTGCGCGAGGTGGCCTCGACGAAGCTGGTCGCTGTGGCGCCGAAGCTTCCTCCGAAATATCAGAGTGCACAGACTCCGTTGATGCTCCGTTCACTGTACCAAACAAAAACACAAACGGTGAGTTACAGGCCCGTGCTTGGTTACGAGTAAATCAAGCACGCGTAGATCCAATCGGACCTTGTGTCTCGGCTGGCTCGACAGGAGCTCCAACTTCAGCATTACCAGTGTTCACGGGGTCTTGTGCCTCCTGCGCTCGCTCTTCACTTGATGATTGATCATTACTGGCAATGCCAATGGAGTGTATCTGCGATAGATCCCGCCACTCTCGCCGAGTTCCGCCAAACCTCTTCTCTAGCAGAGCGCGCGGGATAACCTTCCTGTATCATCAACAGAAAACGTACGCGTGTGTTGTAAGAACCCCGACACGATGCCTTTTTCAGCAAACTCTTTTCCAGCACTCACTTCGGACCGCTCGCTGCTTCGGCAGGGAAAGCGATCTCGAGCTTCGTGGGGCCAAGCGCAACCGATTCAATCAAGCACAACGCCCGCTTCATATCGCGCCGGAAGACCGCGTCGTTGAGTCGGTACAGCTCGTAAAAGGCATCCCAGCACTCCTACGAAAATCAACACCCAGCAACCAGCCCCCTTCACATCAATACCAACCCAACACTTCAGAACCATAACACAGACCAACACCAACCTTTGGCTCATCCTGCTCGAAAATCCTCTTGAAGGCCACAAGGAATGTGCTCAACTCCGACTCCTGCCCGTTCCTACAGTCCAAACCAGCATCATCAGCACTTCGGCAATTCACCACTAGCTTCAATATCTCTCGCTCGATCTCACCCTGCCACCTTGTCTCTGATCAGCAAGCACGTCTCGTAGATGCCTTCAGCATGGCACAACTCGTCGCTCTCCAGCTTGAACAGCTCCGCGTCCAGCCCCTCAAAAGCCACAGCGAACCTCTCCACCAGCAGCTGCACCAGTAACGCATCTCGTCAGCCTCTTAACAGCATCATAACATCACTTAACAGCTATCTAACATGGAGGAACAGCGGCGACCGGAAGAGCTTCTGGCTCGGGCCCGAGGGCAGCGCCGCGTCCAGCTGCAGCAGCCGCTCGAACAGGAAGGCGGCGTCCAGCGGCTCGGCCTCCAGCTCCTGGCGGATGGCGGCCAGCAGCGCGCGCCAGCGGAAGGAGCTCGACTCGGGCAGGTCCTGGCCGGTCTTGCGCAGGATGTCGGCGACGGCTGCGCGGCCCACAGAGCGGGTTACAGCGTCAGAGAGGCGGGGAAATGAGTGGAGAAGAAGATGTACAGCAGAGAGGAACCCACCATTGGCCCCTTCCAGCGCGCCGATGCGCGCCAGGAACTCGCCGCAGGCCTCGAGCGCCGCGCGCATGACTTTGGTTTGATTTTTGAAGAAGTGATGTGGGTGTTCGTAACAAATGGTATTGTAACGGTTATGTGGTAAAAGGTGGTTTGTTGACGGGAGCGTACAATGGACTCCATCTTAGGATGGCTGCGTAGTGGGCGCGAAGCATTGCTATCAATTCCATCGAGCCTTGCGAGTTGTTAGGTGGAAGGAGGGCCATAGTAGAGAACTTGGATACATGCGGCTCCCATGCGGGAGCAGCCAGCTCATCCATTCGTGGGCGGTGGCTTCTACTTCTGGTACATGTAGAAGTTTCTACAGTCCTAAGAACGAGGACGACAGCGGCATGTTGAAGCGGCATGTTGCTTTTTAACCTTCGACGAGGCCATGGAGAGGACAACAGAGACGGTTATTTGGCCACCGATGTTACTGTCGCGGCCGTAACACTCAACAGCACGGGCGCTCGCTGCAATGCAACGAAAGGGTTTTCGCTCGAAAAGCTCGCAAGATGTCATGCCCGTCGTTGTGCATCCGGCTGTCTTCCGCGTCGGTCAAAACACGCAGTGGTCTTGCAAAAGTTGCAGTTGTGTGACAGCAGCCAACTAGTCAGCATGAATTCGGTTCACATCTGCCCAATCAGCGCGCTTCAGATCACATCCAGGAGCACGGCTACACCGACCGTAGCTCTCCGGGTGCACAGCTGGATCGTTCCAGTCAAGCCTCCTTGTGGCCTTCAAGGTCTCCGCTGTCAAGCGCAGCGCGCCGGCTGCTTGGACACCATGCGCCGCGCTGCAGATGTCGCCAGTGTCCCACACACACGCGAAAATCCGCGCTGAATCCACCGCAGCTGGCGAGTAACGGAGCGTGAGTGTGTCAAAACCCAACAAGCATGGAGTGCCTCGAAGCTTCGGCTTCCTCCTCGACAGTCGCGAGCTCGGCGGACAGCCGCGCGATGGCAGCGGCAACGGACGTCGTTGCTGCAGCGGCTCGTCCTCGCTGGAAGAAGGCGCTGTCGCTGGGCTCCACGACCTCCACGGCCGACTCGGAGCGATGCACGGACCTGGACGAGCTCGACATGGAGGCGCGCGCGGCGGACGGCGTGCTGTCGCTCAACGCCAAGACAGGCGTCTACTCTGGCTGGGTGCACGTCGCAGCCTTTGGCGGAGGCTTCGCCAAACGCTTCTGCCGCCTGGAGGAGCTCGTGTGCAAGTTCTACGCCTCGGCCGAGGACGCCGACAAGCGCGTGCGGCCCGTGGCCCGCCATGTCATCATCTCAGTTCGACGCGTGCACGCGCGCAACAAGACGTTCGCGTTCACGGACTACGAGGACCGCTCGGTGCTGCTGCACACGTGCATGGGGGCGGACTTTGAGCTCTGGTTCGGCACGTTCGCGGCCATCGTCAAGGCCACGCAGGTGGCCAAGTCTCACACCAACACCACTCCAAGCTATCGACGGACCACGACAGTCACGCCGAGGTTCACGAGAGGGGGCAGGAGGCACCAGGCGGCGCTGGACGAAGCCCAACGCCTGCGCGCTCTAACGGCGCCAATGTCTCTGAGCTCCGTGAACTTGACGAGGCCGCAGAGAGCCGAGCTGCCGCCTGTTGCCGTGGATGAGGATGACCCGGAACGCACGCACACTGTGTGGCTCTATGTGGCAGCTCCGTGGTGGCGGAAGCTGCTGCTTCGGCGACAGAGGATGCGACGGTACTTCGTCTTCTCCGGGACGACCGTGAGCTGCTTCAGCGTCAACAAAGAGGGCAAACGCGCCATGTTCACGCACACCATCACGTCGTGCTCTTACGACAGCGACAAGGACGCCGGGTTGCTTGAACTCGAGTGTGGGAACTCGCACAAGAAGCTCCGACTCAACAGCAATTCCAACGACGGACGCAGTGCAGTGGCCGCCACTGCAAAGTACATCCAAACCTCTCTAGACTATCAGTAGGAACTACCTAACCAAGAACTATGAAATGCAACCTCCACTATTTATTATCCTGCAAATGTGACAAGTTGAAGTCGAAAAACTTTTGACAGTATCCTTAGTACCTACCACCTAGGGCTCATCACTCGTCTCCTCGTGCGAAGACTTGCTGCTCTCTGGGGACTTGTCGTCCTCGACACGCACGTCAACCACGCGGAAGCCGTCGAAGAACTCCTTGTAGCTGATGACGCCGTCCTTGTTGCTGTCGAGATAGGACAACAGCTCCTCGATCTGGTCGTCCGAGAGCGGCGAGTTGAGCACCACGTTGAACGTCTTGATGCCCGTGCGGAAGTTGTCGCGGCTGATGACGCCGCTGTTGGTGGCGTCGAACATGCGGAAGGCGTTGCGGATGTGGATGCGGTGCTGGTAGAAGACGTTCGAGACCTGCTGCAGCACCGAGTTCTGCCACGTGAGGTCGCCCGACTCGAGCGCCGCCTGCTCCTTGAGGTCCTGCACGCTGAAGGCCGTCACGAACTCCTTGTAGTCGATCGAGTGGCCGCCGTCGCTGTCCACGGCCGCCATGACGCTGTCCATCAGATCAGCGTCAAAGCTGAAGCCCAACTGCTCGATGGCGTGCTCGAACTCGCTGCGCGACAGCACGCCGTCCTGGTTCTTGTCGAAGTGGTAGAAGTGATACTGCAGCGAGCCCCGGCGAGCGAACAGCGCCTTGCCGATCTGCAGCAGCGCCTGCATGGTCTCCACGTCGAGGTTGGTGGCGGGCTGCGGTGTGAACGTCGACTGCTCGTCTCCGGAGGACACGCGACGCGCGAAGATGGGCTCAGTCGCTTCAGGCTTCTCGCCTTCAGTCGACGCCTCCGAATCCAGCGCCATGGGCGTCGGAGGCGGCTCCACAGCTGCCATGCCGGACAAGTTCTGGGTCGAGTCTGCTCCGCTCTTGCCCTGGTTCGTGAAGATCACCTCGAAGCGCTGTGCGAACTCGTTGAAGTCGATGCGTCCGTCGTCGTTGGTGTCGGCCGTGCGCATGAGCGCGAACACCTGCTGGTCCGAGAGCCCCGTGTCCATGCGCTTGAGTGCGCTGAGGAACTCCTCGTACTCGATGAAGCCGTTCGAGTCGGCGTCGAACACCTTGAAAGCCTGCTGCATGTCGCCGGCCCCCATGGCGCGGTACAGCTTCTTGCAGATGAGCGCGATGATGCTCTCCTGCCACCCGCTGTTGTCCATCGTGTCGTTCTCGATCCGGTAGCGCGCCAGGAACTGCGAGTAGTTGATGCGTCCCGACGTCTCATCCACCAGGTCCGCGAGCTTGGGCTGGTACGTCAGGAAGGGCAGATCCAACTGCAGCACGGAGCGCAGTGCCTCCGCCCAGATCAAGCGCGGCACCGTACCGTTGTGCTCCTCGTCGTGCTGCGTGAAGTACCAGTAGAGCGACGCCTTGTGGTCGCAGATCCGCTCCGCGATCATGCGCAGCGTGTCCTCCTCCAGCACGCCCTGCATCTGCGCCTGCTCGGGCGCCTTGAACGTGCTCTCGTTGATCGAGTGCGCGTAGAACTGCTGGATCTCGGGCTGCAGGTCCGGCCCCAGCGTCAGGAACGCGCCCTTGTTCATCTGCGTGCCGCAGTACCTCGACGCCGAGAAGAGCGTGATCAGCCGGCCGCCGTGCAGGATCTCGAAGCCTTCAATGACGCACTCGTGCGAGCGGATGATCAGCGCGATCTTGTTCACGAGGCAGAAGTTGTTGGTCACGTTCACGCCAAACTCCACGCCGGCGCCGCGCTCGGACGGTTGACGCGTCTGGATCGGCCGCGGGTCGCTCCAGAGCATATCCTCGAAGATTTTGTCCTCAAAGTTCACCTGGTGCAGCGGGGGCTCGCGCTTTCGTGAAATTCCCCGCAAATGGGCCAGCGTGACGTTGTCCCGAGAGAAAAGGCCGCCGTGCACCACGAAGATTTTCTGCTGCAACACGGCGCAGAGCGGGAGCGACTCGAATAGCGTCTGGAAGCTCTCGAACACGCGCGCGGGGCGCTCCAAGTCGTCTTCGTCCGCTCCGGAGTATTTTGCCCACACTTCGTCCTCGAAGCCCATCCACGAGTTTTGGTTACGGGACTCGTGGTTGCCTCGGTTCAGGAAGACGCTGGTCGGGTACAGCAGACGGAAGAGCAAAATGGTCATCACCACCTCGGTGCCGTACATGCCTCGGTCCACGAAGTCGCCGTTGAAAAGGTACTTGTTGGTGCGCGTGGGGAGCCCATTTATAGAGAATATGGAGAAAAGGTCCTGCAGCTGGCCGTGCAAGTCGCCCACGACTGTGATTTTCTCCCCTTCCACGAGCGTAATCTCTTGCAACGTCGGCAAAGGGGCGAAGGACTTAACGCCTTCCTTGAGAATTTCCAGCACGTACTTGTAGTGCAGAATTTGGGTCGTCTTGAACGAGTCGAGGATCTCTAACACGTTAGAGAGTTCCAGCGGCCACACCAGATGCGGACCGGCGTACTCCGGGTCGATTTTGATCTCGGATACGGCAACTTCCGATACGCTGCGGGTTAGAGACTGTTGCTTGGTGAGTTGCGCCAGAGTGTGCTCGGCAGTTTTGAACTGCTCCGAGCGCTTGAGGTTAAGTTGCTCCTGCGTGTTGTCCAGCAGGTTCCACGCGTGCGAATACACGAGGTGCCGGAACTTTTGCGACGCGCTGTACCTCCGCCACACGCTCTGCAACACGCAGGCCGCTCCATCTTCCTCTGAAAATGTCTATTCTCAGGATACGCACGGTTAGAGACATACTCATTTTCTTTAAAACAGTTCATGGTGTAACACCTTAAACGTACACTGAGTTGCTCTTCGCGAACGAAGAGACCGTGCAGTGGCTTGCACTGGAACAGGCGCTTGCCGTCCTCTGTGGAGCCGTCGTTGTCTCCACGTGCACGGGTGAGCTCCACACCCACTAGGGCAGTGCGGCGCTCCGGCACGTAGCGGATAACCTACATGCAACAAGGTTTAGAGTTAGAGTTAGAGGTGTTGCCATTTTGCAAAAAAGTGTTGCCGTAACCCTGTCGCTTTAGATGAAAAAGAAAGATAACCAAACACTCACCCCGGCGTACTTGCCGCGCACGAGCACGCGCACGCCCACCTCGACGCTGAAGTCTTCCCCTTCCATCGCTAACTATCTGGCGGCACAAGGGACACACTCACAAGGTTAGCCGCTCGGCAGGACGCCATGAGGCTCTTCCTGCCACGCACCTGAGACCTTGTTGCGTTGTGACACAGGCGCAAACCCATATCATTTTGCGTGATGTGTCACACATGAAGTTATGTGTGATACACAACAGGGGTACACGGGCGTAACCGTCTCTCAAAAAGAATTTGGGTGCGCGAAACAATTCCCAGCAGTTGTATGAGGATATACTTGTGCCCCTGGGATACTACGTTAGTACCCCATCCGCACAAAGGGGGTGGGGCACTATTAAAGGGTGGGGTACTAGCAAAGTTAACAGTGCCTTATGTAACCCGATAAAAAATCTCCCACCTATAAATCTTCGATCAAAATTTTACAGCTAAAAGTTCCATCTCAGTTCCACTTCAAACTTCTCTCGATTCATCCTTAATTTTCATGCAAATCGTTTTATCTCAAGTTACACGCAATGCGGTCTCCAGGAACGCTGCGGCGTGGCTTTCAAGAGCAACGGCAGCAATTATAAGGATAGGAAAAAGTATGACATTTCAACAAACAATACCTACAACACTCCCTGCGTTAGACCAGCAACAAACAATTTCGCGTTGGCTATAAAATGTGTGTTCTAGGGAGAGTGACATACTGAAGTTGGTGGGATACTATTATTTTTAGTTGAAAGTGGGATACCGCAATGCTCATGTCATAGAGGGGGGGGGGGGGGGGGGGGTCAAAAACAACGGTACTTGTGCAGCATATGAATTCGCTTATGACATGATATTACCGAATTTATTTTGTAGAGGGATACACCCACCTATGGGATACAGGATAGTATTAGCCAATCACAATTGTGTCTTCAGATTGACAGGGCTTGACTTGTTGAGGGATACACCAGTTTCAAGCCAGTAATTTTTGCACGCTCGGCCGCTCAGCGCGCGATCATTACTGCAACGGCGCGGGCGCCACCAAGTCACCCTCGCCTTTCTGGAGGTCAAGGCAGGTGGAAAACGACGCGGGCCCTGCTGCAATGAAGAAGGCTATTGTCGAGCACCTGAGACTACACTGCAATGTTTGTTTCACTGTAGATACGTTCTTTCCGGGTCTACCTACAGAAAAGTATCAAGGGAGAAGAGTAGTGGGGTTAAGATGGGCTCGTCGTTTAGCTCAATAGCTGCTGGGGGTGCTTCTGTCGGCGGCAGGAACAAACGCAAAGCTTGTCACGAACGCGACGGTGGCATGGTCACGAACGCGACGGTGGCATTCAGCTCGGGCAGCGAGCGCAACGACAGCGGCAGTCCGCACGCAGGTTGCCGCCGGTAGTAGCGTCAACGGCGTCGCCAGCGACATCGACAGCAGGGTCTCGGACACGATGGAGGTGACCGTGGCCTTGGTGGACGTGGTCAGCAGCGTCTCCGCCGACATGGACACGGACGCGGACGCGATGGTGGCGGGCGACTCGGGCAGCAAGCACAACGGCGGCCGCAGCGCCGCCGTGTGTGCCGCCAACAGCATGATCTCGGAGGCTTCCGCGGCGACCGTGGCCGTGTTGGATGTGATCGGGGGCGTCTCCGCTGGCATGGTCACGAACGCGACGGTGGCATTCGGCTCGGGCAGCGAGCGCAACGACAGCGGCAGTCCGCACGCAGGTTGCCGCCGGTAGTAGCGTCAACGGCGTCGCCAGCGACATCGACAGCAGGGTCTCGGACACGATGGAGGTGACCGTGGCCTTGGTGGACGTGGTCAGCGGCGTCTCCGCCGACATGGACACGGACGCGGACGCGATGGTGGCGGGCGACTCGGGCAGCAAGCACAACGGCGGCCGCAGCGCCGCCGTGTGTGCCGTCAACAGCATGGTCTCGGAGGCTTCCGCGGCGACCGTGGCCGTGTTGGATGCGTCTCCGCTGGCATGGTCACGAACGCGACGGTGGCATTCGGATCGGGCAGCGAGCGCAACGACAGCGGCCGTCCGCACGCAGATTGCCGCCGGTAGTAGCGTCAGCGGCGTCGCCAGCGACATCGACAGCAGGGTCTCGGACACGATGGAGGTGACTGTGGCCTTGGTGGACGTGTTCAGCGGCGTCTCCGCCGACATGGACACGGACGCGGACGCGATGGTGGCGGGCGACTCGGGCAGCAAGCACAACGGCGGCCGCAGCGCCACCGTGTGTGCCGTCAACAGCATGGTCTCGGAGGCTTCCGCGGCGACCGTGGCCGTGTTGGATGTGATCGGGGGCGTCTCCGCTGGCATGGTCACGAACGCGACGGTGGCATTCGGCTCGGGCAGCGAGCGCAACGACAGCGGCAGTCCGCACGCAGGTTGCCGCCGGTAGTAGCGTCAGCGGCGTCGCCAGCGACATCGACAGCAGGGTCTCGGACACGATGGAGGTGACCGTGGCCTTGGTGGACGTGGTCAGCGGCGTCTCCGCCGACATGGACACGGACGCGGACGCGATGGTGGCGGGCGACTCGGGCAGCAAGCACAACGGCGGCCGCAGCGCCACCGTGTGTGCCGTCAACAGCATGGTCTCGGAGGCTTCCGCGGCGACCGTGGCCGTGTTGGATGTGATCGGGGGCGTCTCCGCTGGCATGGTCACGAACGCGACGGTGGCATTCGGCTCGGGCAGCGAGCGCAACGACAGCGGCAGTCCGCACGCAGGTTGCCGCCGGTAGTAGCGTCAGCGGCGTCGCCAGCGACATCGACAGCAGGGTCTCGGACACGATGGAGGTGACCGTGGCCTTGGTGGACGTGGTCAGCGGCGTCTCCGCCGACATGGACACGGACGCGGACGCGATGGTGGCGGGCGACTCGGGCAGCAAGCACAACGGCGGCCGCAGCGCCGCCGTGTGTGCCGTCAACAGCATGGTCTCGGAGGCTTCCGCGGCGACCGTGGCCGTGTTGGATGTGATCGGGGGCGTCTCCGCTGGCATGGTCACGAACGCGACGGTGGCATTCGGCTCGGGCAGCGAGCGCAACGACAGCGGCAGTCCGCACGCAGGTTGACGCCGGTAGTAGCGTCAGCGGCGTCGCCAGCGACATCGACAGCAGGGTCTCGGACACGATGGAGGTGACCGTGGCCTTGGTGGACGTGGTCAGTGGCGTCTCCGCCGACATGGACACGGATGGGGACGCGATGGTGGCGGGCGACTCGGGCAGCAAGCACAACGGCGGCCGCAGCGCCACCGTGTGTGCCGTCAACAGCATGGTCTCGGAGGCTTCCGCGGCGACCGTGGCCGTGTTGGATGTGATCGGGGGCGTCTCCGCTGGCATGGTCACGAACGCGACGGTGGCATTCGGCTCGGGCAGCGAGCGCAACGACAGCGGCAGTCCGCACGCAGGTTGCCGCCGGTAGTAGCGTCAGCGGCGTCGCCAGCGACATCGACAGCAGGGTCTCGGACACGATAGAGGTGACCGTGGCCTTGGTGGACGTGGTCAGTGGCGTCTCCGCCGTCGGCGACACGGATGCGGACGCGATGGTGGCGGGCGACTCGGGCAGCAAGCACAACGGCGGCCGCAGCGCCACCGTGTGTGCCGTCAACAGCATGGTCTCGGAGGCTTCCGCGGCGACCGTGGCCGTGTTGGATGTGATCGGGGGCGTCTCCGCTGGCATGGTCACGAACGCGACGGTGGCATTCGGCTCGGGCAGCGAGCGCAACGACAGCGGCAGTCCGCACGCAGGTTGCCGCCGGTAGTAGCGTCAGCGGCGTCGCCAGCGACATCGACAGCAGGTTTTCAGGCGCGATGGAGGTGACTCTGACCTTGGGGGATGCGGTCAGAGCTACGATGTCCGTGCAAGACGTTGATGTAGATGTGTACAATGGCTGATATATGTTATTGGCTCTACAGGTAATGAACAGTGGGATGAACATGTCTGACAAACGAAGTATATTGAATGTCCCTTTCCATTCTGCGCGAGGTACTTAGATGTAGGGCTCTACAACCCTGGTGTACCAGTATGCGTGATGAAGCTGGGAAGACCAAGACACTTGAACGTCGATACGCTGTCGGAGCGTCCAGACAGAACAGAAGTTGCGCGGGCAGGTTGGGCGGTGCCGGCCGCAAATTGTTGCCATGACAACGACGTGGACCAAACCTGCTGCTGAAGATGCAAAGTCCTCCAGCGCCGCAAAACTTGTAGGCTCGAAAACGATATTGTTCGCAAATAAAACACTGCCCCCGTCAATATCCTCGCGTACGGCTGGGCTCATCGCTCTGAGGTCGGCCTCGTGAATCGTGACCTTGGATAAATTCGGGAAATCCACGCGTGCGCCACGAATCAGCAGTTTGGACATGTTTGCCAAGTTGTCCTGGAACTCAATCCCGATGCATCTCCCAACACAAGTCTCCAGTGCCACTTGTGCAACCACGTTGCCGATCCCAGATCCAAAGTCAACAAAAGTGTCGGCGATTGTAAGCGTTGGAATGACTGCCAGTATTGCTGAAACCCCAGTTAGCGATATCTCACCAGCATGACAATCCGGCGCATGGACGGGTTGACGCAAGGCCGAGGCATACAAACTTGACACAGCGTCATGAACGTTGCCAACATTATCGGGAGCGCTCACCTTGTGGCCACCACTAAGCGCGTCCGTGCCGATTTTTGATCCCGAAATCTCCTTGGGAAAGAATCTAAGCTCACGCCGTGTGTCCTCTTCAGCGTCTTTAGACGAATCTGCAGCTGTCGCTGTGTCTTCCCGCAGTATGGCATCCCCAACCAGACAGCCCGCCAGTTAATTCGGCGGCCTGCATCAACCTGCTCCTTTGCCAGCCGATAACGCAGCAAGTCCTCTTCGTCCGAGAAGTCTGCCATCGGGTTGCCACGAGATCTAGAAATCTATAATGCCATACATACCATAAGATATTTGGTCTCATACTTCTTCGCCTGATAACCTACCGACCTTTCCCAAAGGTCCCATCCCCATCAATGTACTCAACACCAGGTTCAAGACGCTCCTACCGCCAGCAAGGCAACTAAGCCCGGCTATCGATGCCGCTGCTATAAACGCTCTTGTGACACTGCCCAGCCAACACGAAAGCACCCCTATTAGCCTCATCGACCGCGCCGAATGCCACCGTCACGTTCGTGACCATGCCAGCGGAGACGCCCCCGATCACGTCCAACACGGCCACGGTCGCCGCGGAAGCCTCCGAGACCATGCTGTAGACGGCACACACGGCGGCGCTGCGGCCGCCGTTGTGCTTGCTGCCCGAGTCGCCCGCCACCATCGCGTCCGCGTCCGTGTCCATGTCGGCGGAGACGCCGCTGACCACGTCCACCAAGGCCACGGTCACCTCCATCGTGTCCGAGACCCTGCTGTCGATGTCGCTGGCGACGCCGCTGACGCTACTACCGGTGGCAACCTGCGTGCGGACTGCAGCTGTCGTTGCGCTCGCCGCCCGAGCCGAATGCCACCGTCGCGTTCGTGACCATGCCAGCGGAGACGCCCCCGATCACATCCAACACGGCCACGGTCGCCGCGGAAGCCTCCGAGACCATGCTGTTGACGGCACACACGGCGGCGCTGCGGCCGCCGTTGTGCTTGCTGCCCGAGTCGCCCGCCACCATCGCGTCCGCGTCCGTGTCCATGTCGGCGGAGACGCCGCTGACCACGTCCACCAAGGCCACGGTCACCTCAATCGTGTCCGAGACCCTGCTGTCGATGTCGCTGGCGACGC